AGCGTATCGGTCCACGAACTCTCAAGCCAGCCGCAAGTGGAATCTAACATGCGGCAATATCAGAGTTGTGTCAAGCGCAACGAAGATGGTAAAGCAGTCGCCAACCATTCCGAGCCTTTGCGCTGCATACGCGCAATTACCGTCAACAACCGCGCCCTGTCGTGCGTCCTAGACCAAGGCGCAGAAATAGTCGTCATGCCGAAGGCGGTATGGCAGACGCTTGGCATCGGCCTCCGCTCAGACTACCAGTTGAGTATGGAGAGCGTCAATACGTCGAGAGACGCGACGCTCGGCGTAATAGAGAACGTCCCGCTGGACTTCGGAACGGGGCCCATGCTCTTCCAGGTTCAAGTGGTAGAGCGCGCGCACTTCGAAGTGCTTCTCGGCCGACCGTTTTTCAAATTAACCAGCTGCCGCACACAAGATCTCCCAAATGGGGAGCAGGACGTTACGCTGACAGACCCCAACTCTTTTAAAGAGATTCGCATCCCCACGACGCCATGGGTAAAGCGCTGCGTGCGCTGCACCATGGAGCAGTTCTGTCCCGACCACCCTACCAAGTTGGAGGGAGCGGGTTTTTAAAGATCGATGATTCGTTTAAGAAGCGAGGAGACACTAATCGTACTCTGACCGCTTCGCGCTCCGCGCACACATGTGTTCCCTTCCGCCCGCATTTTCCGTCCGTTACCGCTCATGTTGCGCAACTCGCACGCGATGCGCAATCAGTCATGTCGCTCTCAAGGAGCTCAGTTATCACAGTTTCCACTCCCAAGTACCAGTTCGTTGCATCAGAGCGCAAGTCAGCGCATTATCAGTTTTCTCTCCTCATCCCGCACAGTTTTTGATCGCGCGTCAGTTGACGCTTTTAATTCCGTTTACAGTTACTGATTCCGCATGTCACGCGCTGGTCTACAAACCAGTCGCGAAGAAAGTCCGCACAGTGCAACTACTATGCCCCCAGAGTATAGAGTTGTCCGTCAACTCCCCGCTGATCCTTTGGCTGGTATGCCAGAACTACCGCCCCACCCCCCAGATTTTATAACCAGGCGCCCGCTTCACGCAAGAGCGTGCGGACGCGCTAGATTTAGACCCCGCCAACTGGTTATGGCCGGACGAGCTCAAGCTAATCCGCTGGCTCGTTCGCGCGCACTGAACTAGCATTCGCATGGGGTGCTTCTGAACGAGGTCGCCTCAACTGAAACCTACTTTCCGCCATACAAAATTCCGACCGTGCCGCACCCCCATGGTCACAAAGAAACATCCCGATTCCGCCATCTACGCTAGGCGAAGTTATCCGCATCATTAAGGAGAAGATTGATTCCGGTGTCTATGAGCCGTTCAACCGCTGCATACCGCTCGCGCTGGTTTTTGTGTCGTCAAGAAGGACAAGAAGTCCCTGCGCCTAGTTCACGATTTACAGCCGCTCAACGCAGTCACCATCCGCGACGCTTCCGTTCCGCCATTTGTTGAACATCTCGCAGAGTCATTCGCGGGTTACGCAGTATATGGCATGATGGATTTATACTCCGGATACGACCAGCGCGCGCTCCACGAGGAGTCGCGCGATCTCACTACATTTGGCACTCCCCTAGGGGCCGCACAGGCTGACCACGCTTCCACAAGGACACGCTAACGCGGTCCAGGTTTATCAGGGCGATACAGCGTTTATTTTGCAGCACGAGATCCCCGAGTATACTTCGCCTTTCGTCGATGATGTACCTGTCAAGTCTGTGAAGACGCGCTACCAGAGCGCGGATGGCTCCTATGAGACTATACCTGCCAACCCAGGCATCCGCCGCTTCATCTGGGAGCATTGCCAGGTCATTAACCGCATCCTACAGCGTCTTGAGAACGTCGGCGCTACCGTGTCGGCTTCAAAATTCGTCTTAGCCGCGCCGACCGCGATCATCGTCGGGCATTTATGCACGTTTGATGGCCGCATTCCAGAGGATTCTAAAGTCCAAAAGATTCGAGATTGGCCCAAGTGCAAAAACCAGTCGCATGTGCGCGGGTTCTTAGGCACTTGCGGCGTCCTCCGCATTTTCATCCGTGATTTCGCGCGCATCGCGCGCCCGCTAATTAATCTCACCAGGAAAGACATCCCCTTCGAATTTGAGGAAGAACATCGCGACACCATGCAAACACTCAAAGACGCTATTCTCCAATCGCCAGCTTTGCGGCGCATCAATTACGAGTGCGACCGCGAAGTTATCCTAGCAGTCGACACTTCGAACATCGCTGTCGGGTATCTCCTTATCCAAATCGGAGAAGATGGCAAACGATACCCCAGTCGCTTCGGGTCTATCGCGCTCACCGAAGTCGAGAGCCGCTATTCACAGGCCAAATTGGAACTATATGGCCTCTTCCGCGCCTTGCACGCCGTGCGCATATATATATTGGGCATCGTCAACCTCACAGTTGAAGTAGATGCGAAATATATCAAAGGTATGATCAACAATCCCGATTTGCAGCCTAACGACGACCATCAACCGATGGATCGCGGGCATTCTATTATTCTCGTTCAAACTTGTTCATGTTTCCGCGTCGAAGCACGCCGGCGTTGACGGTCTCTCAAGGAGACCGCGCGCAGACGAAGACCCGGATGAGGAAGATGATCACGAGGATTGGCTCGATCGCGCATACTCATTTGGAGTAGCGCTCATTAATGATTGGACGCACATGGTCGCAGCCGCAGGCACATCGTACACTCGCGATCCATATTTCAGGCGCGATGCGCAAACCCCTAACCGAACTCCCGCTCTCCTAGTTTTCTTAGATACCACCTCCGCTCCATCCGATGAACCCCCTATTCCTCGTTCCGAAAATGCGCAAGCCATGGATGAGAAGATGCGCGAGTATAAGCGCTTTCTAGAAAGTCGCGAAAGACCCGCGGATCTCTCGGACGACGACTTCGACACCTTTGTCAATTCCGCGGCAAAGTTCTTCGTCATGGAAGACAACCTCTGGCGCAGGGAATCCCACGGCCGACACCAGCTAGTAGTGAGAGGAGAGCGGCGCTATCGGATCCTCAAGGAGGCGCACGACGATCTCGGGCACAAGGGTATTTATACCGTCCGTACGCGCCTCCTCTCACGCTTCTGGTGGCCGATGATGGTAGACGACGTTAAGTGGTATGCGAAGACCTGCCACGAATGCCAAGTCCGACAGAATACCCGCCTACACATCCCACCCATGGTCCCTATCCCGGGAGGACTATTCCGCAAGGTACACATCGACTGCATGATGATGCCCAAAGCAGGCGGATTCGATCGCATAGTACACGCGCGCTGCGCGCTCACCGCATACCCCGAATGGCGCATGTTGCGCACCGAGACCGCGAAGACCATCGGAGCATTCATATTCGAGGAGCTCCTTTGTAGATGGGGACCGATCACGGAAATAGTAACTGACAATGGCCCCGCGTTCATCAAAGCGGTTGACTTTCTAGCAGCGAAATATGGCATCCATCACATCCGCATTACGCCCTATAACTCACAAGGTAATGGGATAATAGAGCGGCAGCACTACCCAGTTCGTGAAGCGATTATCAAGGGCTGCGAACATGATATATCGCGATGGCCGCAAGTCGCGCCCGCCATTTTCTGGGCCGAGCGCGTCACCATTCAGAAGTCGACAGGTCTATCACCATTCTTCATGATGCACGGTGTGGAGCCTATTTTTCCCTTCGACCTCACTGAAGCGACATTTCTCGCACCGCTCCCAAGCAGGGGCGCACTAACTTCCGCAGATCTCATCGCATGGCGCGCGCGCCAATTTCAAAAGCGCATAGAAGACCTCGACGCAATTAAGGACGCAGTCCTGAAAGCGAGGTACAAGTCCGCCCGCGATTTCGAACAGCGCTTCCGCGCGTCTATCAAGGACCATGATTTTCCGCCAGGAAGCCTAGTTCTAGTGCGCAACTCAAAAGTGGAGTACGAGCTGAGCAAGAAAACAAAGCCGCGCTACTTAGGTCCAATGGTCGTCCTTCGCCGGACGACCGGCGGGTCGTATGTGCTAGCTGAGTTGGACGGAGCAGTCTCGCGACTTCGATACGCCGCGTTCCGAGTCATACCATACTTCCCGCGCAGTGAAGAGCGCATAATCGTGACAGCCATCACTGGCATTGACGATGAGAGCCTGGACCAATTAGCCGCAGAAGATGACGAAGAGCCAGAAGAAGAAGACCCCGAACGCGACTTCAGGCGATTAACGCGCTCGTGCACCCCCCCCCCTCCGCACACATTACCGACCCCCTACCAGCATATATCCACCCCGCAAGAACCACCCCCAGAAAAATAAAATAACACAACAAAAACAACAAAAACCGCCATAGAATAAAAAAAAAAAAAAAAAAAAAAAAAAGCACCCATTTCCCTCTATCAATTTTACCCCGGGTTTCGTCCGGCGATCTCAGTTTCACTTTTCTCAGACTCATAATACCGCGCGCCGCGCTGAACATACCAACCGCAGATTCTATATACATTCCGCAGGATACCCGCAAAACAAGAAAACACGAACACCGCTAAGTACATACTCGAATCAATCGCGCGCATAATTAACCATAGACATTTCACCTTCGAACACGCGCGCGCGCCGCGCACATTTTACTATATTCTTTGCCGCTAATCATTAGAGCGCGGCAACCCCATGAAAGGAATAGAAGCGGAAAGCAAGTCGACGAACGCAAGACGAGCGCGAACCTCGCACAAACCCGCCGATGTATCTCAAACAAAATTCTCTCTATGTCTAAATGCGCACAAACAAAACTTATCAATTTCTCTTCTTATCTCATTATTAGGCACAGCGGGACCGGACTCAAGCTCAGACACAGACATGGGGGACACGGATATCTATTTTGCGCTTATGCGCATGGAAACAGAGTCAACTATAGTACAGGCGCACTTTGGCGCCATTTCAACCATCAAGTATAGTACAAGCGCATTGGCGCTATGAGTCCAGAGTCCACAAGCGGAAGAACCGCGCACTATGCTAATATCTATCTAGAGGAACTCCGCAAGTTCCTCATCCTCCTTCCACTCGCGCGACAATGAATACAAACGGCTGCTTTGCGCAGCCATCTCAGCTTGTTGAGAGCGAGCGCGCTCTCCTGCCCGACGAAGAAGCTCGCGGAGCCGCGCATTCTCCGAGCGCAGACGCTCCAATTCCCCACCCTCCTCATAACGATCCAAGGTCTCCTCCGCGCGACGCTTCTTGGGGCGGGAAGGGAGAGGGCCAATAGCCTGAGTAGGCCTAGCAGGCAAGGTAGAAGGGCCTGCAACGGGACCGGCCTCAGGAGCAGAAACCTCCTCCGACTCCACAGCATCGCCCTCGCTGTCCAACTCCATCACCTCTTGACGCGAAGACGCGGTGCGAGGAGCAGACTCTGCAGTAGGCGCACGCGAAGACGCGGGCGCAGCTTTCTGAGCGCGACGTTTGGGAATTGCTCTAGTAGGACCTAAGGGAACTCATTAGATCAAAAACGAACCCGCGGAAAGAAAACAACTTACCTATCTTGAAGGAACATCCCTTGTGCGACTTTGCACAGGCGTCACAACGCACGCCGGGCCTGCCATCACACTTCTTCCCCGCACTCTCGCAACGCTCGCATACGATCTGCAAAGGATGAACCCCAGTCATACGCCCTGTAGGCAACGGAGCGCCCATGTTCTTGCCCTTCGACGGCGCGAGTACCGCTGCCTTCTGCTGCGCGGCAGGAGGTCTGGCAGTCGCTACCTCCGCCTGCGCAGCCGCCGCCTCCTTCAAGGCGCGAATCGGTCCCTCGAACTTAGTATACCATTGACGACCCTCAAGCAAGAGGGCTTCTTCATCGCCCTCAAACTCCAAATCGACCTGTAAATGTTGGCCGGACACGCCGGCAGCCTGCATGCGAGTCTAGGAAGGTTAGCGACAAGTAAGCGCAAGAGAAACAAGATCTACTCACAATTAGCTCGTTCCACCGCCGCATCCATATCTCCTTGTCCTCCAACAACTCATCACTATCATCCGGGATCGAACGTCCCAACCCGTCGAGCATCACGCGAATCCCAACCCAATCGCGACGCAGGATGTCAGCCTCGGATTCCATCGCTTCCGGTTCCGGCGCAGGAACCTCGACTTCAGGAGCGGGAGTAGGCGCAGCAGGCAAGGGAGCAGTCAAAACAGCGAGAGAGAAAGGCGCCATTGTATATGCAGAGTAAGAAGTGGCGACAGACGCGTGGTGTAGATGGATAAGAGAGAAGAAGAAGAAGCGGAAGCACGCGTCCACTCACTTTTCAAGCGCCGAATTCCCGATTAGGAAAACAAAGCCACGACGCGTCCACACACGTGACTTATGCCTTTCCGGCGCCGGTACACACACAGTTGCCGACACCGGCCCGCACGTGACATAATTGTCAGAAATTTCGCTAAGTCCATTCCGCGACTATAGGACTGACTGCGGACAGTCAGTTTAAGAGTACCCCGCAGGTGTAGGGAGTAATATCCCTACAGGCTCGTATCCCCTGATATATACATCGACCTCATCACTATCCTCATGTATGCGCAGTTCTATAGAGACACGCGCTACACGCGCGACCTTCCGCAGCGTTCCGCACCTCTCCGCGACATACGCGACGACCCGCGACATTGCGCACCATTCCGCAGCCCGGCGCTAAGTTCGGTATACCCTCCCATGTCCTGTCCTGTATGTCCGGTACCGTTGGTGCGTACTCTCACTGTCATCTCCGTCTCTGACCACATCCAGGGTCTTTTACATAGTGTTACATACTTATCCGCTTCCTTGCGCGCTTCCGCGCAGCCTATCCGCTTCCCTTACGTCTCAATACCCTGAGAGCTCGCGTAGCGACCTACATATCTAGAAGACTCAGAAGATTTCGGACTTACTTACTTTTCCCTTACTTGGACTCACTATCAGTTTTCTGTCTAGTCGCGCTTAGAGCGCTAATATCATTGCAACTTTTGTCCATCTCCTTCTCTGTCTAGTAAATCCTCAATTCTCATCCAAGGAGAGTTCTTACTACCTTCTGCTACCCTCCTCCTATCGCGCACGTATCGCGCGCCTCCCGACTCTTCCGCACGACTCGCGCGTTCCGCGCGTGTATCACATCAGCCTCGCGCGTTCCCGCGCGCCTTCGCGCACTTTCCGACTTGAGCCTTTCTCTTGATCCCTCTCATCAATTAGAGAGATTGACTCAGTAGTATCCCCTAAGGGACGATTCTACTAGCTCGCCTCTCGAGGTAGATATTCTTGTGACTCCCCGGAGTTCGCATCTCTATTTTCTCACCCACACCGCTATGCATGCGTGGCAGAAAATCTCATTGCAATCAGGCCTGGCCAGTATGGTTGCCGTGGACACATTGAAGGAAATGAAAGCATCTCGCCAACGCAACAATTTGAATGGGAGCACCCGCTGGCATGGCTGCAAAAACACGAATACGACGATGGGCTACACAGCGCCAATGTCCTGGGTTATCGGGTATGCATTAAGGCTCGATGTGGCCCCGAGAAGGATATTGCGAATTCACAGATTTGTGTTGCTGAGTTGCGTTCCAGCCACAATCAAGGGGTCGGATAACAGCGAGTGGTAAGGGGTGTCGCAAGGGAATGTAGGGTCACAACACCCCTGGCAGTCACAGGAAACAAAGGACCCTAGGGCAACGAAAAGGTCAGGAGGCAGCCCCCGGCGGGGGCAAGGCTAATCCATATGAGTGCAAAAAAAAAAAAATAGTCATTCTATTATCAGAGCAGAAATGATACTGAGTGTGCACTATGCGACAACGGAAGTTGGCACGCGGTTTTCCATTGCTCATGGACGCCTGATGCCCACGAACAGGCCTTTAGCCTGATGCTCACGAACAGGCCTTTAGCCTGATGCATGAAACAGGCCTTTAACCCTATGCGCGAACAGGCCCTAAGCCTGATAAACAAATCGACCCATATCCCGATAGTACAAAAACAGGCCTTTAGCCCGATGTACCGAACAGGCCTGTAGCCTAATGCGTAAACAGGCCTATAGCCCAGAATAGGCTCTAGCCTGAAGCACAGATAGGCTTGCGATATATGAATGGGCCTTTAGCACAATGCGTGGACAGGCCTTAGCCTGGTGAGTGCGGAGGGGGGGCGATTTGCAGCCCGTCGAATATGAAGGATGTTAGTAGCCCTATGATCAGGAGGGCATACACCATGACCATTGCGGAGAGAAGACTCATATCCAAACGATAACACCGACGGGGGCTCATGGCTCAGCGGTGGATATGACAGAGAACACGTGTTCTAACGACGGACACGCTAGGGGGCTCGTGGCCCAATGACGGTTATGATGGGGGGATTCGTGCCCTGTTGACCGCATGACAGGAGGCTCGTGGCCCCAACGACGGTTATGATAGAGGGGCTCATGGCCTAATGATAGCTGCAACATGGGCTCATGGCCCAACGACGGTTAAGATCGAGGGGTTGTGGTCCAATGACGGTTATGACAGAAGGCTCGTGGCCCAAACGACGGCTATGACAGGGGGTTCGTGGCCCAAACGACGGTTACGACGGAGGGTTCGTGGCCCAACAACGGTTATGACAGAGAGCTCGTGGCTCAACGACGGTGATGACGGAGGGTTCGTGGCCCAACGACGGTGATGACAGAGGGTTCGTGGCCCAACGACGGTTGTGACAGAGGGCTCGTGGCCCAACGACGGTTATGACAGAGGGCTCGTGACCCAACGATGGTCATGACATGGAGCTCATGGTTTAGCGACGGTGGTGCCAAGGGGAGGCGAGCTTCGACGACGGTGAGGCTCGAGGCCTAATTCACGACGATGACTGGGGAGGCTCGCGGCCTAACAGTGAAGGTGAAGGGGGGGAAGGTTCGTGGCTTGAACAATGTCCAAGGCTTGATTCAAAGCAGTAGCGTTAATGCGATGGGAATGGGCTTGCAGCCTGACCAATATGGAATGCTAGTAGGCGTATGGCACGCTGATGGATCGACAGCGTGGCCATAGTTGCCAGTACTGTGGACTGATGGGTGAAGCTTGCAACCATAAAAGCGGGCTGAGGATGTGACAGCAGACGCAGTGGCCTGGATTGTTTGATGAGACGGCCCGCCGAATAATGATCGCGGTAGCGTGATGCGGATGCAGGATGTAGATGCGCGGATGGCGAACCCCGCTGTCATCCATGATCGAACGTGTGCGAGTGAACTTGATGTGTATTTTGAGAAGAAAGAACGCGAGAGAGTTAGCTTGATGTGTGTTCGAGGAACTGACTCGTGAGCGAGCACGACGTTTGTCGAATTCTGACAGAGAAAACTGACGATTCGGAGAACAAGTGTGCTGCTTTGCCGCTCAGCTGGACGTGCGGTGCCGGTTTCTTCCGCGCGCTCCAGGAACCGGCACCTGTTACATGGACGTCGGACGGAAAGAAGCTCATCTCCGGTTCATCAACCCTGATTAGGATATTCGACACAGCCACTTGGCAGCAGATTGCCATTCTTAAGGGTCACACACACTGGGTTGACGTCATCTCCTTGTCTGTGAACAACCGCTTCCTTGCAAGTGCATCAGATGATAAAACAGCACGGCTATGGAATCTCGACACGAATCTCCCGATCGGACCACCCCTCCGGCATGAAGATAAAGTGGACTCTGCAGCCCTTTCCGCTGATGGAAAAGTCCTAGTTACTGGTTGCAGAAACGAAAATGTGTACACATGGGACATTCACGCCATCATCAAACAAGCTGGCCTTGAAGGCCTTCTCCTGCCTATTCCTAATGTACATCCCATGGTTCCTCGGTAAAAACTGTACTAATCTCCCACTTGCAGGTCCCAGCTCCAAAATCGTTGATGACCGTACGTGACGTATTTCTTAAAGCTTTTTCAATGATTTTAAACATATTTTAGAGAGATGCTACGCGACGTCCAGCTATTAATGCCCGTCAAATACCGCCAGGATTTTTTGATGGCGACCAGGTGAGTCATCTGCTTTTGTTGACCAGTTCTTATTCTGATCTTTGTGCTCTCAGTCATCTGCAGCACACGGTACCCATCACCATCCTTCCACACACGACTCACATCTCAAACGCTTTTCATCGTTCTTCCGCCAGTCTCGCTCCAAGACCGATGGAGCAATTGAACTCCAGCAACGCCCAAGACGCACCATCTTCTCTCATCGTGGCCCTCGTGTTGTCGATGTTCCTACAGTAAAGGACAAAGGGGTAAGTATTCGTTCCTGTGCGTTTCCTGTCGCTGTTGTTCAATGACTTATCTGCAGGCACTGGCTATTGCTCAACAACCGCGGCCGCGGCCGCAGCAGCAAAGTCAATTGCACAGCCAAACCCAGGCGTCGTCATCGCAAACTCAGCCTGCGACAGCCTCGACCTCCACAACACCTCCTGCTCCAGGTACTGATACTACCATAGCTGGTGCAGCACCCGCGCAGTCACCACCCATCTCATGGTGGGCTCGTGTCGTACTTTTCCTCTGTTGTGTATCTCTCCCACGTGAAAATGGGCATTGATACTTGGGCATGTGGGGAATTATTTTATTTTGTTGCTGTCTTTATATCTTTTGCTACTCCATCAAGCTCGTTTCTTCGTTATGACACTCATGCAATGCATCGAACTTGATAATGCTAACCGAAAGATTATACTCAAAGAGATTGAAAGCCCAGGACAAGTTCAAGCTCCTCCGTTCATCTACGGATAACTGCAGTACTCCATATTCTGGCGTCGCCGAGCTCGCCTGAACATAGCACAGAATATTAGGGATCTCGAACAATCCATAGCGCACTCTGAACGCGCGTCTGATCTGTGCTCCATGAATCATCCCTTCCGCCCTGTAGCAGTGTCCAATCTAGATGCGGCAAAGTTTGTTAGCTGCCAAGTAAATGGAACATACCTCGACCTAGACATCCCCATCTCTCTTTTTCAGGACGCCTCTGACTTGCGTCCGACTGATCATTCTGACCGACCGATCACTCAGCTCCATATTTCCATTGCCCTGCTGTCTGGTTTCGCGAAACGGGCCATTTCAAATGGATGCTGATGCGGCGGAGTAATTACTGAGTGAAGTCCTCCATATTTGCCACTCCAACTCTTGCAATCAACATTGACTCTATATCGAGCTGGAGGCATGGATGTACGCGATCTTAGGCAGATGCAGCCCGCTGCATCCATGCTTCCGTTGTCGCCAAATTCACTTGCTCGTCGTGCAAAGCGGTGTTGGCAGAGAAATGATCTCCATGACTTAGATGAAGTGATATCCCTTTATTACGATGCCCTGCGATACTACGACACCATGCATGATTGCTGAGTGCAATTGCTATATAATCTGGGTGCGTGACTGTTCACTCACTTCCAGCGTCGAGGTCGACAGCCAAGTCATCGTCTGAGATAACTTTTACGCAGAAGCCGTATCTGACCTGTGGTGGCGTTGCGATTGTAGGCGAAAGCAGAAGTTGCGAGAAAACGAGGGAGAGAACCCGATAAAGGGTCTAGGATTCGTTTTGACGATGATGTTCACTCATCTAGTCCATAAACGGGCACTTTGACCAGGTCTACAGTTGGGATGATTCCTGGACGTTCGAACGCCGTACCCATCATCGCGGCTGTGATGACGAGGATGAGATCAGTGTTGAAAATAACCAAGCAATAGGAAGGGTACATACGGTCCAGCGTCAAGAGTTCGTCCCATAATGGTACCGTACCAGCCCTGAGTCTCGAGGTTGGGGGAAAGTGACTTGATGTCAGAGTGTGCTGGACAGAGGGAGGCGGATGCCAATGTTCCCATCTGTTGAGTCTTCTGGAGAAATATATGGGTTGACTGACTTGACTTTGATGAGTTACTCACCTTTAGGATTGTCTGAGCGAACGACTTGTTAATTTCATACTGTGTGGCTCCCGCTGGTTTGCGGGAGCATGCGATGTCCGAGAAAGGACAGTGATTCTATCAGAGATGCAATGGTGACCATATATCCTGAACAAATAAAAAATAAAATCAGTGCATGATCGATGGTAGAAATTGCACATCACTCGCCAATGTAACTTATACGTAAGCGGATTTGTGTCAGTCTGCTCGAGGTCGATACTGGATAGTGCTCAATCGTCCGATATAACTACCACGTGGTTAGGCATTGTGTCGAAAGCCTTCTAAAAAAACCGACGACATTAATGTCAATAGCGCTAACGTTGAATTGCAAGGACAGCGAGACAATATCTGAGACGGGACAAACCTGAAGCCCGTCCAGTCTATATATTCCGGGGAGTTTTCTTGTCGAGGATACTGCCCCGCTGAAAATGATAGCCGGAGTTGTGCCATAGTCGCAATCCCATGATCTCGTATTGTCTACTGTATACTGGAATACCGCAACTATATCCTGGAAACCCGCGACCACACGGTTTATGTCGATACCATAGTCTGCAGGTCTGTCATGGTGATCAGTATCTCCCTAAGCTGACTGTCCATTGTCGCCTGAAGAAGAGTAAACTGGTCAGTGAGTCTGTAGACAATTTGAATGCTTCAACGCACATATTTTTGGGCTACCACTGCTGACGGGCTGGAGTGGTCGTTTGTTGCGGTGTCAGTGGCTAACACTGTATCACATTCTATGAATGTTTCATTGTATAGCGCTTCCAAGGCCAAGCGAGTCTGGATATGATGAGTCTCATTGGTGTTAGTAGGACTAAAGAGTGCTGTAAAACCAATGGAGCTACAGATACTAGATGCTGAGCCGACGATAATCTGACGCAACCATTTGAAGCACCCTTGCGTTTTGAAGAATGAATCGCGTATGCTGAATCGTGCTCGTTGGTATTGTATCAGCGCAAAATTTTACTAAGAAACAACAACAGGAATGAAGGACATAATGAAGTTCTTGAAAAGGAAGATCGATCCGTACATGGGGCAAGCAGCTGCGAATGGCAGATATCATTTGGTGCTGGTGCGGCAGTGATGAGTGAGCGGTGCGGCAAGCAGTGATGTGGCAGTCTACCTGAGCTCACTTTGATTAAGTTCACATTGCGACTGCAACGTCAGGATCGAAAAAACGGGTCCGCAACACTTGTGACCCCGACGGCAGATCCTCATCGTTCAGCCCACTCTTCCCCAATACCTGCCTCTTCACTTCACATCCAGCTCCCTGACACAATAGAAGCGGAACACCATCGACTTGGGATCTTTTCTGCGCCTTCGAACCAGTACAGGTGGCTGGCTGCAAGCTCCCTCTAGGATAGTCGGTGCTGACAGCCCACAGATCTCCACAGATAATTAATGTCCCTCAGTTTGAACCAGTGATTGAGATCGGTGCTAGTATTGCTGTCCCCGTTTCTCTAATCATGTGCGCACTTGCTTGAAGCTGAACACCCAGCCGGTTATTTTGCTTGTCTGAGAGGAAATAGAAGATCAAGTTGTAGAAGTTAGCAGGCAACGCACCGCCGCTGGTCAGCGTGGGAATATGTTGAACTTTTGAGTTACCATTCCGAAATACTTCGGCTCTATCTTTCAGAAACCGTGATACCATTGTTCAGGAACGACTGGGACTCTTCTTCTCGGCTCTCAATTTTCAAACCTTGATGCGACATATTCAATTTGCTGCTTGTATATGCATATGAGCAGATTTTCTGGGCCGGCCCATCTGAATCACGACGATGCGTTTTACACCTCTTGCCAAGAGGTAGCCAGAACACCATGTTTCACAGCCATTCGGCACTTGGGCAGTGACACACCATATCCTCGAGGCCTTCCCTCACGCTTACCAAACCACAGATGGGCCAGGCAAATATGATAGGCCACTAGCGTCAAAGTTTAATCAAGTACGCCCATGAGGTAACGTTTGCTATTCAATCTGCGAAATACTTATATAGTGAGCAGTGAACGAGGTTTGGGATATAGCGTCAAAACCCCCTCCCTAAAGTATCTAATAATGTGCTTGCTTCTCTGCGTTCTCTACCTCGTTCAAATGATCCAAGCTGCGCCTACTACTAATTCGACTACTATCAGTAGTGGTTTTGAAGCGCTATTAACCGTGGACGAGAGAACCTTGTGGAGCATTATCTCTACCTGCACTCTGACTTTTCTCGCATGTATTTATAGCGCCATTCATCCCAATATTCCGAGTCCTCATGACAGCGACTTTCGTATTCTATGGCGACAGTTTGGCATCATGGTAGTCGCAGTACCCGACCTGATCGTTGGATGGGCTCTGCGCCAGTGGCTCTCGGCTCGTCATATTACACCAGTCTCAGGAGTATGTCAGTCTTAATCCCAAAGACTGGTCCGAAAGTGAGTCTTACACTCTGGACATGTTCGTTGGATGACCTAATATGCACTTTTTTTAGTCAATGAGCGTGCTGAAGCACCTGTAGTGCAATACGAAGGTGAACTCGACATTCTATCTTGCATCCTGAATATGGTTCCTGATGGCTTACTTACCTCGTAAGATCACACCGACCCCCATGCTGAAGGTGAACCATCTGGAGCTAGTGCGAAGCCACTCAAGGAGAGCTCTGTGGTCGACGATTCAGACCAATATGAAGGCAAGTTTGACTCATGCTCTCTCGAACACGTCTCTCATTTGTGTCCTTAGATTACACATGGACTCAGACTCACAGCTTCTTTGCTCTGATGGGCGGTTTCATGCTTTATGTGGACGGGGAACCCTACCAAACACTATCGCCTGACCACCTTCTCCATCTGATACGTCATGGGTATATCTGTGGCCCGACCCTGACGGAAAAGCAGATCTCCGACCGGAGCAAAGGGAATGTGATATCCAAAGGATCAATCCTCCTTCAGGGGTCTTGGTTTACTCTGCAGCTCCTTTCCCGCACCATCTATCACCTCGAGCCCACACAGTTTGAGGTGGGAACACTCGCGTTCGTGGTTCTCAACTTCATTACATATACCGTGTGGTGGCATAAGCCTCTGGATGTAGATTGTCCTCATCCAGTCTACTGGACCATCTTTAGCGGCATCCACTGTACTGCTTGGTTTTATGCCTTCCCCACATACCAAGAACAGGTCTTATGGCGCATATGTGCCGTCACTACAACTGTCCTACCCTGGCTTGGTCTCGCGGTGGGCTTCGTTCTGTATAGATGGAGAGCTAATGAACAGGGTTCAGTGAAGTTTAAAGTGTTGCTCTTAACGCTGCCTGCATTTTACGTCGTAACGCGTATCATCATTTTCCTACTTATGTTCACCACTTTGCGCAATCTTCCTCCTGACGCGTACAAGACAGTGTCGTGGAGTAATTTGGTGCCGCACTTGTAATTCTTGCCCGTGGTACTTGTCATACATTTCGTACTTTTGTGACCTTATCCAGGGATGCAGGTTGACACTCGGAAACGGTCAGAAATTCGATTTCAACTGGCTTATCGATGAACACAACGATACCGGAGGATGGTCACCATTGGACGCGATCCGAAGTGCAGTATATCTGATACTTTGATTGTCACTAAGTGCTTCGAAGCATTCGATTCGACTGAGATCACAACTAAGTCGCAAAAGAATGCCCGGAGTGTCCGTCATTCCAGTTTGATGCTTTGCAATGCTCCTAGAATGACCAAGCTTCATATTAGCGCCGTTCGCAAATTTGAGCGCTTCATCTACACAGCAGTGAAGCTGTGAATCGAACACGAGGTTGACACATGGAACGCACCTAAATGAGAAAAGACGGCTTGAACGAAAGAGCGCCCAACTTCTTCTTCTCCCAACGAGACATCCATTGATCACTGGGGTGATTTGAGCACTGTGTCCGTCTGCACGGCGCTTCTCGTGAGTGATACTGTAGGCTCGTGTGCAGGTTAAAGTTGACCACTTGCTAACCAGCGGCTTCGTATACCCTCCAAGATCTCTAGGACATTTTCAAATAACGGCACAGCAAGTACCCCGTTTACAGTCCCGAAGCTGTCTTCTAGGTGAGGACTGAATTCCTGTAAGTAGTTTGGCTCGTGAACAATGGCGTGCGTATTCTAACAAGCGTTGCAGTGAAAGAAGAGAAGCCCCTGGACATACCAGCAACCATTGTCGCCTGAAAACCCGGTCTGGTTCAAAGATCTCAGCAGACTTCTCGCATAGATAGGCTCCAATATCTGCAGTACAGCTCCCCGGCACCGACCATGTCTTCATCCACTAGTAAGAAGCAACAGACGCCAGCGGCCACACCACACCAGACGATGCGAGGCCATACCGACTGGGTAAGAGGTGTTGCCCATCTGCCCAGCGGACGACGCATAATCACATGTTCGATGGACGACTCACTCCGATTATGGGACCTGGAGAGCGGTGCACAGATAGGTGAGGACTGGCGAGATGAGGGTTACCAATTAATGTGGTCCATGGCATTGTCTCCAAACGCCAAGACAGTTGCAACTGGAAGCGGAGGCGGTGATAATAACGTGAGATTATGGGACATCGAGACGAGGAAGGTCATCGCCAAATGGACGGGACACACCAATGTTGTGTATACATTGTGCTGGAGTTCAGATGGCAAGCGAGTAGCGAGTGGATCCTGGGACGGGACAGCAAGAGTCTGGGATGTCAAGAGCGGTGACATTGTCCTGACAATCACAACCGGACACAACTGGGCGGTGATGTACTCGCCTGATAACGAAAAAATCGCGACGGGCGGAGACAAAGAGAATGCAGTCAAAATCTGGGATAGCAAGACGGGCAAGCTCATCACCAAACTCGAACACAAGTACACAGTTTTCAGCTTGGCATGGACGTCGGACGGAAAGAAGCTGATCTCCGGTTCATTAGACCGGATTAGGATATTCGACACAGCCACTTGGCAGCAGATTGCCATTCTTGAGGGTCACACAAAGGTTGCCATCTCCTCAGGCTTGTCTACAAATAACTGCCTCCTTGCAAGTGTATCATGGGATAAAACAGCGCGTCTATGGAATCTCAACACGAATCTCCCGATTGGACCACCCCTCTGGCATGAAGATGATTTGGAGTCTGCTGCTCTTTCCGCTGATGGAAAAACGCTAGTCACTGGTTGCCAAAACGGAAATGTGTACACATGGGACATCCACGCCATCATCAAACAAGCTGGCCTTGAAGACCTTCTCCTGCCCATTTCTGATGTAAATCCCATGGTTCCTCGGTAATCGGTAAAAATTGTACTAATCTCCCACTTGCAGGTCCCAGCTCTAAAATCGTTGATGACCGTACGTGACGTGTTTCTTTAGTCTTTCAACGATTTTTAAAGATATTCTAGAGAGATGCTACGCGACGTCCAGCTATTCATGCCCGCCGAATACCGCCAGGATTTTTTGATGGCGCCCAGGTGAGTCATCTGCTTTTGTTGACCAGTTCTTATTCTGATCTTTGTACTCTCAGTCATCTGCAGCACACGGTACCCATCACCATTCCTCCACATACGACTCACATCTCAAACGCTTTTCATCGTTCTTCCGCCACTCTCCCTCCAAGACCGATGGAGCAACTGAATTCCAGCAACGCCCAAGACGAACCATCTTCTCTCATCGTGGTCCTCGTATTGTCGATGTTCCTACAGTACAGGACAGAAAGGTATGTATTCGTTCGAGTGTGTTTCCCATCGCTGTTGTTCAATAACTTATCTCCAGCCACTGGCTGTTGCTCCACGGCCGCGGCCGCAGCAGCAAAGCCAATTGCACGGCCAAACCCAGGCGTCGTCATCACAAACTCAGCACGCCAGCACCTCGACCTCCACAACACCTCCTGCTCCAGGTACTCATGCTACCACAGCTGGTGCAGCACCTGCGCCGTCACCACACATCCCATGGTGGGCTCGTCTCGTACTGTTTCTCTGTTGCGCATCTCCTCCGCACGCCAATGGTCATTAATACACTGCAGCATGCGGGCAACTGTTTTATCTTTCTTGCTGTCTTTATATCTTTTGCTACTTCATCAAGCTTGTTTCTTCGTTGTGACACTCATGCAATGGGCCCAAGTTCAAGTAATGGTGGGTGAAATTTCTAGGCTTTTTTCATGGTGATTTAGCTTGCCGCCCCAGTCGTAGCCTTGAGCATTGACGAACGGTAGAGCATACAGCCAAATATTTGCACCATTGATTCTCTCGTTGCCTCCTTTCCATTATCTCGATGCTTATTATCTATTCCGCAGGTCATCTTTGTTGCTCGCACGAGAGTCGCACAATCTGGCTAGTAATCAGTACACACCCTTCGATTATTTGTAAGAGTTGTTGTCTTGTAACACCCATCACTATCGGATGGGTTCGAACCATTTTTTATTCCCTCCCAGTCAAATTGGCTCTTCAAAGATTTCTTCCACCTTTGGCGAAGCCTCATTTCCTGGGATGAACATTCCTCTCTCGCTTGCGTCTCGTGTTTGATACTACTTCAGTGGAGCACACCTGGACGATTCAGACACGATATATCGGTTGACTCGAAAGCATGGAAACTTGCGACTGCTGTCATCTACTGTACTAGAACTAGTCGTGCTGTCAACTTACCCATGTCTAACACTGTTTTCAATCTAGTGATTGATAATCGACTCAGGCTATTGATCGAATTTCTGTTGCTGCTCTGGTGACTTGGGATAGTGTTCCCAGCTGAGACTCGCGGACATGGTGGAAAATATGGAATAATGTGATTGCAGTGAACGCGCTGGTCAGTTTCAGCGCTCGCCGCTTCAACCGAAAGTCGCATTAACACTTGAAGTCATCATGTTGCCATCCTGATATTCAGCGTGGCGCTAGAATTTGAATGCTGGGATGCCTGTGAGCCTTCTTCAATCGCTTTCTCTCCTTGGAAATTTTTCTCTGCTTGTTATATATGTGTTCCATATGTGTTCAACGTTGCAACCGTTGGGCGAGTCTTTGATCGTTGAATTTGTCCAAGGTGCGGTTACAGGAATGGGTGGCTGTGCTTCTGTTTCTTTCTCTCATTAACATCCGTGCCAAAGCAGACGAAGTTCGAACCAAGATATGGACTAGGCGACACTTAGGCTGGTAGTAGAGTCTCCCACTGCTGAGAAACATACGCCGGCTCGTCCAATGATAAACATACTGGCCAAATCAATATTGTAAAGACTGATGTAATACTAATTATCACTTCTGACTCTTGTTCAAGGTCGTATTCACGCTCGAATTCGTCACTCATCGTAACGTCTGCCGCATTCCACTTATTATCTGAATCCGGCTCACACTCTCGCAAACCGTCCCTGGTGTTTCCATAACGCTCTCGATCATCCTTCCCCCATGACACCGACGGTCAAGTCAAGAGTCATACTCGCATATAATCGTTCGGCTTTTCTGTGTGTATCGCTTTCACCGGTTTACATTACCCAACGAAATAAACTCGATTCTAATTTGCCTGTTAGTGTGCTAAACGAGTCGTACCGTCGACTCAGTCCAGGAATAAGCATCACAGAACGCTCAGAGTCTCGCATAACCTTGACATGCCACTTTTGTTGATGCCTTGTCACTTCTCTAGGACAGATTCTCCCGCTAATCCTACCACTTTGGTCTCAGTGCTTAGTAGTTTAATTATACCAGCGTCTACCGTGCTGAACAGCCCACGACAACATGATATAAATAGCATTACCTGAACCCTCAACATCTTCTTATCCCCCTCTCAGCCAAACTCCATCCACAGTCTCATATCCCTATCCTCCATCTTGTCCTACCACTCATTCTGTACCCCACTCAATCTCCGACTCGGATGCGCCGTGCCGTTCGTCGTTTGTTTCGTCGCACCACCACGCCTACTAGCACTGCAAGGCAATATATCAGACTTGAAGGTAGGTCGCACTGTATCACATTTGTATCTCTTTTGTGACCCCCACGTTCTTTCTACAGTCATCGGCGGAAAAATCTTCGAGTCCCCTCCAGCGCCAACCCGCTGGCATTTACATATCCATCAATGTCGACTCGAGAAGACGTTGGAAATCAGCCATTAGTATCTTATCATCCGATGAATCTGTAGCGTGGGGAGATACTGTGATTCTGTAAAGTCCCTCAAAACTTTCGGGCACGATCCGAGAACTCAACTTCGGTTTTCAGAGCATCCCACGAGTCACCTGCATTATCAGTGGAGATCAGAGCGTCTTACGAGGTCGACCGAATGCTTGGCAATGGAGAAGTCATTGGAAAACTTCAGACATCTTGGGATGAGTTGCTCGATCATGCAGATGAGCCATTCGGTGAGTTACTGAATCTACTTCTCATTCATGCATATCTATTCTCATTCCGTAGAACTGTCCTTCCCACCCGTTCGTGGTGTCAATTCTTCCGTCACGCTGAAGGCCGCTGTTATACACGCTTGCGATAATCAGGACCGCGCACCGATTGATGTGGGTGACCCAAGAATTTGTCCTGATAGCTTTCACTGACAGAACAGCAACTGTAGTCTCTCATAGATCGCGAGATTGCTCGAGAAACAGATGCGGGCCACGTACGACTCGCCAGATACATGATACACAAGCGGGTCTCTCAGCTGAACGATGCTGTAGAGCGTTTTCAGTTGGTTCTCGACCGCTGTCCAGTCGACCATCCTGACCATGCAGCGGCTCTCACCAACCTCGCGTGGGCCCGCCTTCAAGGCTATATTCAAAAGAATCCTCAAGACATCGATGCCATCACTTCCCTCTTCCGCGAAGCTCTTGAATTGCGTCCGCAGGGCCATCCAGACCACGCTTTATCTCTCTATCATCTCATTGTCGCATTGAAATGGCGCTGGAGCAAGGAGCGCGCTACTGTCTATATTCATGAATTCCTGCAACTGTGCTGCAAGCTACTGCCCATCTGTCCAGAGGCCAGCTACCTTCGTAGCATCGGCGTAGACAGTGAGATTGATTATATGATCAACGAATGCAACCATCTTCCGATTGATGCATTATACGAAGGCATCCACCTTCAACAAGTCGTGCTCGAGCTCTGTCCTCTGGGCCATCGGCACCGTACAACAGCACTGGACAAACTTTCACGGGATCTCAGGGCACGCTATGAACAGCATGGCAGCATTGATGATCTGGAAGAAAGCATACAACTTCGTCGTGAAATTGTTTCTCTATGCCCCGAGGGACATTTTGATCGTAGCGCCTACCTGAATAACTTGGCCTATTCACTCGAGTCCCGTTTTGATCACCAAGGCAAATCCCATGACATTGACGAGGCCATCTCCTTACATGAAGAAGCGCTGCTCCTGCGCCCTGTTGGGCACATATATCGCGATTTCTCGTTGGGAAACTTAGGGGGTGCGCTCCGCACCCGTTTCAATAAATGGGGTGATGTTGATGACATTAACCGAGCTGTCAGCCTCTATCGCGAGGCACTGACATTGCGACCACCTGGGAATCCACGTCGTGACACCATGCTCAACAACCTTGCTCTCGCGCTCAACAACAGATGTGACAAATTGCACGACATCGAGGATCTCAATGAAGCCATTGATCTATGTCGCGAATCCCTTCGGTTGACGCGGGGTGATCATCCAGCGTCCCATAGAATCCTTTTCAATTTGAGCTCAGCACTCTGCTCTCGTTTCACGCGAACTGGGAAGAATAAAGATGTCGAGGAGGCCATTCGACTCTGCCAAGAGTCATTGGTGGTTTTGCCTTCACTGCACCCAGACAGGTATTCCAGCTACAAGTGGCTGCAGGAAAGCTATATGTCTCGTTACCGTGTACAACACGATCCAGATGATTTGTCATTCGCTGTGGAGAACTTCAGACTGGCCTCGGGCCACCCTACTCAAGGCTTTCCGCGTCGCGTTCAAGCAGCGTTGAACCGGGTTGATGAAGCTGAAGATCATCAACACGACTCTGCCCTTGAAGCATACCAAACATGCTTGGAGCTTTTCGACAACCACGTAATGACGCGATCGTCGATCATCTCACGACGCGAGGCTGCCACTGCTTTTCGTCGGGCACAGTCACTGCCAGTCGATGCGGCATCATGTGCGGTTCGTTCCAATGATCTGCAACGAGCGGTTGAACTCGTGGAGCACGGTCGCGGCCAACAATGGTCGCTGGCCTCTCGGCTCAGGACTCCACTGGAAGACCTGAAGTCTGCGAGTCCACAGCTAGCTCAAACACTTGCAGAGCTCAGCAAGCGCCTGTCTGATGCTCAGGGTTCTACAGGCAGTGCCGACAAAGCTGCTGCTGATCAGGCAGCAATCAACTATATGAAACTCACAAGGCAATGGGAAGCTACAGTAGCTGAGATACGCAATCTTCAGGGTTTCTCGAGATTCCTGCTCCCACCTTCGTACAAAGACTTGCAAGCGGCAGCGTGCCATGGCCCAGTTATCATTCTCATTGCGAGCAAATACTCATGTAACGCCATCGTGGTTCCGACATCAGGACAGCCCCATCACGTTCGCTTCCCGCGCATCACTTTCGCAGATCTGGAACAGCTGAAGGACGATTTCGCTACGGCAATCCGGCATGCGGCTCGTATGCACCCACAGGAGCCGAGGAAGAAGTTGCGAGTACGCTTGCGGATCCTGTGGGATGAAATCATGCTACCCATCGTTAACGTCCTCCAACACGACCTGAAATTGCAGCACAAGTCTCGAATATGGCTTTGTCCGACAGCAGCCTTCACGTCCATACCTCTCCATGCAGCTAACCCATTCCGAATGAACACAGATTGCTCTGGGAAGGAGTCATGCCTGGAGGATCTCTACATCTGCTCTTATACGCCCACACTTTCAGCTCTTATTAGAGCTCGGCAGGCGATGAAGATGCGTGTGACTCCGTCCTTTGCGGCGATCGGACAAAGTGAACCGGGCGCAGGGCAAGGCGACATGCTCCCAGCTGTCGACAACGAGCTCGAGCTTGTCCAGACACTCGTTCCTCCCAACATCAAGTTCACTAATATTTCGAAAGACGAAGCCACACAAGCAGGTGCGCTCAATGCTTTGCAATGCAACACCTGGGTGCACCTCGCTTGTCACGGCAAGCAAGACCTTGAGCAGCCCTATAACTCATATTTTGCTATGAGAGACAAACCCGTTACGCTGCTTGACATCATGGAGAACAATTCTCCTCAAGCTGAATTCGCGTTCTTATCGGCGTGCCATACCGCTGTTGGTGATGAGGAGACGCCCGACGAAGCCATTCACCTCGCAGCTGGACTCCAGTTTTTGGGGTTCAAGAGTGTCGTTGGCACACTGTGGGGCTCAATGACGCTCTCGCAAAATACGTCGTAGAAGCTTTCTATGAGAAGATGTTCGAGGATCTGGAGGACGGCGTGATAGACTGTACGAAGGCGGCCTGGGCACTGAATCATGCTACGAACGCCGTGATGACGAAAGTGCCGCTCGAGCAGAGAATGGTGTTTATTCATATTGGTGTATAGTTTTACCTACGTTGTATTGCTTCGTCTGGTACATATTCAGGGGTTGTTTATCTGTGATCCTATGTGATACTTTTTTTGTAGACATGACCCTGATACGCTTGCGCTCTCGTTGTCTCGTTTCCGTATTCACTCTCGCGTTGTTGTTCCCTAATTTTTTTCCTTATGGATTCAAATTGCTTGTAGCCTCGTATTCTGCTTGAGTACATCATGATAGTGCGAGCCGACTCACACCATTATTCAAGCTTTCAAGGCCTTTTGCACCATAGAACTTAACATGCACACCTATTGAAGTTGGTAGCTTCGTCAATCCCAGATGGGTGCCTTAACCTGTGAATAATACTCTACTCCTCGTCAATGTGAAGCGGAGTATTGTACACCAAAGGACTGTGATATACTTTGCCTAGCTCACGACTCGGAACTCTACCTGATAGACCAGTCGTGTCTTGAAGTGTTATTCTCGTTAGCAAACATTATCGGGTCCGATGCACCACACGAGTCTTGCAACGAGAAAACATGATTGAAGGTGTAGCGAAAGACCAGGAGAAAGAGATGAGAGTACATAAAGACCAGAAGAAAAATGAAATAGTTATTCATACGCTGAAGCGTCAATGACAATCAGCATCTGGGGGAGATGCGCAACAGATTAAAAGCACGAGGCGAGCCAACAACGAGAGGGGTTGTAACTGTACGGTTGCTGCATCAGTAGCAGGAGGTTTTTCGGACGTCGACGCGTCGGTGGGCTGAGTTTGCGATGACAACACCTGCACTTGGCCTTGCGATTGGGTTTTCTGCAACTGCATTTGTTTCGCCTTCTCATATTCTGGGCGTCGAGCAACAAACAGTGCCTGCATAGAAATGATCGAAACACAGTGGTTGGAAATGCACGCGAAGAAAGCCATACCTGTTTGTCTCGTACTGCAGCAACTTGGAGAGTAAGAGGACCGTGACGAAAGAGGGTGGCTAGCCTTGAGTGTTGTTGGATTTCGGTTGATTCGCTAGTGTGGGAGTGAGAGCGACGAAAGAGCAATGGAAGGCGTCCAAGGAGCACGGGTGAAATCGAGGGTGTGAGGGCGCAATGGGAGCGGCGATCAGAGGAAGGATGGACACCGTACGACGTGGAAGACTGAGAGAAAAAGGTCAGTACAAGACCCCATTCAAAAAAAAATGCTCATGACGCACATGAATGTTGCCTCGTAGGTCATCGAAAAAACCTGGCGGTACTCGATGGGCTTTCATGGGTTGGGCTGGATGTCGTGTAGCATCACTCTGGAGTGATGATCTTATGTAAAATGCTCAAGAAGATTAAGAAGCACGCCACGCACGTTCTTTAACAACTTTCCAGATGTGACCTACAAGTGGGAGGTCCAGAAGTTAGAGTAGTCTTTACCGAAGGCATAAACTCACTGGCACATTTGGAATGGACAATAGGTCTTCAAAGCCAGCATCTTTGAGCATGGTATTGATATCCCACAGGTACACATTCTTGTCCTCGCAAGCGGTGGCCAGCAGCTTTCCATCCGCGGAAAAAGCTAGACAGCTCACGTCCTTTTCATGCTGGAGGAGTGGACACACTGGGAGGTTCGTGTTGAGGTTCCACAAACATACTGTTTCATCCCATATTGATGTAGTCGCAAGAAAGCGGCCGTTCGGAGACAAAGTCAAGTTGAAAATGTGACCCTTGAGAGTAGCGATCTGCTCCCAAGTGACCGTGTCAAATATCCCAATCGGGCCCAATGACCCAGATATAAGTTTCTTCCCATCTGACGACCAGGCCAGGCTTCGAACTGATTGATCTTGTTTGAGTGTGCTGAGCAGCTTGCCTGTATTGGCATCCCAGATTTTTACAGCGTTCTCGTTTTCTCCCCCCGTCGCAAATTTTGTGTTGTCGGGCGAGTATATCACCGCCCAAACATACTGGTGACCGTTCTTGATTTCTAAGACGGTTTTCCCGGTTTTGACATCCCACACTCTTGCTGTCCCGTCCCAGGATCCGCTCACGACTCGCTCACCATCTCCACTCCAGCATACTGACCCCACATTCTCAGTGTGTCCAACCCATTTGGCGATGGCCTTCCTCGTCTCCACGTCCCACAACCTCACCGTCCCGCTATCGCTTGCGCTTGCAATAGTCTTACCGTTTGGAGACAATGCTATTTTTTTTGCCTCTGCCTTATGCCCCTCATCCCGCCAGGCATCACCAATTTGTGCGTCGCTCTCCAGGTCCCATAGTCGGAGGGAGCCATCTTCCGAACATACGACGATGCGTCGTTCACCAGGCAGGTGCACAATATCGAGCAATTGGCTAGTATAGCCTCGCATCGCCTGGCGTGGCGTGATCGTTGGTGTATTACTGGTTGAGGATGACATGGTCGGCGCTCAGATTCTCAACTACGGCGGATGGGGAAAATTTGTGTGAGGACCGCTTTGAAAATGCTTGTCTGACAATGGCAAAGATAACTGGTGAGTTGAAGCGCCTTGAATTATTAACAAATCGCGAGGAAAAGCTGATGGAAACGTTTGCTTACAGGAATTCCGTCCTGACACGGGTGATGACTTCGGGACTATGTATGCAAGCCCGGTAGTGTGAGAACTGAGGATTCACTATATGGTATCGCTGATAAGCGGGTGGTTAGTTTCAGAGTGTCACTCACGAGAAGCACCTGTTCAGACCAGCTCAAAAACAGCTGACACTACAGTTACCTGTAAACTGAGAAAGTGGGCGTTGAGTTTAGAATTTAGGAAGGTGAGTATCTGTTCCTTTAAGTCGTATATTGCGGTGCATTAATAATTATCCTCGTGTTTGTTTCATACCTCAAGTGCTGTGTAGACGGAGCGCTCAGGTCCGACACCTACACCAAGTGCATATTCCTATTCTCACCAAGGGACTATGTCCATTGTGGCGACGAAGTTCAACGAGGAGTCATATTTCCTCTCTGCTTCGCGTGTCTCTTCCAGCCGATTTTGAACTCGGTTTCGTCAAGTCTTCAACATGTTTTTCTATTGTCCGGTGCTGTATTCCGACACCTGCCCGAGATTGCCGTGCTCACACTCATTCTATTCTGGTCCAAATCCTAGTAGACCTCTCCTTGGATGCTGATATCGTACATTCATCATTCGTGGCATCTGTTGCCGGGGTGAACTTATCGTTTGATAATGAGGTCATGGTGATTATCTTAGGTGCATCCACTGAGTACTGATACTTAGTAAACACGTTTTCTTCACTACCCCGGGATGAAGTAACTTCGCGTCGTGCGAAAAAAAAATCAACACTCCGCTGGATAACAGTGCGCTCCCTTTGTACTTCTCAGTCTTCAGGCACTCCATAAATCCTGGCCTTCGCTCTAGCCCGATGGATATGCTATCATCGCATTATTTTATTTTATATTTTATGTAAACAACAGTGTCCAGGTAAATCACTTCCGTTGTGGCTTCAGCATGAAGCTGACATCTGGAATGGTGTTATTACAGTGCATACCAAGGAAGCTCCAACCCTACAGCTTCAAGAACGAGGATATAAACCTACTTTTCTCAATTGTGTCAGTTGTGAGAGCGACAACATCGTAACCTATTACCCATCGTGGAGACCCTGACGCCTGCCTCGCGCGATTTGCAATACAGCTGGCATCTGAACCCCTTGATATAGTTGATCTCATCTACGATGAGAAATTGAGAATCGTATTTCTGGCGATGTATCTTGTGATAGAGGTGAAGAGAGTTGCGCGGGCTGTATTTTCTTGAAAAGAGTCCGATTGGTGGGGGTCAGTCTACGGGGATGAAGAAAGGAAAAAGATGGAGGTCAACCATCATAAGACGCGCGGTCGACGGCTAGGTCATCGTCTGAGATGGCCTCTACTTTGATCTGGGGACTCGAGGCTGATGATGGGGATGGGGATGAGAAAAAGTCGTGGATTTGGGCTGCGCGGATTAATTTTCCAGAGGAGGGGTAACCTGAGCGGTGAGATCATAATGAGGGCCGCATCGATAATCATCCAATGAGCAAACTCAAAGCAAAAGTGCGGATGCTCAGCGCGAAATTTTCGGGGTCTTTCACAATAAAGGCTCATACATACCAAGATTATTTTCGGGGTCCCCTGCGGTTCCGTTCTGTGACTGCTGTCCTCAAGGCCTTGCCGGCTGGATGGACTATCACTAATGACGTGTAATTGTTTGTTCGCCAATCTTGTCAAGTCGTCGCGTACATACAAGACCTCAGTTGGCCTGCGGAGATCACCCTTCCACAGACGTTCGCGCTTACTCGCTTTGTGGCGACAATGTCAAGTCGGTAGCTGTGGGTGTCGGTGCCTAGGTGTGGACATACGCCGCTAGAAAGGTAATGTGTCTATTGTCGTTATACCTTTGCAAAGGTCCACAGCTTGTAATTTAAATAGGGATGCGAGTGTTGGTGGACGGCAGAATTATTGTCTAGTTCAAACCACCCATCTCTAACATCTCTACCTCCTTGGCACAAACGTTTCATATAGCAAAAAAAATGCAGATTAAAACAATGGATTCAGCCAGGACCTCAGATATCGTTGATGCACTGCAGAAAGACGTAAGCCCTCGGTTTTGTAGGTTCAGGTTGGTGTCTGATTACAATGATAAACATTCATTTCAGCTTGATTCTATTGATGATTACGAGACGCCTGACTTCGACACCGCCTACTCCCGACTCGCAGCCACTTGCAACCCCTCTACCAACTTGAACGAGCTCGAAGTTCGGGCCATCATCATCGAACACCAGCAGCAGTTGGATGCAGTTCAGCTCAAGGCCTCAAACCCTAGCGAACTCGATGAGAGTGATCGTGCCAGGAAACTTCGCCGGCGACTCTTAGAACAGGAAGACGAGATTATCGAGTCCCAACATACACACAGGAGACCTGTATCAACCCTTTGGCACTTTCCAACCGAAATATTATCGCTCATTTTCGTTTACTGCCTCCCGGATGACAAGTACATGTTGCCCCACCCAGAGAAGGCCCCCGTGCTACTGACCAGAGTATGTCGACGATGGAGAGAGGTTGCTGTGGACATGCCCGGTTTGTGGTGCAAACTGTCTATGGGCCATAAATTTCAGCGTTCAGCCGCCTGTTGTGACTCTTGGCTCGAGCGAACACAAGGACATCCGCTCTCATTGGCATTCTGGCGTGGTCGCAACAATCACTGGATCGAGTCACGAAGCCTTCTTCAGCCATATATAACTCAAGTCACTTCACTTGCTCTTCTCTCTGACTCCGGTGCCAGCCTGCCTGTGGTAACAGACTTCATCGCACTCGAAGAGCTGACCATTTTCGCGGACACTTATCATCCTATGCTAGATGTTGCCCACTCTATCTCGCAATCACCTCCCACTCTGCGCAGTTTCAACATACCGCGCCCGCGCTTCGAACTCGAGTCCTTCTCTGACTTCAAACCCGCATTATGGGCCAATCTCACAAATGTCCAGATCACGGTGGATCAACCGCATACAATTAGCCACTTGCTCTATCTATGCCCCGACCTCACCTCCTTATTGGTCGGTATATCTTTTAATGCAAAGCAGGTTTTAGAACCATTCACGCACACCAAACTTCGATCCTTAAGCATCGTTTCCGGGGGTTGGAATCGTGGTGGCGCAATCGTGGATCTTGCCTGGGGCCTATTCGATGCTGTCTCACTCCCCGAACTACGCGCACTTGAAGTTCACTATGTACAACCATGGCCTCATGAGGGATTCAAGGCATTTTTGACACGATCGAACTGTCCCCTTGAGAGCCTAATATTCGGCCCTGGAGTGATGACGACGGATGAGCAGCGAGCGGAATATGTCGCCCTGATTCATTCCCTACAAGTAGTAGTGGATCACATGCGTCCAAATGATTATTTTCAACTCAAACGGAAGATCTTTATGTATTTCACGAAATGATAGAATCGGGTTTACACTACTCTAGCTGGTCGTTCCGTCATACTTGTATCATACCATAAAGCAATGCACCACATGTCTCTTGTTTTACATGTCCACTGTCAAGAAATCCGAATCTTCCTCATCGCACTACGAAGGTACCCGATTGTTGTCAAGGGTTGATACGGAACTTACCAGTTGAAACTTGAACGGTAGGCTAGCAAGCCGAGATGAGTCTGTGTGTCAATATGATGATGAAGGCGCTCGCAGTCAGGATCTCTATTGGCAGATATTTTAGCGCCAGTTAGGCTCGTGACCAGCCTGGCATATACTACCATGGATGCTCGAGTGGTGTAGCCAGGCTGGTCAATCTCGGAAAGATTTGGCAGGGGAAGCACGGAGTTTGAAAATTTGCAGTTGCCGATTGTGCCGGTGGTACTCGATCATATGTCACTATACCGTAGTCTTTGTGCGTTCACGCATATGCTATGATCGTGGCCTTGCAACCATGGATTGTGAGGCTGTTTCTGTTTCCCCAATGTCCCTTGCTGCGCTAGATGCACTTGAGAACCTTCCAACAGAGTTCATTGAACCTTTGCATATATCCCAGTGCCAGAACATTGTAGACTCTTTCGCCCGACTCGATTTTCTTACAGAAGGAACGAAGCAACCAAAGCTGTTTCAACTCGAGTGCCTCATGTCATTGCTCGCATCAAGATATGTTGTTGTCCGGGCTGCAACAGGTGCTGGCAGGACACTGGCAATGATCCTTCCCTTAGTCCGTGAATGATCTGAAAGGCGAGGTTGTTTTGCAAGCGAATGTTTGCAATTTGCGATTGGATTACAGTGCAGTACTAGCTCGATGTCTACATTAGTTTTGTGTGGTTCGAAAAAAAGCTAACTGTTTTGACATTTTGATGCTTATTCTCTTTCACCGCACGAGTTGTCCGCATAGCAGATGATAGTGCAATATCTGAGGTAAAAGCACAGGAAATGGTATCATTATACTGCGAACAGATGATGCAGCGTCGTTGACGCTGGATGATAATGACAATAACATCGAGCGGCACAATCGGCAACTGCAAATTTCGAACTCCGTGCCCCCCCCCGCCAAATCTTTCCGAGATTGACCAGTCTGCCTACGGCAAAATTCACACACATCTCAAAAACGCACGTAGGCAGAATGGTTACGAGTCTAAGCGCCAGTGGAGTGTGGACGTGATGATCAAAATGGTAAACAATCACCTGATGTTAGTAGACGGATATATCATTATGGGCTATAGCCCTAAAACTGGAATACATCCCTTGGTTCAACTATCCATTGACATGATACATCACTGTAGGCTAATTATCCACCTATCTTCCATCCAAGAGCCGGCACATTTGTTACTTTGACAGCGGATGCCCGGCCAATGTCTAAGTTGAGCAACTTGAGCATTTTCTGAGAATCTGAGATCCAAATGTTGATTCATTGAAGACGTCACTATGTATGAAGGTACAGAAGCTACTAATCAACCCCATCGAGATCTTCGTGTGGGGGTTCATCAATAGAAGGTCCGTCAATAGAAGGTCCGTCGTCCTGCTCGCCTTCTGTGCCATAATCCAAACCCGCACTTACTAGGGCTCCCACATCCCTCCACATTTCCGAAAAGCTTGCAGACAAGCCGCGACGGATAGCAGCCTGGCGGTTTGCATATGCGATCAGACCTTCTGCATATTCTGACCGCTCTACCATGCGAAGGGTTGCTCGCTCGTCCCACTGTCTGGCTTCCCATGCGAGAAACGCCAACACGCGCTGCATCTCAACCAGTAATAGCTGTATTTCTTCTTGCCACCGGTTATGTCGGGCCCTTGCCTTACACCATTCGACGCGGAGTGCTAAATCCACCGCAGAGTAAGTCTGTCATCTTCAAACGAAAACAGTGCTGCATGATCACTTACTGTCTTGCAGCCCCTCGCTGTCATGCGAAGAGATCCCATGAGTAAGCCAGATCCACGGCATGATTGCTGTGCCCAGAGTCTGTCCCCCAAGATCACCTATTGGTCTGAGGTCCGTTTTCTTCAGTGGTTGTAGGCCGCGATCCCACCCAACATGATCAATGTGCCTCGACAGGCAGACCAATGCGCTACGCGCACGCAAATATTTATCATGGCTGAGGACTAGCCGGTCATCAACAGCTTGTACGGTCTTCCGCGCCCGAGTATTGGCACATTGTCCACGTAGGTGCTGGCTTTTGAAACGCAAGAGCTGATGGCGAAGGCGTATATGGGATTGGCACTCGTCCAGAGCGTCATTTGCCTGCGCAAAACGCAATGACCATTCTATGTGAAGCAGTTTGGATCGCACGGTGCGTAGCTGCAGATGTCGGAAGGAAATAGCAGCTGAAAGTCCTCAGGTTTGACAGAATTGGGCCTCGACCTTGGACATCCGCTCTCTTCGTCATCACTGGGTGTATGGTTGAGGCCGGTAGCATTAGTAGCACGGAGTTGAGAGACAGATGGCATGTATAAGACTTGAATCTTGGTCCATGCTTCAATACGACGTTGGAGACTATTGCTGCGTGCTAGGATCTTCGTTTGTTGTTCATTTGTTGCATGTTGACCTAAGCTCCCGTTATCTGCACGAAGCCGTCGTCTAGAAAACAAAATTAGTGTAGTATCGCTTGAATTCACTTGCCACCTACTGTGTATGCTCAATATCCAGACCCGTGCTGATGAGAATGCTCGGCGTCACATCAGAATGAAGTGAAACCGAAGATCTGTCCTCTAAATCTTGCGCATCTTGCATTAGTAGCTCTAGACGAACGGCCGCCTGCGTTGTGGCTGAACTTCCCATGAGACTATAAACAACTTGAATGAAGGCCGAAAAAATTACCTGTAACCCTGCTCTCAAACGGATTCGGATTCGAGTGGTCTAGCTCCCATGCTAATACTTCGTTTGTCCAATTTGTGAGTGAGGCAACGCCTAAGTCTGATTGCGTGATGGACTCTTCCAACTCCGTAAGGGCATGGCGATGTTCTGTTTTGGCTTTGACGGCTTCCTTGATCTTGCGGAGTAAGACACGACCTTTAAAAATACATCGCTATAGTTAGTTTATGTCAACGAGCTGACTGCTGCAAAGACGTACCAAATGCAGTCACTTTCTTCCAGTTCCAATCGCCGAAATGGTCGTCAAGAACTTCGCGACGACTACCAGGCCCCATTTCCTTCGTACTTGCAGTGACGCGGTTTATATCGGCCCATCCACGTTCTGGTGCTTCCCCGTCTGTTCGACCGACTCCTGGTGTCCAGTTGAAGGAGAAATTTGTTTGGCAAGCGGCGATATGAGCAGCAATATGAAACTTGGGCACAAAGAAGTTGAAGGCCGTGTGCGCGCGATTGGGTTGGAGTTGCGAAGGAAGGGTCGAGACACGCTGCCAGAGCTTTTTGTGCCACTGGCAGGCAATATCATAGGAAAAGTTGACTATGGGAGTGAACGCAAAAGCAGACAGGGCGGAGAATACAATGTAATCCATATTCATATATCTGATGGAGGCATGAGTACCTGTAGCAATGGCATTGATAAAATTACTCACTTTTCGCCTCTTTGCAAATCTCCAACGCCACTTGCGAGCCGCATGTCGTGCCGCGCACAAACGACTGAGCCTACGCCGGTTGCCGCAAGCCCTTTGGCAAGCTTGGTATCCGCCATGTTGATGGCATTGTGGCTAACGCACATGCTCTTCTAAAGCATGTATTAGTACACCATGATATAAGTGAAGTTAAAATAACAAACCTCTTGCCTGACATCTGCATGATCGCGAAGGTATGTCTTGTACTGTCCTTCTTCCACAAAATACCCCCATCCGGGACTGAGCCCAGGGTCCTTGATATCGTTCGACACGAGACGACGCTTAAGGCGAAAATTGGCGTCAATGGCCAAGAATAGCGAGTAAAGCCATCTGTGTAAAACAGTAAGTTAATGATTGAATGAGTAGACGGAGGAAAACATACCGTTCATTTGAGCTGACATGTGCTAAGTCCTCAGGGACATTTTTTCCGAGCTGCGGACAGGCAGGGCACAGGACTGCGAGTTGTCCTTGTTGCGTTGCATCAACTCCCGCAGGGTCGTGACCGCGACCTGATCGTTTCAACGATGTGAGATTCCGCCACTGTCTCATGATCCTTAAAAAGACAGAGTAGCGGTCCTGTGTGGATAAATTAGTCAGTAACTAAGTAAGAAACGAGTGTCAGTCACCTTGATAGGCTTAATGCCTGTGTTGTCGCTTCGACGTGCAAGGCAATGATAAAACTCGTAAGCCGACACTTTAGACTCGAACGAAAGGAGGTGGAAATGTTCGAGAACTGCAAATGTTGCTGCAGTCCTCGGATCTGTTGAAGTTGATGGAAAGAAGCGGCCACGCAAAAGTTGTCTGTAGTGGGATGGTGCATTCGCACAGCTACAGAAGTCGAGCGCAACCTCGTGTATTCCATGGACGTCGATTACAACAAAATTGTCCTCTCGTGCGGGTTTGGGATTGCGGCAGGACTGGCCAGTGTGATCTCCTAATTGGATGCACAGGCCAAGGTGTTTTAAAGTTGTAGCGTGAAAATATCCGTCCTGCCATTGCTGAGATAGTGTTGTCAGAGAAAGGTACACCAAGTTGGTAGTAACCGAAATGCGAACCTACCTTGACTCGATGAAGCGGTACATTCTGGTGGAATTTGATCATGCACAGACGGCAAAATAAATCAACTGAAAAACAATCCTCACAACGATATGATGCGTCCAAGTCCCCACAAGCATGGCATGAATGATCAGCCTTCCCGCGCCCTTCTAATCAAATCAACTCGTCTAGGTAATGCGATCGTTCTGAGGTCCAGACGCGCATCGGATCGTCCTATCATGGAAAAAGACAATGCAGAAGTCAGGTTTAGTTGAATAAAAAAAAGGGAAATGTCGCTCACTTTAACCATCTGCTTTTGTTTTTCAGTCAGAACATAGATCTCATGAGGTTCAGCATCAAGAGATATATAGGTCTCATTCCAGGGATCAGTCTCGCAGCAGTCAGCGCCAACATCGTGAGTCTCTGAGACGTTGTCCGCCGGTAGGACAGCATCAAGATATCTTGTCTCCAGGTTGATTTGTCCGGTAGGTTGAATTGTGAATACTCGATGGCGGTGGACGTTCTGGGAGGATTGTCCAGCAGAACCTGGGACAGGATGTCGAACAAGTCGAGGCTTCTTGCTGGGACGACCACCTGCTCCAGCCATGATTGTGAGTGAGAGTAAGAGCTAGTGTTGTCACACGGTGCAATGCGCTGTTGATATCACGTAAATAAGCTTCAACTGTGCCGACTCCAAGTGTAATCTATGTAGAGTTGGCCTAATGAGTGGGATTGAAAACTTACTAGTATATTAGGTGGGAGAGCTTAAGACGAGGCATTGATTTGTATGAAAAGGAATTGTTGTAGGCACTTGCGGATTGAGACAGGCGAGTTATGAGTTTTGGTCGGACCGCAAGTCTTAGTATTGATCACCTCTTATGGGTGTTAACAGTTGTACTAGTAGTGCGACCATTACAATTTATGAAGACCATACATATACTACCTATTTAAAATAAATCTCATAAGTCTAGAAGGTGGCGGCCCACCCAGTACTACGTTCCTGCATGCATTTTACTATGTTAATATCAATATGGCTCACTCAGAGACAATATCAGTATATTTATTATGGTCGGACTCCCTGAACGTTTGAAACCCTGAGCTTCTTTGAGCTCTGCTTCTTTTCAACTTTTTCTGAACCTATACCACTACAATTTCAATCCTAGTCCTCCAATGATGGCACGTCCAACTATTCACAAAACGGTGCAAGAAAGAAAGGAGGCTGCACGAGAAAAGCACAGACGCTACTATGCCAAGTATGTCATGATTTTATTAATTGTTCCCGATGCTGTTCCTGACACCTACAGACATAGAGACCAAATCTTACAATGGCGGAGGGAGCATGGTGTAAAGAAACGTGACAAGGAAGCAGAGGCGATATCAAAAGAGATCTCGAGAGCTGTGGCGAAAGGATTGCGTGGCTGTGAGGATGATGACGAGTCTGAATCAGCGTCTGAATCAGACTCTGACAATTCCAGTGACGATGATGAAACTGACACACTGTAAGTTCTATTCTGTTTTTAAAAATAGAAATATGAATTGAAATGAAAAATTAATGTCCAACAGATCCAATCTTCCGGCATGCTTACTCGCCATCAAAGTCGCCAAGGACGACATGCTCACATTAATCAGTGCCGACCCCTGCGAGTTCGCCAAGGGAAAGTTTGGCGAGTACGTCAAGAGCATCCCAGATGATTGCAGTACAAAGGGTGATATCTCTATCATCGTGAACTCAATCGGCGAGATTGAAAAACTACTCAAGCGTGTGATTCGTGCACAAGACAAGATCCTGAATTTCTGTGGTATCTCACCTGAGTGGCATGCCGCTGACACAGTCTCTCGATTCTTGAAGACCACAGCCGCATACTTGGAGGACATTCAGCTTCTTGAAATGTCCGGAGGAATTGTGGAGCTTACAGTGGCACAATGGTTGGGGGAACTAATGTATCAGAAGGACATCAGGATTTGATTAGTACCATACATAATTCGCGACTACATACATTGAGCCAAAATACAGCTGCGAGCTCCTTCCAACACAAAAAAGTACATTTGGGGGCCCGTGCGTGGGATGTTTGAGAGCAAAATATCGAACTATTATCATTCAATTCGTGCTACATAAGTATACCCATCCCACGATCGTGTGAGGCAACGTACGTGAACATTTTAATGACAGCGCTCATTGCATAACAATTAATGTAGATGGCACCCCGGAAATGGAGCACTCCTGAGCAGGAGGCATGGCTGCGTCCTTGGTATGAGAAGTATCGCGCAAAGCAATCAGACCGAGCCAAGAACTGGGCAAATTTCTTTACCGACTTGTTGGAGGAGTGGCTTGATGTATTCCCCGAGCCAAGGCCAGCTACAGTGCCACCTATTGGGCCGCTGACCATGGATGAGCTTGTGATCATGGATCAGGCTGAAGCCGAGCGAAAAAAGGTGCGTCGTCACCGCAAAATGTCCTGTTGAAACAATCATGTTAATAGATGCTCGCAGAAATTAGAGAAACCGTTTCAAAAATAGCCTCGGGTCTACGAAGACGGGACGGCAAGCAAAGGCTGAGGCCGCAAACATCTTCAATGCGGTGCTGAAGAGTGTCACCGAATGTGAAAAGCCGACACGTTCCCTTCAGGAAGTCGAGGCATATTCCAAACTTTACTACCAGAGGCGTGTAAAGGTCATGGTTGATGACAGACTAAAGGCAGAAGCTGAGGCGCTACAAGCCGAGAACAAGGCACTTACTAATGGGATGTGTGTAGCCATTGCCAAAAAGGTGGCAGCGAACCTCTACGAAGGAGAGACAAATGAAGTTAAGGCGGAGGTACGGAAGTACATCGAGGATGCGAAGATGCATAGAGACAACGAGAAGGAGGGAATGTGGAGCGAAGACGATTATGGGAGGTAATGATTCATGAATTCTAACGTGTCAATAAGCTTACATGACTTCACAGAAATATTGAAAAACTCGCCGCTATGGTCAATAAATTCTTGACCGGACTTGCGGATGCGACAGGGTTTTCGTTCTCCCTCCTCGCAGGTGGCCCTTCTCCAGAGCTTGGTGGATTGATTGATGTCTATAGGTAAGTCATCCATGTTTATCCGTAGCATTCAGTACTCACCTTGGATACGAAGTTTTCATGTAGGTCAAACGAAGTATGGGAACAACTTCAGTCAAACATACCCAGAATTTGAGAGCGCTATCATGGCTCCTTTCAAAGACTATCTGCACAGAGTTTATCGTAAGTTTGCTGTAATCACTGATAGAAGCCGACTTACCAATCCATCAATAGCAGAGGCTACAGCGACTTTGAAGGCGAGGCTAGGGAGTGCAAGCGATGATCTCGATCATGATGATGGTGGTGATCGTTCACCGATAAGTGCGGGGTTAGGAATTAGCCATGATGACACATCTGGTCAGGTGATGTTCAACACATTGTCCCAGGCGGACAAAGTCCCAGACATCAATTTGCCTGAAAACTCGACTGATATCAATTGGCCAGACATAGACGACTCATTCTGGGAGGGACTCTCTGCGCAAGTCGATGCATTTGAGGCGTCAGGTGGAAATCCAAACCTGCCATGCTTACCTCCCTACCCGCAGGCAGCATCTGCCTTGGAGTCGCTGCCAGCTCCCTTAACTCCACCTCCTGGCTTGCCCCCAAACACGTCGCCATCACCTCCCATAACTCCACCTCCTGGCTTGCCCCAAAACATATCTCAGCCTGCACCCATTGTGGTACCACTGCAGGACTTACCCACACCACTGCAGAACTCACCCGCACTTCCTCCAACCACCACATTGTCCTCTGAGTCTACGCGAATCCAGGCCCCATCCATGGATTTATTTCAGCCTACACCCATCTTAGCTCCGGAGGACTCACCCATGCTTCCTCCAGCTGCTGTTCCTTCGTCCGCTGCGCCAGTTTCATCCCCATCTACCATACCCGATCAACAAAGTCAGCCTCTCGCACCCGTCGCATCCCCATCTACCATGCCCGATCAACAAAGCCAGCCTCCCACACCCATCGAGTGTTCTGTTCTGCGCAGGACCGGCCGAGTCTCTGTTCCATCCTCGCGCAATGTTATTGCTAACAGTATTGGTGACAACCGTCTGATTGCTAGCAAGCGCCGTGGACCGGCAGGCGAAGATGGTGTCTCAGGTCACAAGAAGTGCGTTATTTTCGTCGTTTATAAATTCGGTAAATCTAACTTGACAAACAGGAAACAAAGAGTTTAAAGTTTCAAAGCTCTGCAGTCACTACCATACCTATCTTCGCATATAGTTAATTTGTCGTCTTCGCATATAGTTATTTTGTCGTCATTCTTAATTGTTGTCTTGATAATAAAATGAGCTTACATGTTTCTGATCAGTGAAAATCTGAAAACACTTAGAAATGCGAGAATATGTACATCACGTGGTACAAGACTCAGTGCAGAAAATGAAGGGCGAGAATACGAACATCACGTGACGACAGGTTGACTTACATGACGAGCCTTAGTGCGCAGCGACGTGCTCGATGGTTTCTTCTTTCGAAGTGAAGATCTATCTCGCCCACAGCCGCCGGACCAGAAATAGCTCAAATCAAGATCTAGCTGAAATCAAGATCTAGAAGGGGACCTGGCCGGAGAGGGGGGCTGAGAGTGTCTAGTTTTGGTACTCGACCCCCCCCCCCCAAGAAGGCCTGGAAAGTGCTGAGAATCTAAATTTTGGATCCGCCACGGATGTATCGAAGGATACATCCATCTGGATGATGGACAACCTGCCTAGATGATGTATCCTGGTTTTAGGACTATAGTCCACTTTGAATGTATCAATCTAGCATTATAGACTCAAACAATGTCCCGCATCACCTTGCGATTGACGCTTGCCCACTGACTAGCATGTTCACGTCTATCGAACACCAAAAGCACCATGATCACAGGAGGGATTAAAAATAAAAGTCACAGCTTGACAAGTCTGTTCTAACTTCTATGACTTTTCCTAGTCGTCATGTATATATATGCTAAAAGCCATCGACCTGGTACTTCCATATACAGACGCTCGCTGACTCGCTGACTCGCTTTGCAACATTGCAAGATAGCTAGCTAGGTGTGAATCGAGTCGGATGACTCGGATCCTAGCTGTGGACATACTACAGTGGAAAGGCGATGTTTTTATTGTGGTTTGACCTTTGCGAAGGTTTGGGTCCTAGTTGTGAACTTGTGGATATTACGATAGGCATGTGACGTGTTTGACCTCTCATCAGGAAAAAGCCGGCTCACTATGTAGTGCTATATAGTCAGGGTAGTCCGTGTAGCCCGGTTGCCACCTGCCCAGTATGTAGCAAGTGAGGCAACTATGTCGTACTACATGGTGCTACGTAGTGCTACATAGAATCATGTAGCACTACCAGTTACTACTGTAGCTCGTAGGAGAACTACTACAAGCAACAACCACCAGCTCCTAGCAGCTATATAGCACACTGTAGGGACAGTAGTAGCACGCAAAATAAATAGCACGGAAACAATTAAATTCAAATGCCCTAACAAAACTAATAGCTTGTTCGATCCTCCTCGTCATTCCCCTCAACTGCTGCTCTCGCTCGATCCTCCTCGTCATTCCCCTCAGCTGCTGCTCTCGCTAGCCCTACTACTCCTCAACTCTCGTTATCATCCACACCACGCTCTTCTTCAAGCTGATGCTCGCGAATCACATCTTCAAATGCTTCATCATCGATACAGAAGGCGGCCGACGACGCAGTGGGTGCGTCAACACCTGCATGGAAGCTTAAAGCAGAAACATTAGGCTAGGGCTTGTGAAAGTTAAGTGTGACGTACCGAGCCGTGTCAAGGAGATTGTCGCAAATTCGTTCGAGTAGTTTGTAAGGAGCCGTGCGCTCGTGAAAGCGCTGCAACGATCCCAAATGACCTCTGTAGACAGATCCGTAAGCAGCCGATGTGAATTTTATATCCTCCTTCAGGCCTTGCAACCACTCGTCGATACAATATTCAATCTATCAATGATCAGCGCTGTTGACTTTAATGTAAGAATACTACAACTCACGGCTGTAAGCACGAGCGCAACAACCTCGATAGGCATGGGGTTGAAATACTCATGGTAGATGATGCCCTCGTCTTTTCGGTTCACAAACCACATGATGTTGATGCCTTCTTGCAGCAACTCGGTTTTGTAGATCCCCTTCTTCATTGTCCAGTCCTATTACCCAACAGTCAGAACTCAAAAGGTCATGTAGATCATTGCGCTGCGTACCTTGAAAACAAACGCCGAACCCTCTTTCAGAGATTCCGCCAGATCTCGGTTATGCCTTATCACCTCCCTCGAATCACTTGACCGGAACCCAAAAAACGAATGAGTCAGGGTTCGCATCTTCGTCTTGAGTTCGCCGTGCACATGCGATGTGCGCTTTAAGAGCTTCATAAGGTATAACATAAATCAGACCAAGAATGCACTCAGAGAAAGGGCTTACTATTTTGACCGCTGTCGGCGTTAATTTGACATTGGTGCCTTTGATTTGGCCTGCCTCACGCCAGGCCTCTTTTGCCAGTTTTGTCTCGACAGCTATAGTGTCAGGGAACGGTGCCCGAGTAACAACTAGGCAGCGGAAAATGGAGGTCGCAGTGGTAAGAATCTCTTTTGATATGTCGTCGAAATCGCTCGCTTTGACACGTTGACGTGAACTGTCGACATTTTTCTTGATCTTTGGCCTTACCATAGCATCTTCTGGTGCAGTGTCGAGAGGTCGTTTCGTCCCCTGAGCGGTAGTCGATGGTTCTTCGATGATGTCTTCATCCTCTTCGTCAGCGACATCAGCCCCAGCCTCGGATCGAGAGTTGTCACTAGACTCATCACTAGTATCGTCCGAGGTAGTAGAACTGTCATCAACGTTGCTTGTTGGAGTTGTGTCCCATCGAGTAGTAGACTTGCGTTCGCTGCCACTGGTGTGTGGCGCTACGGGAATCTTCGTTGTACTGAATGTGAGAACCCTGGCATTGGACAGCTTCGTCTGGACACTGTGATCCGAGAACTGAAAAGAAAATCAGCTGTTGTTGAGTCGCAGGAAAAAAGGTGAGTAATCAAACCATAGTGTCTTCCGCCCTGTCGGGGTCACTAAGCAGTTCGGATGGTTCTCTCTCGAAGTCTTTGGGATTGCCTTGATAGGCAGACTTCAATGCTTTTTTCTTATGTTTTTCTAATTTATCTTCCTTTCTTGCTTGACGGCGGACAATATGTTGCGATTCAGATACTATAGAGTGAGGTTGTGTTGCGAGTGAGCAAAACACGTTGTCGTAGTAGCAGAGAGCAGCAACTTACATCGGTAATTTTCTTTTTCAGTTGGTTTTCGTTGTCGACCACTTGTGGTGCGCGGAAGCGGTTGCGTTCTACGCGGTGATGTTGGAGCGCTTGATTTTGATTGCTTTGAGGTGGCCTTAGAGTTGGCCATGGTTGTTGGTCCTCGGAACACGAGGTGTGAATGACCTGCAGTTCAGCTGGTTTTATAACGCCACACAGGATATAAACACTCACAATTTGAACCTTGAATCTTTGTTGATTTCAGGGCTAAAAGCTGTGTTAAACGGGGAATGATAAAAGGTTTGAACGTGAACGTACCGGTACAATATATTCATTGTCATGGACACCTCCGACTCAGCCAAAAAACGGTACGGAGCTTATTCAAACACTCACCAACCTCTAACAATTTTTACAGCCCAATATCACCATCCCATGAGGACACCAGTGAAGGCAGGAAAATTAGCGCTAAAAGGTGAGTTGCCCCTCCTCATTACCCCCAAATACTCACTGGCTCGCAGGCCAAAGGTCAAAGCGCCTGGCGCAGAGCCAAGGCATGAAGTGCCTGGTGCGGAGCCCATGTTCCCACTCCCTCTGTTTCATCAAACTCCTGGCCCAATCTCCGTTGCTCAGTCGTACTTGCGAAGGCTCATTTTGGAGCGCTGGGAGGCAGAAGTTAAGGCCTGTGAGAAAGCAAAACAATTGCAACTGTTAGAAATAGCACCAGGACCAGCGCTTACCCTTATGCAAGTGAGCTTGCGAAGGATTGTCATCGATCGATGGGATGCAGAACTGAAGCGTTGTGAGGAGGCAAAGCGGGTGCAACTGTTAGAGTTGCTTCTTGGCGCCCATGGCATTTATAGACTAGTGTAGTGCCGTTACAGGGCTAGTCTCCATAATGGACCTAAAAAATTACGGTACATGTCAGAAACAATCTTGAAGAATGAATTTCTCGGACCTTACCCAGCTGGTATAGATGGGTGATGAACCTTGCGCACAACTGCCAGGGAGGGGGGTAGATGGGTGATGAACCTTGCGCACAACTGCGGTTAGAAAAGGGCGGTAGATGGGTGATGAACCTTGCGCACAACCGTGATTAGAGGGGGGTAGATGGGTGATGAACCTTGCGCACAACCGTGGTTGGAAAAGGGCGGTAGATGGGTGATGAACCTTGCGCACAACCGGGGGTGAGGACGGGTGGACCGGGTGCCCTATATAAATTACGGTACATGTTAGGTTAACCGGGTGCATAAACTCTGAATTACGGTACACGTCAGAAATGATCTCCAAAAACGATGTCCAAATCACTCACCAAAACCCCCACCAACCATGTATCACAGCTGCGGATTCTGTGGCAAGGATTTCACTTCAAGGGAAAGTGTCTCGAAGCATATAGCTATCCGCCCTGAATGTCTAAGAAAATGGGAATTACTGGTTGAAGATACAGACAATGAGGGTGACCTACCAGTGGACTTCTCTAACGACAATTCATTTTCCCCGCTTCGCCGCTCGCGCTCTAAGTCTTTCGAACCTAATGACGGCGAGCCAGCAGCATCAAAAAGTCGGCGGGTGACTGTTGAGGACATTGCTGATGAAGACTTGGACAATGTGATAGAAAATAGCGGGCGATATTTCGAGCAGTGCCGTGATGCTGGCTGGACATTGCGGGAGGGGCAAACTGGTTTTGAAAGGTATCAGCGGCATAAGGAGGATGAAAATGAAGACGAGTGGGCACCGTTTTGTGATGAGTGCGAGTTGTTATGTTCATTGTGCTTGCGAGACAGTTGACTTTGGTCACCAGGGAAGAATGGGGACTCGCTGAATGGCTTGTTAAAAGCCTCGGGCAGACTCGAACAGATGAGTTTCTGAAGCTACCAATAGTAAGCTTGGTGTTGACCACTGAGACAATGTACTGACCATAGCGATAGACGCAAAACCGAACACAGCCGTCGTTTCACAACAATCGATCCTTCATGCAGAAAGTTGATAGCCTTCCACATGGACCTGCCTGGAGTTGCGAGAAGGTTAGCATTGAGGGAAATCGAACAGATGAGGCTGGCCAGTTGCTGCGTGAGGATGTTGAGCTTTGGATGCGTGACCCTGTGGAGTGCGTTAAAGATCTCATCGGAAATCCTTTATTCAAGAACCATATGGTATACGCACCTACACGTGCATACAAGGACCGTGAAGGACTTCACCGAGTAATCGATGATATGTGGACTGCGGATTGGTGGAGTGACAAGCAAGTAAGTACCAGTCCAATAATTCAAGCAAGTACTGACCTACAATGTCCAGAAACTGTTGCCAGAAGGAGCAACCATCGCACCTGTCATTCTTGCGTCAGACAAGACATGTCTGTCGCAATTCCGAGGTGATAAATCAGCGTGGCCTGTATACCTCTCGATCGGCAACATCGCGAAAGAAAAAAGGAGGCAAACGTCAGCACGAGCAACAGTCTTAATTGGATACTTGCCTGCAGTAAAACTTGATTGCTTCACATCGGATGCACGCTCCCTTGCACATTACCGACTGTTCCACCATTGCATGTCCCTCCTCCTTCAACCGCTCATCACTGCAGGACGAGATGGTCTTGACATGGTCTGTGCCGACTCAATGGTACGCCGAGTATACCCGATCCTCGCTGCTTATGTGGCGGATTTTCCGGAACAATGTCTCATGTCATGCTGCAAAGAAAATCGCTGTCCCAAGTGTCTGGTTGGAGCCAATGAAAGAGGTGATCCACTGAGTTCCCTGATGCGGGACCCTCAGTTTATCAAAGAGGTCCTAGATAGGCGGAAAAACGGTCAACATCCAGCTGAATTTGACGACTATGGACTGCGGGCCGTCTATAATCCTTTCTGGGCCAATCTCCCACACACAGACATTTTTCTCTCCTTTACGCCTGACCTCCTACATCAACTCCACAAGGGCGTCTTCAAAGATCACTTGGTTAAGTGGTGTCTTGATATTATCGGCGATGCTGAAATGGATTCACGCTTCAAAACAATACCGAATTATCCTGGTCTTCGCCATTTCAAAAAAGGAATATCTGCAGTGAAACAATGGACTGGCGCAGAACACAAACAAATGCAGCGCGTTTTCATAGGGTTACTTGCTGGTGCGGTCCCAGGGTAAGCTTCAATACATGCTTCACAAGGTTCGCACTGACAGAATCAATTTTAATCACTTACCAGTCAAGTGTTAGTCGTTGCGCGAGCAATTCTGGATTTTTCCTATTATGCACAACTCCGAATGCACACAACTGACACCCTTGATCGTCTGCAGGGCGCCCTTGCCGTATTTCACGCCAACAAGAATATCCTACACGAACTTGAAGTTCGTGAGCATTTCAACATCCCTAAACTACACCAGCTCTCGCACTACATCCAGTCAATATCATTGTTCGGTACCACAGATGGTTTCAACACCGAGCTCCCCGAACGACTCCATATCAATTTCGCTAAAGAAGCTTATCGTGCTAGCAACAAGCGTGATTACGAAGAACAGATGGCCCTCTGGCTTCAACGCCAGGAAGCGATTTTTATGCGCAGTTCCTATCTTGATTGGCTTTCAGTACAGTCTCAGTCAGTCGCCATGGCGAGGCCCACAGGCCATGAGTACAGTGACAATTCAGACTTAGATTCTGAGATGGAGGAGATGCAATTCGAGCCTCACACCAGCAGTACCGCCCTCGCCAAATCAACTTTAATGCCTCCCGTCGTTGAGCAACATGTAGTCCGTGTCCTCGCAAAAACTCCTCCGCACCCTCGACGGTCCGTTCAGCAGCTCATCACAGCACACGGCGCTGTCTCATTTCTTCCAGCCCTCAAACTCTTCCTACACAAGCATATGCCACACACTAGCATCGTCCCTGGTCCGCAGGATCACTTCGACGTTTTTCGACAAGTTGTAATTGTTGCTCCGCCGGATCCATGGGTAGACGAATCACCGCAGCGGTGGCGCATCAGAGCGTCACCTGAAATACCTCCTGGTCCAGGCCGCAAGCCTGGATCCCCTGCCAGATTTGATATGGCCCTGACGAGCGAAGGTGTTCAGACCATGAATGTGCGCACGTTAGACAGTAAGTGATTGTCATTCGAAGTCATCAGAAATTTTACATGTATACTGCAGATGTGCGAGTAGCACAAGTCCGTGTCATATTCACTTTGCCCCGTCAATTTGCATACTCTCGAGCATTAGCATATGTCGAGTGGTTCACGCCATTTAGGGAGCTGGACCCCTTCTCTGGCCTGCCTCAGGTGTCTCATTCGACTCGCCGACTGCATCGCAACGCAGCCGTGATACATGTTGACGAAATTCTTCGTCCGTGTCACTTAATACCAAAGATGGGACATTCTGTTCACCCCGGATGGACAAGTGCGAATGTCTACGAGTTGGCAAGCGATTTCTACTTGAATACATTCATTGACCTCAATACTTTTTGTATTTCCGCTACAATTGCTTAGAATTAGAATTACTACTGCATGCTCCAAAACACTACAATGTGCTACAGTAGCTACAGTAGCTACAGTTTCTATGGGCTAATCCCGGCACCTCCCGCAGCTCTACATAGCCCTGATTTTGGCTACAGAGAACTATAGAGCGCCTTGGCTGCCTATGTAGTACTACAGTGGCTCTGTAGCACTATGTAGCTGTAACTAGAACTCCCACGAATTTGGTTTTTTACTGATGCTACACGTAATCCCCGACTCCCACGTTAGTGGGGGAGGGCTTTGTCGTTTTCAAATGTACTTTCGTCTCTTACAATTGTAACAGCCACTGTACAGTACATGGGCGTAGCCGGACGTCTGTCAAACTCAATCTTTAGTTCATATCCTCAGATCTCTCGTCTTGCTTGTGAAACAATTCTTGCATTTTCCCGCATTCGCGAAAGCTTTCTTGCACTTACTCCACCTTCTAACATGTCATTGTTCTGTGATAAGGGATGGATTCGCGAGATTTGACAAAATGAGAACGGTCGACGCCAGCTTGACAAGGATGGAGTCGGGGACTTGGCGCGTAAGCGGCGTTACCGATTTAAATAGGGCCCGTGACGATTGGCGGACGATATAATTATTTCCTACTTCAAACCACCATCTCCAACATCTCAACCTCCTTTGCACAAACGTTCCACATAGCAAACAAAATGCAGGTTCAAAATTTTGATTCAGCCAGGACCTCAGATATTGTTGATGCACTGCAGAGAGACGTTAGTGCTCGGTTTTGTGGGGTCCGAATATAATAATAAACATTCGCTTTAGCTCGCGTCTATTGGTGATGATGACCAGATGCCTGACTTTGAAACCGCCTACTCCCAACTCGGAGCCACTTCCAACCCCTCTACCAACTTAAACGAGGTCGAAGTTCGGACCATCAGAGCCGTTATCCTCGAACGGCGCCAGCAGTTGGATGAAGTTCAACTCAAGGCCTCAAACCTTGGCCTATTCGACGAGAGTGATCATGTCAGGCAACTTCGCCGGCGACTCTTAGAACAGGAAGACAAGATTATCGAGTCCCAAAAAACGCACAGAAGACTTATATCGGCTCTTTGGCGGTTGCCAACCGAAATCTTATCACTCATTTTCGTTTTCTGCCTACCGGATGACAAGTACATGTTGTCCCACCCAGAGAAGGCCCCCGTGTTGCTGACAAGAGTATGTCGACGATGGAGAGAGGTTGCTGTGGACATGCCCAATTTGTGGTGCAAACTCTCTGTGGGCGAGAACATTCAGCAGCCAGGCTTCTGTTGTAATACTTGGCTCGAGCGAACACGAGGACATCCGCTCTCAGTGGCACTCTGGTGTGATCGCAACAACCACTGGATAGAGTCACGAAAAACCCTCCAACCATATGTCCTTCAAGTCACTTCGCTTGCTCTTGTCTCTCAATCCGGTGTCAGCCTGCCTGTGATAACAGATTTCATCGCACTCGAAGAATTGATCATATCCCCGGACCCCACTCATCCTATAGAGGATATTGCTCACTCGATGTCGCAATCACCGTCCACTCTGCGCAGTCTCAACATACCACGACTGTTATTCGAACTCAGGTTCTTTTCTGCCTTCAAACCCGCATTATGGACCCATCTCACAAGTGTCGAGATCACGGTAGATAAACCACGTACATTCCGCCGCCTGCTCCGTCTATGCCCCAATTTGTCCTCCTTATCGGTTGGTATATACCCGCACACACCGCGGGTCTGTGAACCACTCACACATACCAAACTCCAAACGTTACGTATCGTTACCGGGGAGTGGCATAATCGTGAACTATTCAACTTGGTCTCATTCCCCGGCCTACGCTTGCTCGAAGTTCGCGATGTAAAATTATGGCCTCACAAGGATTTCACGGCATTTTTGACACGGTCAAACTGTTCTTTGGAGCGCCTAATTCTCGGCCCTGGAGTGACAACAACGGAGGAACAGCGAGCGGAATACGTTGCCGTTATTCCTTCCCTTGAAGTTGTAGTGGACCATCGGCATCCAACTCATTACTAAAAACCATTCAGATTAGGAGCGAATGGAATACGTTGCCCTTATCCCTATTCTCAAAGTTGTAGTGGATCATTGCCATCCAACTTATTACTACAACTTACCCTAATTCAACCAGACAGTTGTTACATATTTCGCGAAATGATGATATCAGATTTATACTGTACTCTTACTGATTGTTTCATACCACTTACAGTTGCCGATGTACCATATTTCTCTTACATATACCATGCCATAGCACAATGCACATTTCCCTCATGTATATGTCCAACGCGGGGAAATCTGAATCATCTTTATCGCACTACGACGTTACGCGTTTGTCGTCAAGGGTTAGTACGAAGCAAACTCGACGATACCGTAGACTAGCTTGTTGGTGTGTCCGAATTGTGGATTTTGTAAGTTTCGTTTTCCAAACATGATGTAAAGTCGATTCTGTAAAATGGAACTCTTGGTACTTGCGTTCATCATGGATCTGTACGATTCGAGGGCCTTTCCATATTAACCTGTCCGAAGGGGTGCAAGGCACGATTGCCTGTTGACGGTTTGCCACAGCGACTTGAGGTCCCACCCGAAGAGCTGCGAAAAACACGCAGGTGAGTGTGTCAACGTACCATGGTATATCCCCTGTAGCACTAATCTGAGTTCTACATCACGCACTTAGTTGTGCGATTTGAAACAACGAATACGTCGAAACGATGAAGTAGCTTGAAAAATCAGATCTGCAGATGTCATTTTTTGGCCCAGAAACCGCTCTAAAGCAACACGTCTATACTCTCATACCCTGCAATTATCCAGATTGAACACCATGAGATCCTCTGCGCCGATCTTTGACAGTTCATCCATAGTATTCGCAATGTTCTTCTTCTCGACCATACTACTGACTGCTACCCAACCTTCCTCCTCAAGGGGGCTGATCGTAGGCGCTCTTCGACCAGGAGTAATAGTCGTTGCCAGAGATAACGATTGTCTACGAATATTATATTCGCAGACAACATATTTTCCAGCAGCCACGACTCCAGCTATTCGGCTGGCAATGAGATCGATCAGGGGTGCGTGATGGGCGCGATGCGGGACGTTTGATTTTATGAGTACTGCTTCTGTTTGGAGTACTGTCGCGATAGCATGCAGACCGACTGCTCGCATCGTGTCTCCAGACTCTGGAATATTGTTAGATCTTTCCACGTGAGAGATAAGATGATAACATACCGACAAGATCGACTATTCAACATTGAGATGTGAGCATCATTACAATCTGTCAATCTAACTAGCGACTCACCTATACCATCTGCAAGTCCAAGAGCACAAGCTGCCTCTACACTTCCTCCTACATACTGGATCTTGGTTTTGTTGTCGCCAGTGAGGTTTAACTGCTCATCGATCTTGGCAAAGTACGCTCCCGCAAGGACTTCAAAACTCGTGACCACGCGTTTCCCAGCTAGATCTTCCGCCGATCTAAACGGCCCATTTTCCGGTGTCTGCACTTGTAAAGCGCACTTTCCGAACCCCAGCCGATGAATTTCAGTGACCTGATCTTGCATCTCAGCTTCGAGGATGACGTCGTGACCCGTCACACCAAGGTCGACGTCTCCATTTCCGACGAATGAGGGTATGTCTGCTGCTGGGAGGAATACGCTGGGTCGGGGTCAGATTCGGTGAGATGGAGGATCGGAGTCGGAGGTTTACAGAGCTATGGGGTGATTCATCACTAGGCAGACGTCAAGTCTGTTGGGTCTCCGGAATTGGATGTCGGCGCCTGTAGTTTGGTTTGCATATCGCTTGAAGATTTAAGGAGGGACACACCGGCGAGTAATTCGAGACATTTGTCGTGCAATCGGCCTGTGGTGGGTTAGTACTGACGAACGGTGATCAAGATGGGTTTGACCTTTTTTTGGGATCGCGAATAGGAGTCGGCCATCGAGCAGTTCCTTGTCTGATTTTTTGTCAGCTGGGGAGATCTCCGGGGCAGAATGATAACTTACTCATATCTATGTAGGTGTGATCTGCGGTGCAAGTCAAGTTTATCAAACTGCCCTTCAGGTGATTACCAAAAGCAGCGGGTAATACATATTGTGGGAAAATACAACTGCCCACTTGAATTACGCGGCCTGGGAGTCGGATTGGACTGTCCGTCTTCATTAACTCTTTCGACAACCAGCTCAAGCTTTGCCCACTCTTTCTAATGCTCATGCCTGACATGGATTCACTCGACCATCCTCAGCAAAGGCGGTTCAACCCTTACACAGAAAACGGCGGTACAATCCTTGCCATTGCTGGTGCAGATTTCAGTGTTATTGCTGGCGACACACGACAGAGCGAAGGGTACTCAATCCAAACGCGATACGCACCAAAGGTCTTTCGATTGTACGCGCGTCGTCACCTATCATTTCGTCTCCTTCTCTGACTCTTTTTCTTTCAAGGACCGATCGCGCGGTGTTGGCTGTAAACGGGTTCTCAGCAGATGGCAATATGTTTGTGAAGAAAGTGAAACAACGTCTCGAGGTTCGTATTTCCTCGATATTAGTCCGTTATGCACGCTCATGTGGCTATGTAGTGGTACCGTCACGCCCATGCGAAAGATATGCCTCTACGAGCAATAGCAAGATTAATTCAAACGATGCTTTATGCACGCCGGTTCTTTCCGTACTACGTGTATAACATCTTGGGTGGCATCGAAGAGGATGGTTGGTCGTTTTCATGCTCCATGTTATTTGGTTTATTTATGGACTCAGGCACTGGTGCCGTGTATTCATTCGACCCCGTGGGCTCGTATGAGCGAGAAGCATGTCGTGCTGCAGGTGCTGCTCAGTCATTAGTCCAGCCATTCCTGGACAATCAAGTGAGTTCAAGTCTTCAATGTTCTTCCCCCGGTTGCACATGCCATCCTTCCCGACCTCGCCCGAGTATCTTGTCTGACGTTGAAACCCTTTAGATCTACTTCAAGAACCAACAAGCTGCACTGGGGACTTCACATCCGTCACATCTACCCCTAGAGACTGTCTTGTCGATAGTCATCGACTCCTTCACGAGCGCAACTGAGCGCCACATCGAAGTAAGCCCCAAACTAAGGTGTTTTGATCTCATCTGACAATGCACAGGTCGGTGATGGCCTTGAAATTTTCATCGCCCTTGCGAAGGGACGTACTCTACAGGGTACGGAAAGCATCAGGGGTCTGCAAGAGCTTACAGTGGCGGAAGATGGGGAACGCTTGTTTGTTATGAGGCGGGATCTGAAGAAGGATTAAATTGCTTGTATTCTGAACAGCTTTTCCCTTGATGAATACATTTTTGTGACTGTCGCAGTCTGGTCGATAGTGAACGCGTGTACATTATTGTGGTAAGAATAGAAACACTGCATAGAGTACGCTAGGGATGTGTAAAACTCCACCGTAACGCTATGCAGTGATTCCGTATCGTATGTGGATGATTTGCACACTGTTGCATGACGACATGTACGACAACCGCCTGATCTGCTGTCGGGCGAAATTAGGTGGGACGCTGCGCACCGCACCGTGGGACATGGCCATCATGATCACCGTGGCGTCCAAGGATGTATCGAAGCCTATTAATTTAGTTTGGGGCAAGAGACGGAGATGGATGCCTGCAGTGAGCAAACGTGTAGAGGTGATGCGCAGAGCGTTCAGCTCTCGACCGACGCTGCTAAGCCTCGAGGATGGTCGATAGAAACAGCGAAGAAAAGAAAATCCCAAAATAGCGTCGAAACAAAGACCAATACCAAACAAGACTAAACACACCACTTGCCTTCTCACCTAGACCGCTATCGTCGTTCTCTACGTTCGCTCCCCACCCTCGTGGTCGTCACGTAGTCTTTTTTCCTTCACCCTTCCGACCCCGACAAATCACCAAACGCTGGCCTAAAACATCTCAATAGACATCCTCGATGATGATATTCACTTCCTTATTTTTGCTGCTTGCGACGTCTGCGCTTGGCCAGACCGTTTACGACTCAGCGCATAATGTCACCGCCATCACAGGCACTTGGAGCTCTGGTAGCCAGAACGTTGTCACTGGATCCGTAGGTTGCATATTTGATTTCAGTCTGCTTTCTTTCTGACCGAAGTTGTTGTGGTTTGTAGGGCTTTGCTACGCCGTCTCAAGAGGCGTTTACATACCCAAAGACAACAGGAATGTCATATTCTTTGTGAGTATTGATCTATGTACGTTCTCAGCTTTGATTTCTGACTTGAATCGAATATCAGCACCGATGATGGATTCTACGAGATCGCGCGGTACCGTATGACAAGCAATGGTCTGCTTTCCATACTAGCTTTCCTGTTTCATTCCACTGAAGATTACACTCCTAACAGGCACTGTACCAACCTGCATCACCGGTGTCATGAACTGGTCTCATGGCACATACGTGCTCGCCAGCAACGGCTCCATCGTCATGACCCCCTTCGGCGACGGCTATCAACAAATACAGGATCCCTGCGCGGCCACCTCCAACTTTATAGAAAACTACAACTATACCGAGCTCTACATTCTCTGGAACATATATCAAGACGCAGTCAAGGGGTATACCCTCCAGTTATATCAGTTCGACGGTACACCTTTACCCCCACAATACCTCATATCCACCTCTCCCAACATGCTTCCGACTCAGGCCCTCCGTAACGTCACCGGAAGCACAACTACAACCACGACCACAACCGTGCAAAATGCAGCAGTCGTCAACGCCAATGCTGGGGAGCGCAGATGGGGAGCGGCGAGCGTGACAGGGCTGCTTACGGTGATCTCAGGTCTTGGACTAGCCTCTCTGCTACTGTAGAACGGGGACATGAGACATGATGATGGTTTATACCTGCGCCACCGTTGTCGTCATTGTCATCGTATTTCTTATACTTATCACGCGCGCTTTTTTTGCATCGGACCCTTTGGACACATACCTACCTGCATCGTCGCGGATCCTTTTAATCGATGCGATATGGATACCCTGTGATCGACTGCAGCAGACGCTCGTTTTGATATGCGTTCTAGTCCCGTTGTTTTAGTATTATATCCGCCGGCTTGGATAATGAAGAGACTTACACGTCACAGGGTGTGTGTGTGTGGTGTGGGCGGGCGCGGTGTGTGCTGTACCTGGGCCATGGGTGATACATCTCTCTTGCCTTAACTATAAGTACTAGTTATCGCTTAAAATGTTTCTCAGTCAAAATTGCTCCACATCCATCAAAGAAACTTCCGATGGCCTCTCCCTGTTGCTGCTCCCCGTTGCAACTCGGTTTCTTCTTGTTCCAGGCTTTGCTCAACTACTCGCGGAAAGCGGTCCCCCCGGGCCGTTGTGACACCATGTCCCCTGCAGTTGTGAGCGGCTCTCCTTTCCTCCAACTCTTCCGCTATATATTTGTTCTTTGCTCGATCGATGACGCAACTGTATATGTGGGAGGATCTTCGTAAAAGGAAGGTCTTGAAGCCAGTAGTGTGTCAAATAAAGCAGCCAACGGATCTTAACGCAGAGAGACCAACTAGTAACACACATGATCAGGCTCAGTGACTAGCTCGCCCATCGATATTTCAAACGCTTAAGCTTGTCATGTCATGGTCATGCATATGGCCCATGTGAACTGGCAATATCGAAATTAAAGAATTCTATCCATCGTGATCAGAAAACACGAGGCCCATACGTCAAAAGCCTCCCCCGAATCCCTACGTACGTCAAAATTCCCCGCTTTCTCAAAGTCTAAGACGTAGCGTAGCGTACATAGGTAAGTCAGAGCCGGTCAGACTAGCCTAGTCATCGGCGAGTCCAATTTGAAACCTCAAGACGGTCGACGTGGTGAACTGGCAACACAAACACAGATTTCTATTCACCACCCCATCCACACATAGTGACTTCACGACGGAATTCTATCAAGAAGCCAGTCCAGCTGGCCGGTACGTCGTCCATAATTTAAGTAAACTCACGATAAGGTCGCGAGTTCGGTGGCGGTACATGGATCACTAGCACTGACAATTGATATCGAAATTGAAGCACGGTCGTGGGAGGCTGGAAGGGTTCCCTTTACTGGCTGAGCGATACTCCGGACGACAGCGGATTGCTCAGTGTGCGTATATGTAGATCGATGATCGCGAGCCAGCTCCGCTTTCGCGCACAGCGGCTCTCCTTTTTTGGCGGGGTGGGCTCGATGCGACGTTGAAGATCGAGCTGGAACGGTTCTTGCTGTGCTCGATGACGCCACAGTTTTCGTATGGGGAGGCCGACGGACGGATCGTGACGTGATCTAGCAGTTAAAGCCTAAGACGTGTTGAGAGTGACGAAATTAAAATCAAAGATTCTCTTCAACTTGCATCCTCGCCGATTACCGGAGGGGCATTCTAGCTAGGCTGTCGGGGAGAGTTTAAACACGGTACATGGGTCATTGGCAGTGATATCGGAATTGATAGACTCTCGAGTGGAGCGGAGGCCTGGAAGGTTGCCTGTCCTGGTTGTTCGTTACTCCGGGGGATGTATCGCTAAAGGCGCACGTCATGCAGATCGCGCGTACGCAGCTCCGCTTTTGATCGAGCTTCTCGGTGCTGTTCGCTCGAAGCGGATCCATCTTCGCTCGGTTGAGTATGGGCGGGGCGATCTCTGTATACGGAAGTTGCCAAGCCAATGTGCGACGGATCTTAACAATATTCGTGCTTGAACAGAAAAAATATTAATTAAATATCGATGTTTTATATTCGCGATGCCCGGGCTTGCCGAAGGCCATTCCAACTAGCCGGAGCGAGTCTAAACTCACGAACCTTTTCTGTGTGTTGAGCACAGCTCAGTGGCGGTGTATGGATCACTGGCAGTGATTTCAAAGAGTGGAGAACGTTCTTGAATGTCGCAGAACGATGTTTGGGAAGTTGCCTGTCCTGGCTGTGCGATACTGCGGATAACACCACGAATTTCAGATTGGATGACACGTGAAATACCGAGGATATCGAATTACACATCTGGACGAAATGAAGTCAATGAACGACTTGTTTAGGTTTGAATGGACTCACGATGAGCGGGCGATTTTGAACGAACATGGGTGCCAACAGTCAATTGGATAGTTAATTATTGTGCGGGTGATCGATACGAGGGCCGTCATCATTCGTGATTAATAACTGTTAGGGTGTGTGATGCGAGGGCCGTCAGAGCTCGAGGCGGGGAGTCTCGTATGGAACTAGAGTGACACGGTGAGCAACGTTCGTTCAGAGGGATGATGATGCAAGTAGGGCAGCGCTGCTGACAAGTGGACTTCTCTCTCCAATAGTGAGATCGTCTCTGGTTACATGAGGGTGGGCGAGCCCACGGGTGTCCACGGGAGTGGTACGGGTCATTCGGATTGCCACTAGTGGTATATATCGTGGCAGGCTGGGAGGGGGCGTAATGCATTAAATTATAGTGACAGCAGGGAATGGTTGATCACGCAAGGGATACGTTGTTGTCGGAATGAGGATGGCAAGTCTTGTATGCTGACTTGGAAAGTGTGATCCATGAGAAAGGGGACCCAGGACTGTCGATTTGAAATCTAGTGAAGAACCCCAAATGTTTGCCAACTCAACTGAGGCACTGGCGAGGAGGCTCACTGATGGGTATGTGGAATGTGGCGCTTATCTTGTAGGGCCTCGACCTACTACTATCTGTTCAGCGTTATCTGACCTACGACGCACTTACCATGCTGACCGCTGGAAGTAATGAGCTCGAAGCTTGGTAAGTCGCTTTGCAATAATTTAGGTAGCCACAAATAGCCGCCGCCTAAAAGCCGCGCTGCCAATATCCAAAACCGGTTCGGAACCGGGACGACGTTTGCATACCGATCCGAATAAATAAAGAAATAGAGTCCCACGCCAGGAAATTGGCTGATTACGCTGAGAAGCCGTTTATTTAAATTCTTGTGCCTCTTAATTCTTCCCTTGTCGCCGCCTTCCCCTCGCAGGCTAACAGACATCCCCACACACACAACTTGATCTCCTTCAACCTACCTTTGTGCCACTAGATTTCATTGTCATTATTCTTCAATCCAACCTCTCTATCGTCCATTCATTCATCAATTTCTTCATTACTTGTTCAATGACCTCTGGTCAATCTCTTTTTCCTCCAACAAAGACGGCGTCGCTTTCTCGCTCCTCGAGAGCTGCATCCCGTCATGAAAGCCTACCTCTAGCTCCTTGGGGCTGGTCACAATCTCTGAAAGCACCAGACGAACACCAGACAGCATCATCATCCATGACATCTTCCGGAACGGATCTAGACCAGGACATCCCGCTTACAGACAATAACGAGCACCTACCCCCCTCAGAAACCGATGGTGTCTCCATGTCACCAGCTATGATGTTCCTATCTGCGTTTAGCCCCTCCGCTCCAAATCCACCATCACCGGATGCAGAAGGCGAAATTATTCATGGCTATGTCCTCGGACCAATTATTGGTTATGGGGGGTTTTCTGCAATCAGACGTGCCTCATCCCCTTCCGGTGGCGTCGTTGCTGTCAAAATTGTCCGTCGCTCTGATTTGGAGAAACAAACAAACCCCTCTTTAGCTAGAAGGCGTCTCAATCATGAGGCCCAGGTGTGGGCTTCCTTATGTCACGAGCATACCTTGCCTCTCTTTTTTGCCGAACACACTCCCTTCGCCGACTTCTTCTTCTCTCTACTATGTCCCGCTGGATCCCTGTATGATATTCTCCTAAGGGACGGTCGTCCCGCTCTGCCTCACGATGATGCAGGCATGATGTTTCGGCAAATTGTACGAGGCGTACGTTACCTGCACGAAGTCGCAGGTTATGTACACAGGGATATCAAGCTCGAGAATGTTCTTGTAGACGAGATGGGTATCTGTAGAATTTGCGATTTCGGCATGACTCGCAAAATCGGCGAAGTCGACGATGACGAGCCCCTTCGCGATGCTGAGGACAACTCTGCCATCCACCGTCACCGTTCCTCTCTTAAATCTGCAAAATCTAGCTTGTCTGCCCACCTCTCAATTCTACGCCACCATGGTCCTAGGCGTCATCGCATATCAACCCCTGTCGGCGAAAACCCTCCACCTGTTCATCCATCCCATGTTTTCCAGGAAGGCTCTCTACCCTACGCTTCTCCTGAGCTTCTTCAACCGAAAGCTACACGGTTCAACGGTGCTAATCCAGCTCAGGATATCTGGGCTCTGGGTGTTCTGCTTTATGCACTTCTGACCGGCCGTCTCCCCTTTTCCGACTCATTTGAGCCACGACTTCAGATGAAAATCCTGCACGGTAAGGATATAGTACTTTGATCTCCGTTTGCTAATACAATTCTTTACAGGTGTCTATGATATGCCTTCTGGTATCAGTCGTGGAGCTGAGCTTGTTCTCAAAGGCTGTTTAGAGCGTAGCGTCCGCACCAGATGGACGATCGCGATGGTTGATGAGATGGCTTGGGGTGTTGGACTTGACGACGACGACACATCTCCTGAAGCAGAGGATAAATTTGATTTCGTAGATTATTCCGGCCGCCGATCTCCATCATCATCCCAGTCGCGCTCGCGCTCTTGTGCATGGCGTGATAACAACCCAAACCCAGCTCATGCAGAAGAAGCGCCTACAAGGCGGTCCAAGCGTTCCCTTTCCCGTGCCTCTGCCTCAACTGCGAGCTCGCTCTCAACACGATGTACGAGTCGCAGTATTTCCCGTCCACCGGTCGTTCGTTACCCAATGTCTCCCACATATGATGAGCTCAGTCATTCAGTGGTGAGCGCCTCGACGTCTCTCTCTGTGCCGCCTCTTGACATTGGCGGCCCTGCTCTTCTTGCCTCGCCAGGGCCATCGCTTGAGCGTGGCCGGAGACCGAAGAAGGCAGGATTTCTACCCTCGAATCGGTGCACACCATCATTAGCGACGTCTTCCCGACCATCAGAATACGCTCCAGACCCAGGAGATCTTGACGCCGACGTAGACATGTTGGGCGACACCGCTCGATGGGCGTCTACTCTAGGCGTCAACGCTGTAGCAGAAACTACTGTTCACCGCAGTGGCACCACTTCTGCGATCGAGCGTTTGAAAGCCATACAGGAAGCACAGCCGCCTCAAAAGAACAAAAGGGCTGAGAGCACACCTCCAGCGTCGGGTGCCTGGCCACGGAGAACGCGGCTTCGGATCAAGGAAGACTCTTCTTCCTACCGCGCAGCAGAAGTTCATGGAGTGGGCGGATTCCTTAGAGACCCAAGCGCCACTCCCATACCCATCACGCCCAAAGGTGGTGCTCGAAGCCGGAGCGTTGGGCATGACACCAATCACGCCTACCGCCGCCCTCACTAGCTGTATCACCACCCCTATTTATCCCCTCAAATTGCAATTTTCGTTCTGGGGACATCGGATTTGTGAGTTGCTGATTGAACCATTGTTATTTAACTTGCTTTTGTCTCATCATTGTATTTTGTATCAATCCCGAGGACTTTCGGTACATACGACCCTTTTGTCTTTTGTTTTTTCTCTCGTGATGTTCTTGATTCTGGAACGTTTTGTTTTGTTGGTTACGTTTGGTGTTTGATGTTTGGGATACCCTTGATAGCAAAACTTATATTACGCATGCCTTACTTACTTACCAGATTGTACTACTTGTCACATCGTCAATGGAATCTCGAGCGCCTCATTCACCATAACTGTTTGTGGGATCTATGCGTGAGATAAGACGAGCAGCAAGATAAAGTATAATGGCTAAGCGCTAAGTAGTTAGTTCCATCGCGTGACCGCTTGCTGTAACTACCACGTCGTCCGCTGCTACTTTCTGTGCCTTACGCACAGCAGCCTTGGCCTGAAGTGCCTCTACGTCGTCTTGCAGTTTAGCCTAAAGAGGAACTTAGTCGGACCCAGTACTACATAGTGACGAGCTTTCGGGACACACCATTTTAGCGTCTAATTCTGCTTTGTCAAACCCCTCGTATATTCTTTTTGATGGTAAAGGTTTTTTGCTGTCTAATGAGTTGATGTCCCTGAGAATGATCCGACGGAGGAGATAGCAATCGTCCTTACCAAAAGCTGCCTGCCTGAAGACTTCTTCCATTAACTCGTGGTTTCTCCGATATCTCGTTATTGCTAGCGTCCGTGTTGATAACAATTCGGATTCATCTGCACAAATGATCAACACCACAAACGTTTGAATGAGGTAAACAAAATTGTTAATCAAACCTGCGGACTCGTCATCATCCATTCGTGGAGGACCAGGCCGTTGCTGAGCCACCACCACCGAACCAACCGGACATATACATCAGGCAACGTTTCCCTCAAACCAAAGACAGAGGGACACGACTCACCCCTACATTCCCATTCCCATCTCTTGTCCGTTCCCGTTCCCTCCTCCTCTCCATAGCCTCCATATTACTATTCTGCTGCGCTATCATTGCCTGCGGGTTCATGCCTCCTTGGGGCATACCCCCTTGATGCGGGCCTGCGGCGTGTGGGAAGGCTTTTTGACCCGCCCTATCACCCATGACATATATAGGAGGGTCGGTGATTTGGCGTAGTGGGTAGTGCCTGATGGGGTTGTTTAAGAGCGATGGCACGATCTCTGGGGTGCGGGAGGTGTAGTTGTGAAATCACACATAGACGTATCGGAGAACGCGCGATAGTCATAGGGTAGCAGTGAGAAGACGTGAATATGATATACGGATATATGGTAGTGGTGGTGGTGGGACTCACGGATCGGAGGCACGCGGGAGTAGTGGATGAGCACTAGTTGGGGGTGGCCACCTTTGTGGAGGCGGTAGCGCCTGCGCATACGCCATGCGGTTGTGTCTTGGGAGTTGGGTATGAAGCCGTATTTTACTTCTGCGACTTCGAGTTCCTGGGGAGGGGTTATGTTGGTTGATAGTGGAGGGAGAGACGCGTACCCGTGCACCACGTTGGACGGGCATTGTGTATCGATTCTCTTGGTCTTGCCATCGGATGCCGTCGTTCAGAGGTTGAGCGGGATTTGGCATGAACAAGAGGTATATTTGACCTTCTGCATACGTCGTAGGAGAAGTTAAGTGTGAGTGAGCGATTAAGGTCTTCGGAACTGTGAATCATACCTTGTGGCTTGTCGATAAAAGTCCAGTTGTAGGGTAGGGTTTGAGAGGTTTGGATGGCGCGGAATAGCATGTTTGCTGCGTTTTCAAGGGAGACATTTGGATGGAGACCAAAGTCTTCGGGGTATTTGAGTACGGGAGCTTCTTGTTGCATTTGTTGGAAGGACATTTTGGGTTTTTGGTTTGATGGTACTTGACTGTTTCTGGCTTGCCGAGGCGTTGTTTGGTTTCAAAGCTGCTGCCAAACAAACACGTCACGTGTGGCTGAACCGATCATCTTTTTTTCGGAACGTGCCAACTTCCAAGTGACTTCCTTGAACGTTCGCAACGGTGTCCCTATTATCCGAGTCCGAAAAGGTATGAACAAACTCACGACTCCGACTACTTCCGTGCTAAGTTCTAACCAACTTCAGGCAGTCAACTTAGTCTGAAGAATGTCCGTAATATCTGCGGCCGCCGTCTTGACCGCCATGGATTTAAATAGATAAGAAGGTATATGTAACATAATATCAATGAACGTCCCTACGATGTAACGACGTGCGCAAAACACGTTCATTGCCCTGTCGAACGGAGTTTTCGGCTGACGATGCGGCAGTGCGTACTGTCTGAACTGCCTCTTCCATCTTATAACACGAGCCTACTTGACAGCTCAGCGTCATTAATGGCTATTGTCGCACGGAATAGCCGTTGATTTAAAGAGGCTGAGGGTAACAATCACTCTCCCCGAAAACCAACGAGGGCAGAGTAAGTATCAGTACTGGGAGCAGTCGTCTCACGAATTAGAACTTTGAAAGCCCCTAGGTCCCTCCAAGGTGGCTGCTTCAGAAGCCTCACGAATCAGGATCAGTTCTTGAATGAGCGCAAGTTTCCGAATCAAACTTTGTATTGCCAAGGATTTGATACAACCAAATGATTACATAGCAGGCCCGTTCTTATAAGAGAGGTAGAAATTAACGCCCCCATCGTAAACCTTCTTATCTTGTAACGAATGCAAACAGACTATTCGGCTGACGACGTCGCGGCAGCGAGGAGTTTACAAGTTTTTGCGGTGAGTCTCTTTCTTGCCGATAGAGGGTGTGCGGGTACTAATAAGCAATTCATGTGCCATCAGTACATATATCGTGCGTACTGTCTAAACTCACGATCTTCCTTATCCTGACGCAGCTCAGTGTCGATAACGACATTATGGGTGGGCTTGTCCCGATGAATTCCCTTCCGCTGTTAAAGTCCCTTATCCAGACCTATGATTATGCTTGTTCGCTTCACGAAGAAGTAATGCACTTGTTCCATTACGCCTCGGTTGTGATGTTGATGATATTCCATTCAAAGTGGACATTCCTGCTTGTGTCGCATTGGACCAAGGTCAAATACCTTTATGTCGTTACGCGATATGTCCCCTTTCTCCTTCTCGCCACAAATCTATATCGTGCGTTCAGCTCCAGTACACATCGCCTGATGATGAATTAACATGTTGTTCTAGTGAGCTTTACCCCGAACGAAACCCCAGGTGTATGTGAACATGCGGTTGGAACTGACTGACATGAATAACACTTACCATGTTTCGCCAGACATGCCGGGTGTTGGACAATATTTGCTCAGGTACGCATGGTACATTCATGTATGCACGTCCCCGCCAAGGGCTACCCCTTTTCTCTCATAGGTCTCGGCATACTGTCAGCCGTTTGCTCCGAGGGTATCCCTCCTTTCTCTCCAAGATATGTTTGTGCCTGATCCGGTTCATCTAGGATTTTTCGTCCTCAGAACATATGCGCTCTGGAACAATAATAGAATCTTGCTCGCAGTCATGCTGTCCACCATTTTTGTGAGTCCCCCATCCACTCACCACAACCAAGCTAGTGGTAGACGCATAAGCCAGACTTTTGTCATAGCATCAATCGGCATTTCCTTTGCCACTACTGCCCCCGCACCATGTACGCGCTTTCACCTTTCCCCCGGTGTTCCACCACCATTCAAACATTCAAACCACTATAGTTGCGATTAGCACGATCCCGGGCATCACAGGCTGCTACCAGAGCTCGAGTAGTCTCCGGCTCTTCATACCGTTTCTTCTCCTGTCTGCGTTCGAACTGGGTGGGTGGCCAGGAGTATACATACATATGTATACACACACGCTGACAGTCGCTCTTCCAGGACTCTTGACCCTCACGCTCGTACGCGCCATACAGACCTGGCGAATAAACACAAGCCGTTTGTACATTGTCCTCCTGAAACATAACATGTTTTATTATACATGTGGCCTTTGTAAGTCAACACTTGCACACGCCAGACCCTTTTTCCGTGCTCATCTATGATCATTCTCTTTCCTGAAGTGTTTTCGGTAGCGAACATCTTCACATCACTACTCCTTCATGTGCGTAAATTTTCCAAATGCCTTTTATGATCGAGATTTTGATGTCCCGCACACCCAGTACGCATACCACGCCATATTACATGAGTATGCACCTCCACTACCTGCTGTGCATTCCTACTGAAAATGCATGCCCACGTACAGTTTCCAGTTCATCATCCTTGCGATCCTCGCCACGCGTATGCACCGCCATCTCTGGCAGAGGAAGCGGCGGACACATGGCTCTGATGCCCTCATGCATATTCCCATGTCCGACATGTCACCTGCAGATACGGCGTGATGCCTGACCCTGTGGCTTATTAGACGTTGTTCGTCGAGCGAGATGTATATTGTATGAGATGACGGGTGGGTTTGGTAGGGTTCTCGACGTGCTTATCTTATAGGATTACGTTTTCTGTCGCGGGGCGAGAGGGTCGTTTGGGTGGCCTTGAACTATTTAACATACATGGGTGTCGAGTTTCCACCGTGAGTGGCGGATTAGTGGATAACAATCAGGATTTTGACAAGATTTGAACGTGCTAAAGCCAGAATGTCTGACAGCGATGAGTATTATGCTGCACATTGACTCAAACACACCAAGCGCCATTTAGCGCTGTCGAAACAGGCGTGACATCCTGTCAAGCCTCCTAACCTGTCATTCGTCAGCGATATACTGATCATACTACAATGAGGAAATTGAAGGTGACACTGCGAATTACCTACTAGTATCACGCTCTCCTCTCACCAAACATGTAGCTCTGCATGGAGTCATCGAGAAAACTGTACGAACGCATCATTATATCCTCAAATAACTGAGTTCATAACCAAGTCGGAGAGCTTGTCTTCTTGATGGGTGTCACAACATTGGCTTCGTGCTTTGAACTTTTCTTGCTTTTCTCATTTTCATTCCTGATTCTTGAACACGATAAATTTTATTTCGGCACTGATCTTGCACACAGCTTGGCTATGACCATTGTGGTTCGGTGAACGGTCATCGAGATAGCGTCCAATCTGCTTGGAGTGAGACCTGACTACACATAATTAATATGTCTCAATTCCTCGCAATAAGCAGAATTCACACGGCTACAATGTCATGATTTACATAATGCCATATTCATATCTTTACAATGCACGGGACACATGGGAATACGTACTGCTTATGCGCACTACTACTAGGCCGGATAAGGCGTCGTCTGGTTGGATTTTTCCAAGTGATTAGTGAACTCTCTTGCAACGGAAATTTCTTCTTTGACTCGGATACTGCCCACTCACCTGATGGATGGCCCTTCAGAAACAGAGCCTCTCCTGCGACCGGCGCAGGACCAGCGAAAGGTGACCAACGACATTCCAGCGGAAGTGTATTCATCTGTGCAAGACGAGCCCAACCGTAGTAGGTGCTCGGTATTCACATAGATTGAACATCGTTTTACTTACATCTCCGTTTTCTTCTGTGATGCAGACGTGTTTGACGATGTGCCTGATGCAAAGAGGCAGATCGGTAGGCGTTGCCATCGCTTGTGTCACCGGGGTATCAAGCTGACCCACCGCGCTTCAGGACTCGCTAGCGCAGTGATGCTCATATTCAACAGAGTGATTGGGGCAGGGTTCGCTACAACAAAACCACACTTCGTGAGGGAGGGCTAATGTTTCATGTCCAGCGTTTTTGCAGCGCCTAGCGTTATCTTGCGGTCATCGGGGAGTGTAGGAATGACCTTCGTTATGTGGATACTTGGTGCACTCGTCGCATCCGCTGGTACCGCTGTTTATGTGGAATTTGGAACGGTCAGGGACTCGGGTCAGCTGCTGTTACCTCTCCTCATTTCGCCCTGCTCTAGGGACTGCCGAGAAGTGGTGGGGAGAAGACTTACATGGAATACATCTATCGCCGACCGAGGTTCATGATCACTTGCTTCTACGCGACATACGGACTACTTATAGTGAGTCCTTATTCGTCCCGCGAATGAATTGATCATCATCATCATAATATTCATATCCGTAAGAGTCGAATATCAGCAGGTAGCCTTGTTGTCGGAGAATGTAAGTTTTACTGCTTCCGTCAGATCACTCCTGACTGGTTCTCCTAGACACTTTGAATGCCCTCGCAATCCAGCCTACTATCGTTAACGTTCGAGTAGTCGCATTTCTGTGCTCGACATTCTGCCTCATCGCCCATGGTGCATTCTTGAACTCGGGGCTGAAAATACAGAATGCACTATGTTTATTCAAGTTCTTCGTGTTACTGACCATCGCTCTTTCTGGGCTCTTCAGCCTCGCTGGTGTCCCGGGATTCGTCGTACGCGATGGATATGATATTCCACACAATTTCACGTGGTCGTCTTTTTGGGAAGGAAGTGACATAGGCCTGAATGCATTCGTCATGGGAATGTACAATGTCATCTGGTGGGTTATATCTGGTCGTGCGCCCGCAAGCAAGGTGCTGACTTTTTCACAGGTCTTACGCTGGATATTCTAATGCCAATTATGTTTTATCTGAAGTGCGAGATCCCATCCGTACCATCAAGCGCGCTGCACCCCTTGCCATGCTCCTTGTCGCGGTCTCATATTTGTTTGTGAACGTCGCGTATTTTGCTGTTGTATCCAAGCAAGACATGTTGGAAGGTGGCACCATGGCGGCGTATGGTTCATTTATCCCAAAAATACACATTCACGCTGAGACACTCTTTCAGAGCTCTATTTTTCAGGAACCTCTTCGGTCCTGCTACAGAACGGGTAAGTAAAGTAATGACAATCCCTGCTAGTCGGTGTTTGTCTTATCTAGTGCAAGCCCAGATCCTGAGTGCTGCTATTGCACTGTCAGTTCTAGGAAACCTTATGAGCATGCTGTTCGCGCAAGGCAGAAGTCATTAAAATTCACCCGTACATGATCGTGTGTGCTGACTATCGCACAGTCGTCCAAGAGTTGGGTAGAGAGGGTGTTCTACCACTTTCATCTTTCTTCGCCAGCAACAAGCCTTTCAATGCGCCCCTTGCTGGGCTCTTCACTCATTGGCTCGTTACTATGATCACCATGGTTGCCGCTCCTCCTGGTGAAGCCTATCTCTTTATCGTAAACTGTACGTACCTCATGACTTGATCTTGCGTCCCATCTAATCACAATTTAGTCGCATCATACCCCTTGACGATGTTTAACATACTGATATCGGGTGGCCTCCTCCTTCTGTACACCCCTGCATTCAAATCCTACCATTGGCGCCCTCCGTTCCGAGCGTGGAAGTCCATCGTCGTGTTCTTTTTCTTATCCAACGTTTTTCTTGCTATTGTGCCCATGATCCCACCGTCTCCAGGATCCGACGTCTATGAACATCTCCCATATTGGGTACGTTGCCGATATCTCTTTTTGTGTGAGTAAAGCATAATCGACGGTTTGGCATACAGTCGCACATCGCCATGGCATTGTCAATCGGTTTACTTGGCATTATATATTGGTTTGTTTTCTTTAACTGGATACCCAGGAAGCGTGGATATCGTATTGTGCAGGAGACTGTCTTACAGGATGATGGGGTCTCGCGGAACGTCCTTCGGCGAATACCCAATGGATCTGGTGATGAAGGGTCTGCGTAAATGTAGATGCGCCGCAAGTACATCAGCTTCGAGACGCGATCGCACATGGTTATATATGTACGAGCATAGTTGTTTGGGTGCGCACTAGACGAACCGAGGAGTGTCCAATCACTATTCTACCGCTTGCCAGTCCAAAAACCATGCAATCGCCGCATATTCATGCTTATATATTTCCCTCTAGTGCCCGGCATCTTGTGCAGCGTTTGTGCAACTGGCCCCTTTTGTGTATTTCTATCGCTCGAGCTCTTGATCAAGATTTCTGGTGGGCTTATCGAAAGCGGACGATTACGTGCCTATGTAAAGGAGTATGTTGATGGTTGTCACTCATTTTTGATAATGTGCTGCACTCCTCTCACATATTTGCAGGTGCGGTGCAACATTGTTCACTGCATGCCGTATTCCCTCGTAGACCCCTCCTTGTCGCCTTTGGAGTGCCAGTACCCTGCGCGCTTGTAGCCAGGTAAACGAGGAGGTCATGGACTCGTGGACCCTCCTGCCTCCCAGGTTCAGCGCCGCTTCTATTGCGTGCTTCTACCTTTACCTCTCCACCTTCACCACACGCGACGACGTGACATCTATCTTTCGTCTACTATCAGCCCTTCCGATCAATAACATCATACAAATCCATGGCGTTCGACTTCGGTCACACTTCCACACCCTTTCTGACCGCGTTCTCACGAAGTGAGCTATATTTTTTGTTTCACTTCGAATTCGAGCAGGAATCGGATGACGTCGGTCCCGTGTCAAATCTAGCAAACAAATATATTTCAAGATACTTGAGCGGTGGGAGCTCTTGTGTCAACCTCTAGCAGCGATCCAGACTTGTTCATCGGAGACCAAGAATATCCAATTGTCCACCCCACAGAATACTCACGCAATTTTGCAGTTGCCTTGGATGTTACCGTCAACTGATTCGACAGAGCCAGCGATAACCATCCAGTGTCAACAGTATCGCCTTTAGTATGAACACGAACAACTTCAATCCGAGTGCTTCATACGTGATGGTTAGTCATGCATATCTGCCATCATATCGCTCTTGTTAACATCGTAATAGTACATTCCATTTACACGCACAAACCAACTTCCTACAACACCTTCGGTATGTGAGCGTATACACAAAATATTCAAGAAGTACTAATGGTGATATGGACGACGAGGGCGGTTCCTTCATCCTTGACGTACTTCAGAGCCACTTTAGTACCTTTCTTGCTCTTTACACTGATCTGATCCAGCTGCTTCCACAGCATCTCGTTCTTGGGGCTGGAAGCCACGTAATATTCGGGCAGGATCTTCAGGGATGTGTCTCCAGGTCCAAGGTCAGTGACGATGTCACACCACCTTTTGTAGTTGTGGACGCCTAGCGCCACGAAGAACTCTTCCCCAGTGCCACTTTTGAAGCGGAGTGAACCAGAAGTGCCACTACCGCCCATGGTGAGCGTCTCGATGGAGTCCTTGTTGGACCACGTCCCGCCACCATACAACCACACAGCTTTCTCTACGAGGACAAAGCCAGGCTCGCTGGTAGTAGTGTCGATGGTTCTGACTGCGATTGTGTAGGTCGCTGATTCTGACGCCATTGTTTCTGTATGAGGGCAATGTAAGACAACGCTGAGTAGCAGATTCAAGGTTGGTTGCTCGCTAACCTGGTTATAGAGATGAGTGAACTGAAGAAAAAACGTACATTTCAGGCCCTTATATACCTCGAGCTTTGTTTGGCGCAGTCGGGCAAGTCGCTCTGGGCCGTTTGTTTGACTGGAGTATGATGTCACCTCGTAGGCCAAACTACAGGGGTATGTATGGAATCTTTCAATTCAATGGATCCATAACGACATTACATCTCCGGGGCGTAACAGTGGGGCCAATATCCGCCCTGTTGCCCTAGATTGATTACGAGATCGCAGACGTTCTATACTAGACTTCAATAGTTTATCTATTGATAATTATGGTCAACGATCATCACGTACGATAGACCAATGATACTTCCGCAACGCTTAACTACGTCGGTGCGCCGCATTTTACATCGCTTTGCCGAGCAGTGAGTGCCACTTTTCCCGTTCACAGATTTGAGGGGGTCAATGTATGCTATTACCGGATCTTCTGAGCGTTGTGGCGTTCGGTTGAAGCCCACTTTATCACATCCAGCCTCTCTATAATGAGTCCTCTCAAATAGGAACCAGCATTAGTGATGTGCCAGGCCTGTCTTTAAGATAGGCCCTCATAGGCCCGGCTTTGGCCAGGCCTATGGTACTAGCGGCCTGATAGGGCTTTAGGACGCCCAGCTTGTGGAATGCCGCCGGTAATCGTTTTTTGCGCATGGTATAATTACTGATATAAACGTCTTCGCCAGTCGGACGAGTCGTCATTCACAGATGACCCCTGCATTCGATTACGTCGTTAGGTCCTCATACAGATCCGCTTTGATGAGACGGACCCAGCGAGGCGAATACCAAGCGTTCTGGAGTCTGGACCACAATGCTTCTGTACAATTTCCAATGTCCAACATCTCCATCAAGCGGTTGTCGGTTCACGAAGAATTTAGTATTTGAAATCTTTCTATCGCTAGTTCCGCTCGGATAAGCAGTTCAGCTCATTCGAGTCAATGTACCGTTCATCGATTGATGAAGACGCTGCCAGTGCAGTTTACCCAACCCCACATTCGTATCACTCGATTCACACCTCAGCTCAACTTCATCGATCTGTTTTAGTCTTAGACCAGTGTGATCTAATACACATATCAGTTATTACACACCGTGTCGCGAAGATCCGCCCGCTCGCTGATCTGGGGTGTGATCTCCTACTAGTACCCGTGCTATTCGTTTGCAAGCATTCCTAGACCGTGGAGCCACCACTTGACACGGAATTAATCCTACGTACTCTGCTTCCTCTTCTGGTCTATATAGGGGCCGCTGTCATCATGCGTCTCTCTTCGGTTTCCCAAAATTATTCTATTTTATGGACGATTGCACTTTCCTCGCATCATTTGTAATACATGATGCTCGCTGGCTACTGGAACTCATCCGTTCTTTCAGACCTGCCACAAAGCGCAAGTCCGCACATTTTCACCGTCGCAGCGTGCCAGGGATGGGTTGAATGTGTAGCATCAGTGTAGCGAAGGGAATATTGAGCGCAACTGACCCAGGGCAGTGTTCCAGAATCCACGGACCCGTGATACAGATCCATGGTGCGGTTGAAGGCTGGGATATGAACTTTGTCTCTGCTCTGCTCGCAAGAAAAACGGACACTAGCAATCTGCCAGGCGAGTGACTTGATCAAGGGCGTTCAATCATCACCCGTGTTATAAGGTGAAATAAACAAATTGTCTGTGAACTGCTTCGAGCCACTGGTGACCCGCAGGCTGTGGCGCGTACGTTCTGAAGCAGGCTGCAGTATAGAAGATAGAGATATAGGAAGTTACCGATATCATAGCGAATGATGTTCACGATAAGCTAACAACACAGGCGAAAGAATTGGACTAAAAGGTGGAATAGTTGCCTGTGTGCCGTGTCTCTGTGGATCTTCATGTCGGGCAGATATGCAGAAGACAAATTACCGCAAATAAGACAATCATGTGGGTTTGTCGATAATTATAAGATGTGATTGTGTGCCTGCTGGACCCATCATGGCGGTGGTGGCGTGGATGTAGAGATAGGCTACCTTGGCGTGCTGCAGGCGTCCTCGTTCAGGCCGCCGAGTAATATGCAATTCCTGGACAGTGGACACGCACTTTTGTCCTGTACTACAGTACCGCAGAAACTCATACGAGACTGAGGCCGCGATACTTTGTCATGAGCGCCGCTGCAGCTCCGGTATCTCATCGAAGTTGGGAGGATGACGCGTAACGGAGGACCAAGAACATCATAGAGGTCAGTGTAAGAACTGACATGGTGGCGAAACACATGAGCACTATTCATTATTGACGGGCGTCCTCAAGTTGCGTAGCATCAATCTAGAATATAAATAATCCAGAATATTTGAGAAATGCGTCACGTACATCCGAGTCCATTAACGGCTTTTCAGCCTGGAAGCGAGAGATTGTCATGGTATTCATCGAAGCGCCATGCCCATGAGAGTTACACTCATATCAGGCATGATTAGTAACTTGAAGTCTTCAAATCCTGCTGCTTTTAGTATGGCACAATGGACATGTCCCATACATACGCCACATTGCCTCGCAACCTGTGGCTAGCAGTTTTCCGTTAGCGGAAAAGGCTGCGCAGAATTCAGATCACATCCCTTTCGTGTCGGAGGGCTGGACCGACTGGGAGGTTTGCTTCGATATTCCATAAGCGCGCTATTCTGTCTGATGATCCACTCGCAATGAGGCGGCCATTCTGAAACAAGGAGTTGGCTAGGGCCCAGGACATCGTTTGTGGACGAGAACTGAGATTTGCCAAGTGGCGGTGTCGAATATCCTAATCGAGCCGTGTGACCTGGAGATAAGTTTCAGCGTCCGTGCCATGAATATCCAATCATCCTCCTAGCCCTAACCAAACGTTACCCATAAATTTTCTTATTTAGGACTCGCAGCCAGTCCTCAAGGCACGCCCATACGTGCGCTCAAGCACTCGCAAAACGACCAAGCATGTATACACTTCACTTTTCTTGTCGAACTCCAACTCGACGGTGAAACGAGACTGAAAACAGTATGATCGACTGCATGCCTTGTCAAGTGATCAAGTAATCGAAGTGGACAGTTTATCTGATTCGAATTTTTCTTTTGTAGCCGATACGCATTTAATTTATCACCGACCCGGGTCCCGTGAGGCTCTAGGCCGCTGCTTCCACTGAGACCAAATACTTCAACTCAATATCGCCCCTATCTATTTCTTAACCAGCAGCGTCCTACGTATTGTTCGATCAACAACAGTACAAATGCGAAAGCGGAAACATGACTCACCAGTGTGTCACTACGTGCAAATCGGCCTGCTCACTTGTTGGGATGAAAAACGCAGACTTTGCCCGAATTCTGATATTCAAAAGCGCAAAAGGTGAGCTACCAGGTGAAAACTGGATGCAAAGCAAACCGATCTTACCTTAGTCTGAGCGCAGGTCAACCCTTGATTGGTGCAGCAGTCACTGTTGGTCTTGCATTTCCCGCTCACGCTGCTACATGCATTGGCAGACATTATAGACGCCAATTCAACAACAACAACAGTAGTGAGGAAGGAGAAACGCATTGTTTGTGCGAGGTGGTATGATCTGCTGTGGTGTTGGAATGATCTCTTTGAGTTGGGTTGGACAGTAGGAAGGTGACTTGCTTTTATACTATCGCGAAAGATCATAACGCTTAGTGTTGTTGACAGGATTCAGTTTGGAAGAATGGTAATGCCTGGCGGATCACACTGCACAATGAGAATTTAGGCAGAACTTATCGCCTCTGGTCTTTTCCTTCACGTAAAGCTGAGTTAGTGACTTTGGCTGTAGCATGCACCTGCTCTACTCATTTATTGTTACTTCATTTGCTTGCAGAGCTGGAAAACAGAAGTGCGTCTCTGGGTCCTACTGTCGAGGTCGCCTGTGTGATGCTGCCTCTCCGTTTGCTATTCAGAATTTCGAGCTTAAGTGCTTCCCTTAGCCCATTATGGGGGCGGCTTGTAGGAATGTTGGTAATTTTGTTTATTGATCAGTTTGCACGACGAGCGTTTAGGCAGAATATATCCCCTCCATCCTGACTAGAAAAAACGAGCCAGCAACTCTTGGTATGAACCTCGTACCTGCTTCACTCATTTGCTTGTGAAAAAACAGATGTGCGTACCTGCTTTTCTCATTTTGCTTGTGAACAAAACAGAAGCACGCCCCTGGGTCCTGCTATCGAAGAGCTAGTGCCACACCGCTACCTTTGGTATACAGCACTTCAAGTTTGAGCGCTTTGTCTGCATTCTCTTGGACATTGGGGGGGGGGGGGGGGGGGGGCAATTTTCAGGTGTGTTGGGTTAGTAACTTGATCAGTTGAACCCGACCATCGAGACAGTCAGTCTCTCGGTGGACGATCTAACTTCAGTGGTATGTAATCACGCGCTTCTTCTCCTATCACAGCTTCAGGGACAAAGAAGCGATGTGGAAAAATGAAATCAGTGGGTTTTTTGGTGCATCGTATTTGTATTGTTGCGCAGTCCCTAGTCCATGGTCTCGGTAGTCAGAAGAAGGAAGTCTCTGAAGTTGGCTGTAGTTCTAACAGGTTTCACTCTGTAGTCTTCGCATTCCCTCGCACTATTTTCGCATTCCAGCAGTGCTAGTGGGTAGTGATAAACATTTCTGGAAGCTTATTGATTGGGCTATTGCCAAACAACTTGAAGTTAGAGGTATTACTACAACAGCACAAATTGCATTCTCCCAGCCCACGTATATTTCACTGCCCATCGAACACATCGAAAGGCAACTTCCAACCCATGCTCGGGTTGACTACCCTCTGCGGAGGGTGCGAAGCCGCCGCTTTCTCCAACATGTCAAAGTCTTCTTGTGGGATTTCAAATACTGGAAGGTGTGAGTGAATAACTATGCACTGCCTTACGAAAGTTTCAACTTTCCCACCTTCAAGGTTCTCTACGATGCGAGAAGGCGTTACGCTCTTTGGCAGGACGATCGTCTATCGAGGTTTGGAAAGGTGAGATACGACATAAAGATGCAGAAATTTCGACATACACCGCGCTGGACGCTCCATGAGATAATAACCTGAGCAGGGGTGATCCCAAGGTTGCATGCGATATCCTTTACCTGTGGGAGACTGTTTAGACGACGGAGTCCAATTCTCTTGACGCAAAATGGTACCTCAGGGACAGAGAGGGACTTTCCGACTTGCTGGTTGCTACCAAGGGGAGAGTACGCCTCGAGAAGAAGTCCGTTCTCCTTCGACCACTAAGAATTTCTTGTGAACTCGAGCACGGCTGTCTACATGCCTGAGCCGGAAACATACCTTCAATAATTCGGGTTGAGGGTTCCAAAAGCTAAGCTCGACTTGATTGACAGCTGGCTGGTACTTCAGCTTGTTCGCGGTCAAATTCTGGATCCTGAATTATAAACAAGGGGTTAAGCAGGATTGGCTTAACTATATAAATCATTAAAACCTTCTGATGTTGAAGCTACGCATGAAATGTGAGTACTAGTCCGACTTGACAAAGATGTAGCTCACTTGCTAATACCAATGTTCCTGATTTTACCCTTGTCGACAAGCTCTTCGAGCTTCTGCCAAGTAGGATATGGATCGGCAGTAAGATCCTCGTCCATTATATTATTGCCCTCCTTCTTGAATGCGATAGGCCTTTTTGGACATCAGCAAAATGCTCAAGTCGGTGAATAACCGCCGCACCAGTGGATCAAGTACAAGTCGAGATAGTCGGTGCCAAGCATGGAAAGTGATTGGTCCAGAACAGTCTCGATGTCCTCAGGTGCGTGGAAATTGTTCCAAAGCTGTTGCCAGTCAGTGTGAGGTCAGATTGATTGAACTGAAGGTACTACCTTTGACGTGAGCCAGAGCTCTTCACGAGGTACGGAACTTTGCTTAAGAGCTTGTCCGACTTCCTCTTCGTTCTGTCATTCCCGTAAGAATGGTTGGTCACGAGAAGGGAATTACACGCACACGATAAATCCAGGCTCCATCGATGTGTCTATACCCGGCCGTCAAAGCGGTCTGAAAGCGCGTGAGCTTAAGTACTTGAGCGAATGCGGAGTACATGCCTTTACAGCATTACCAACTTCGCCCTTGCTGGCCTGCCATACCCCTGTACGATCAAGAATGAGTTTAACACCAACTTGATTAGCAATTTACCAGCGCCATACCCAACGCAACTGATGGAATATTGTCACCAGATGGCAAAGTGTAGTGAGAAGGCAGTTTTGCCAACGTCGAAGAGTTGCGCTGTGGACCATGGCAAGTAGCCCAGAATCCCCTGGACCTCATCATACGGACACAAGGGAGGGTAGCGCACATAATTATGATGATAGCGACGACTCGGAGGAGAGGAAATCTCCTTTTGCGAGGGTCCTTGCGTTGCAAAGATTCCTGATCTCCACCATCCTTGTCGACAATGGGGAGCTGTTGATATCCCTGTGAGAACGACATGGTTTGACGGGAAGCACGGCTCAGGCATCAGGAGTTCACGCCTGATAAGCGGAACGGAAAGGCGGCCGCAGTGCGTCATGCATACCATTTTCGATCATTTTCTTCCTGCGGTTGTTTTGGTACAAGTTTGGCACTGCCTGCTGACAAATTGGCAGTGCTCTTCCTTTCCTACACTTGCGCGGCAGCAGAGCTTCTTCCATCATGAAGCACCCAGCGATTTAGTGGTTGCTTAGCGGTGCTTGATGAAACGATTCTTTGCCATCGATAGATTGCGATAGTCATTCAAAAAACCCCAAACGTGAAGTATCACACGATGGTGTAGTTGGCATGGGCCAGAGTGGAGGGTGTTTCCAAGGAAGACGGTGTGTTTTCTCTACCGCGGCGCGGCACGTCCATACACCTTCGAATCCAAGTTACAAAGCGGACCTCCTGCCAGAAAGTTTGCGTTGCCCGCCAGTGATGCTGAGTCACTCAGGTAGGCTTCTCAGACGTCATTTACTCTTAAGACCCAAAGCTTATTGAACCTTCTCACTATAGATGCGGAGCCGAAGGTGTTATTTGCGGCGAAGGAGCTAAACCACGCCAAGACTAATGTATGTCAACGAATCTAAACGTCGACAGCGAGCTGCAGGGTGTTTCCGTTCTTGAAGGCCAACTCTAAATCGCGTGGGTTACATTATCTCACAAGGAAATGATCTGTTTTCTGAATAGTCATCCAGAAGATCTTGTTGAGTTCGGGCCAGGCTACGTCACACAGAGAATATAACCCAAGCCAAACCTTGCAGACAAGGCTGTCAATGCCAGCGTGAACGAATCCTCCCCATCTCTGCGTCGTAAAATTCATACTGTCATTCTTCAATTGATGAGACCTCGCTAATATGGTAGCTAAACCAGAAAAGGCATGAACTGATTGCGATTTTCATGAACAACAGCATGCACCTGCTGGGCCATTACATGCTTCATTATATTGCATGGATTGTTGATGACTCGATCTTTTCACCATGGAACTCGCAAGAGCGAGCCTGACTGACTCGCGTGTCGGTTATGGGTGTGATGTATTACTCGATCATTGAAGATTCTTCTGGACCGCCGTGATGATAAACGGTGAGTATCTCCACAACTTTGAAGTTCTGACAAAGTCCTGAACCCCGGTGCTCGGTTTCTACAAGTGACTTTTACCGCTTTTTGTATTTTCCCCGTTTGATTTTAGCGTGCGTACTTGATCATGAGGTCATGGCAACAGGACCAATAATATCAGGTCAATATCGAGTGGGGTTCATATGTATCGTCAACCACTGAATAGTTCCATATGTTTTTATCTGTCACTGTGTATTCATCTCCCACTCATTCAAGCTCGTTCTCAACCTCCTGTATAACACTGTGTTTGTGCGGCCCGTAAATCCAGGAAAGTGCATCATATCCCATGTCACCGGGCACAGGTCTCAGGATAAGCAGCACTATATATACACAACTGCGCTGCATGGTCTAGTTCCTCCCTCCATCGTTGCCCACGATGTACACTACATCTTCTCTCTTCCTACACACCCTAGCACAGGTCGGCATCACCCATGCATTTGTTAACTGGGGCTCCGATCACCCTGCGTTGCTGGAAGACCTCGAGCGTCAACGCGTCGACCATGGCGATACCGTCGTCGAGATAATCACTTGTCCAAATGAAATGGCTGCTTTGAGCGCGGCTCAGGCATTCGTGCAGGTTGCGAACAGGCCCGCCGCAGTCATTGTGCATGTTGACGTCGGAACCCAGGTTGGTGTCGTATTCTTGGCGTTCTAGAGACATTGCCGTTCAACACTTTGTGATAGGCCCTTGCTGGTGCCATCCACAATGCGAGCAGAGGAAAAGTTCCTATCCTGGTGTTTGCTGGTGCATCACCATCTACTGTGGAGGGAGAGTTGAAGGGGTCACGGAACGAGTGGATTCATTGGATGCAAGGTAAGGTATCTATATTTAGATTGGTTGGAGATAAACCTCATATTCTTTATGCGTAGATGTACCTGACCAGCCTGCAATTGTCAGGCAATACATGCGTTTCACTGCACAGATCAACGCACCCGAAAATGTTCCTCATCTTGTCAGACGTGCCCTCCAAATGTGAGCTTCTTTTGTTCATTCAAAGTCAAATTTGTCTGAGATGTGTACCCCAGTGCCACAAGCGAACCAAAAGGACCAGTATATCTCTGGGCACGGAGAGAAGTATTAGAAAAAGAGATCGATGAATCACTCTTCAACACTCCAGCATCTCTCTATAGATGGCCTTCAATCGAGCCAAGTGGGCTCTCCCCCTCAGGTAAAGTACCATAGTAAGTGAGAACACTCGGACCTCGCTTACCGCACTTGCAGCCGTGAACGTTATTGGCGATGCCCTGGCTCGCGCAAACAACCCGCTTATCATCACGTCACACATTGGGCGGAATCCTGCAGCCGTCGCCGCCCTGGAGATGCTTTCCCGGCTGATGGCTATCCCTATATTCGTGACCTGCCCCAGTGCTACCAACATATCCCTCTCGCATCCCTTTTTCGTGGGCGTTTCCTTCCTCGCGCCTGGTACACACACCCCGCTGCTCAGCACAGCAGACGTGATCCTCATCATCGACGCAGAGGTACCCTGGATCCCAATGAACAAGGACAACCAAGGCAACTTCGAGCGCCCCAGCGACAACGCCCGCATCTTCGTGATCGACTCCGGCGACCCACTCAAAGAAACTATCGGCATGGAGCATGTCGCGGGCGTAGCAGAGCTTGTCTGCCGCGCCAGCGCTGACGTCACGCTCTACCAACTCCTGAACTCCGGACGCACAGGCGCCGCGACAGGATTCTACACACGTTCTAAGAGTATACAGGTGATACACGATGCGTTCATAGCAGACATGCGTGACGCAGAGGCGCTTACATCCGAGCCGAATGTGCCGTATACACCCTCGCGCATCTTCGGGGCACTGCGCACAGCGGTGGAGAATAAGGTCCCGCACCCTGCGAGTACACTTTACCTTAACGAGACGATCAGTAACTACCCGCTTGCATGGGCACACCTGCATCCTGATATGCCTTCGGGCATGTTGGGTTCCGGAGGCTCGTCACTCGGGTGGGCATTAGGTGGGAGCGTCGGTGCGGTCCTAGGAGGCGTGAATGCGGGCAAGGGTGTCGGTGGGGTGGGGTACGAGCTGGTAGTGAGTGTAGTAGGTGATGGCACGTTCTTGTTTGGGGTGCCTAGTAGTGCGTTCTGGATGGCGAGGCGGTATGAAACAGTGAGTGTCACTCGCTGATTTTTCGAGTGATGGTACTGAGGACGCATTAAACGCCAGCCTTTCCTGACGATCGTTTTGAACAATGGAGGCTGGAAATCACCAAAGCTTTCCATGATGGGCGTGCACCCCGAGGGGCACGGCTCCAAGGTTTCTGGCAGCCAGCTCACTGTGGGCTTCGGGCCGGACATGCCAGACTATGTGGGTATAGCGGTAGCTGCGACAGGGGGGTGGGCCTGGGGAAAACGTGTCGCTGCGGGCGATCCGCTGGAGGAGACGATGGCGGAAGCTGTGCGGATCGTTGTGGAGGAGCGGCGGTGTGCGATTGTGGAGTGTGTGTTAGATAGTATTTGAGTGGCGAGGATCTAGAAGGTGCGCTAGTTGGCATTTGGTCTGCGCTGTAAAATTGGTTAGTTATATGCTTATACCCCTAGATTTTAACGAATGTCATGAATACACTGGGCGCTAGGCATCCTCAGCATCGATAGACGATGTGGACGAACTACATGGTCACTGAAAACTGTTCGTTCCACATAAAGTTTTATTTTCTTCGGAATGTTCTTGCGACATAGATGGTTTGGCATAACGTGGAGAAGCAACGTAAATGTTTGTGCGCTTGTCGACCGAACCTGTATCTCTGTGTCTCCATCTCTATTTCTATCACGACTAGTAAATTACCTCTAAAAAAGTTCCTGCTTCAAAGGTGTATTGCACAAGTAAAAGGAAGCGCTCGCGAAAACCCAAATGAATCAACTTGAATCTGGTGGCGGGAGAGGGAAATTTTGTTGTGGAAGGCTATCGTATATCGGACAGAGCTGCTTCGAAGAATCTATCACTGGTTGTCAGACCCACTCTAATCTAGTGCTCGGTACTCACTAGTGAGAGGCTGCGATGCCAGATCTTGAGGAGCCTCTGCAAATACTATCGCCATTCCGCTGCGAAAATATCAATCAAAGTCTATCCAGGGTCAGTGAAAGGGACAAGCAACTCACGTAAGTAGATGCCAATCGATGTGGCTTCACAAAAGCCCAAATGTGATCAACATCACTTACAATGAGCCGTCAAGGACGGTACTCACCAGTGCAACAACCACGGCCCAGGATTATCAGTGATGAAGCGGATAGTTACATAGTCACCAGCAACACCAGTGGTCACGGTATCACGCATAACGGGATTAACATAGTTATAGTTGCTACTTCCAGCGCTTCTGATGACAGCGAAGCTGTGCTGTGAACCATCTGTTAGTCGACGGGATGTGCATACATCGATGCCATGTCAAGACGTACCCCATGCAGATGGAATGGATGCTGTCAAAGTTTCAGTCTGTTGTCGATCGAGAGCATATAAGACTCACTGGGCGACCTGGAGAATTATCAGGGTTCCAGGAAATCTCGATGACTTTATTCCGCGGAAGAGTGTATACGGTGCCATTAGGTGCCAGATCCGAAGCCGTCATATCACCACTCAATAACTGTAGTAAAACAGGAACACTAGGAGACGTGTACTGCACGCCGTTGATGAGGAAGTTGAAACTGGTATTATTTTTCCCGAGGACGAGATTAAGCTTGACGTCTGCGTCTTGCTGAAGCAAAGAAGGTGCAGGAGGATATAAAGGGTGTAAGCTAGTCTCGTTCAGAGCGGCTGAATTTGGAGTCGTCCTGTTCTTGGGGTCCACATTGGGAGAACCTGCATATCGCAAGATGGCCGTGGAGTTTGTTCCTGCGTTGGGATCCGCATGCACCCAATAGTTGTCGACAGTCTGATTTGTCTCGAGAATGAAGGAGTACCGTTGTGCAGCGTAGATCTGGATAGAGTTGACCACGAGCGGCTCGACGTATTGGCCGTCAACTTCGATTATCGTAAGATTATGGTTGTCAATTGAGAAAATATAGTTGGGCTTGCACGCCATATTCAGTAAACGGAAACGATATCGCTTGTATGGCTGGACGTCGATGATGGGGTAAGGCATATCAGGCCCCCCTTGATAACTCCCGACACCGTTGATCAGCACCGAATCGGGATTTACTTGTCGCTGAACTTGAGGTGATGGTAAGTGATACCTGCAAAGTCGGAGCCGGTTCAATCACGGGAAACGATCAATCAGGTTTGCTTACCAGTCCATCAACGTGATGACGGTAGACTCTTCGCTTAGATGTGAGAAACGCAATTCAAGTTCTCCGAGTTCACTGACCATTATCAATATCGTACGACAAACGGTATGGGTCTTGTGGGTCGTAGATGATCAGTGCGCCTCGTAGACCGTCGCAGTACTGGACCTGAACTCCATTCAGTCACTGATACATGAATAAATCGGGACACGAACTCCATAATGAGAGTGGTACCAGTGTGTCCCTACTTGAGTGCCACCATTGAATTCATACAGAAAAGACTGTCCCGGAGAGAGCGGGCATTGCGTAACAAAAGCTGAGCCGTCCATTTGATTGCTGTGGTTTTGGAATAGTCCATGCCAGTGCTGCCCGGGATAAGAAATCATTGGACACTCATACACTTCAATGAATTGGTGCTTACAATGCTGGTGCCCGTGAGCATCGTTTCGTCATTTAAATAATTGGTGACATTGATCTTGAATGTATCCCCCTAAAAACACGTAAGATCATTGACAGTTTGCATATGCAAAGTATATCTCACCTTCTGACCCACGATAATGGGCCCGGGGAGAGTGCCGCCAGCAAGAACCGCTCTGCCATGACCTCAGTAACCAAACAGAATGAAAACGGTAGCAAAAACGAACGACTTGATGAACCCGTCTGGAGACACTTGAGCATTGGCAACGACTAGATCAGCGACTGGCCCAATGGTGACGGCGTGAATCTGAAGGCTGGCCAAAAAGCATAGGAATATATAGTGTTGGAACATGATTCGACGTTCAAGCTGATCGAAGGATGGTGACGAGAAAAATGCAGCTCACTATTTGGGGCTTAAGTAGTGCTCTTTGTATCGCCTTTCGGATTTGAACCTCATATTTCTGTCTCTTCTGGGCCATCGAAGCTGTCGACTGTGGAACAATGATTTCCCAATGGTGGTACCATCGCAGCAGTTTCCCACCTGGAGCTCACCGATGATCAACTGGAATGTACAGACTTGTAGCACGAAAAATTACCTTTCGAAGTCCTCGGCTTCAGAATATAGTACTCACCCTCAGTAGAACAAGTTTGAGGTAGAATTGTACGAGTGATTTGATACTGGGCGTTCACGGGTGGCCGGTCGGTTTGTTGAAGTGCCGGAATAAGATTTCATGTTCTTCGAAATGTGTCTTGCAACGAAGATGAAATGTTTACATGATGAGGCAAAGCAACGCCGAAGACCTGTATAAATATGCTTCAATTGATCTTTCAGATGTGGCGAAGCGTTGATGGGTTGCATGGTAGCTGCCCAACGACTGACGGCGGATTTGAAGCTGCTCTAGATAAGAGAAAAGTCGACTTACGGTGGATTTCAAGAGCACGAGTAACCACCACGTGCGCCACGTCACTTATCAAGAGAAGCTGTGTGTTAGATGCACATCCTCAAAGTGATGCTTGTTTAATGATATCGGCAGTTCAATCTCGGCAGTTCAAAAAACCATACCGTCGTCCACCAGTATGTCATTGCTAGAATTTGATTCGTTGGGCGACATTCCGGCGCGATTTCATAGCGGACCTAATACATATACGTCACAGTCGATATGTGTAATTAAACGCGACCATCAAGTGCTTGTTAAATGAACATCAATCGACTCACGATCAAAGGCTGAATCATGATGGCCATTGAGGTCCACGACCTTCGGAGGCGCCATTATCATCCCGAGTAATCCGCAACAGGAGGAGATTTTGCGGCTATACTAGGTTATAAGTATTCCTACAGAGCCAGGGATTGGAAGCACGTGGATCAATGACAGGAGGGTGGAGAAAAACACGAGTATCACCGACGCTAGTCGCAGCGCAAGAAACAGTAATCCTATAACTCGCTGGATGGAGCCCTGACGTTGTGCGTAGCCCATATGCGGCCATGATGGATGGTACGGTAGCATCTGGGGAGTGTGAAAGTAGCTCAGGACCGACCTTTGAAGATGGCCTTGTGTCATCCCTAAATGACAATTTGTTTCGAAACTCACAGAACGCGTCGGAGTCCACCGAACCTCGACATATGAATGAGCTCCGTGGTGTTACATTTGCAGGGAACAGGACCCAAGGGAACCAGGGGAGCATACCGATTGCATGTCGATGGAAACTGCATTATGACGCGCCATAACGACAGCCCGCGAGAGGATGGGAGAATTCACTTGCGAAACCCCAAAAACCCACAAAGCCCCTACACGGACACCACTTCTAGGAGAGCCATCCGTAGATTATCGCAACGTTGTGGGCGGAAACAGAAGCTGTGAGAAATTGAGGGAGAGAACTGTGCTCACGATGAAGGGTCTAGAATTCGTTATGACGATGAAGTCCACTCGCGACTCTATAGTAGTCCGTTAAGGGGCACTTGGTGAGGCATACTGTTCCTGGACGTTCAGGAAATATCTGAGCTGTAGCCAATTCATGCCGCGAGTCAAAATGATTGTTGGCGTCAACTCCGAGTCGGGTGAGCGCTAGCCAAGCCTGCGGAAGAAGGGTTTCGGCATCAGGAAATTCACCGTCGCAGCACAGGCTTACATCAGCCTTCCCGAAAGGGAATAGGCGCGTGCTGTGCTGGCGGGAGCGAGAGGACGACTTGTAGCCGGCGGTGTTTGCACAACCACGCTAATTTTCTTCTCTCGACACACTAACGAGGCCAACACCTACCTGTGTTAAGCAATCCCTAGCTTATAGCCTCTGTCCCTCCTGGAGTTAACACGCCAGACAAAACCTAACCTCCCTAGTCGCACCACACGAAAACCATAGCACTCACTAGACGAAACTGGACATCCATCCATGGCTTGTGCCTGCCCTGTTCCTCCCTGTCCACAGTGGTACATGGTGCTGAGCGTTCAGGAGCCTTAACCCAGGTGAACACAATCTCGCATGGAGTGTTAGCCTTTTTCATAGGTTTTACATGCAGGGATCGTCTTCTCCTTCGTGCTGCACAGGGCCAGGCTTTACCCGGGAACAACCTTATGGTATAAGAATATTCAGAAGTTGCAGTAACCACAGAAGCTAACAGATACGCTGGCAATCGTTAAATTAGCGCACTTCTGACATTAACCCTCTAGAACGGATCTTGGTGGCCGATCGGATATCCACCACCCGATATCTGTGAACCATGCTAGGCAGTCCTGTTGTCCTCATCCATCCATGCCGAATAACTTTCAAAAGACGACGTGGCGAGGGTAGCGAATAGTAGAGGACACCGAACACGAATATTTTCTTTTACCTTGGCTTTGGAGGATGTGGCCACTGATTCCCTCCAGGCGCTCTATGGCATTGGTGCTGGATGCAGGCAGACCAATGCTTGACAGGAGCAATGGTACTCAAGCAGAAGACGAGGCCGCAAACGATTCGAATACACAAGGACATTGGTGAAGATCGAGCAGAGGATAGTGTTTATTTATATCGGTGTGTAGTTCTACGTCGTATTTCTTCGTCTGGTAGATATTTGCAAGTTGTTATATCCGCAGTCCTCTTTGTTTTCATGTTCCCTCTCGTGTTGTTGTTCACTATCAAGTTCCATGCATTTCATGAGTGTCATAACGAAGAAACGAGGTTGATGAAGTAGCAAACGATATAAAGAGAGCAACAAAGATAAAATGATTACCCACACGCCCAAGTATCAATGCCCATTTGCATGTGGGAGAGATACACAACAGAGGAAAAGTACGACACGAGCACACCATGAGATGGGTGGTGACTGCGCGGGTGCTGCACCAGCTGTGGTAGCATGAGTACCTGAAGCAGGAAGTGTCGTGGAGGTCGAGGCTGTCGTAGGCTGAGTTTGTGATGACGACGCCTGGGTTTGGCCGTGCAATTGGCTTTGCTGCTGCGGCCGCGGCCGCGGTTGTGGAGCAATAGCCAGTGCCTGCAGATAAGTCATTGAACAACAGCGACGGGAAACGCACGTGAACGAATACTTACCCCTCTGTCCTGTACTGTAGGAACATCGACAATACGAGGGCCACGATGAGAGAAGATGGATCGTCTTGGGCGTTGCTGGAGTTCGGTTGCTCCATCGGTCTTGGAGCGAGAGTGGCGGAAGAGCGATGAAAAGCGTTTGAGATGTGAATCGTGTGTGGAGGAATGACGATGGGTACCGTGTGCTGCGGAGGACTGAAAGTACAAATATCAGACCAAGAATTGGTCAACGAAAGCAGATGACTCACCTGGGCGCCATCAAAAAATCCTGGCGGTATTCGGCGGGGATGAGTAGCTGGACGTCGCGTAGCATCTCTCTAGAATGTCTTTAAAATCATTGAAAAGATTAAGAAACTAGTCACATACGGTTGTTATTGATTTTTGAGGCGGGACCTACAAATGAAAGATTAGTATATAGTTTGTACCGAAGAACTATGGGATTCACATGAGGAATAGGCAGGAGAAGGTCTTCAAGGCCAGCTTTTTTGATGATGGCGTGAATGTCCCATGTGTACACATTTCCTTTGTGGCAACCAGTGACTAGCGTTTTTCCATCAGCGGAAAGGGCTGCGGACTCCAAACGATGTTCATGCTGGAGGGGTGGTCCGATCGGGAGATCTGTGTCGAGATTCCATAGACGTGCTGTTTTAGCAAATGATGATGCACTTGCAAGGAGGCGGTTGTTCGCAGACAGGGAGATGACATTGACGCCGTCTGTGTGACCCTCAATAATGGTAATCTGCTCCCAAGTGGCTGTGTCGAATATCCTAATCAGGTCATATGAACTGAAGATAAGCTTCTTTCCGTCTGATGTCCAGGCAAAGCTCGAAACTGTGTAATCGTGATTGAGTGTGGTGATCAACTCGCCCGTCTTGCTATCCCAGATTTTGACCGATCCATACTCGTGAACACCGTTGCTTCCGCCCGTCGCGATTTTTTCGTTATCGGGCGAGTAGATCACCGCGTGCACCTCCATGTGCCCGGTTTTGATTGTCAGGACAATGTCACCGCTCTTGACATCCCAGACTCTTGCTGTCCCGTCCCAGGATCCGCTCGCTACTCGCTTACCATCTGCACTCCAGCACAATGTATGCACAAACTCGGTGTGTCCCGTCCATTTGGCGATGACCTTTCTCGTCTCGACGTTCCACAATCTCATTGTCCCGTCGCCGCTTCCGCTTGCAACTGTCTTGGCGTTTGGAGACAATGCCATCATTGTCATGGACGACACCACTCGGTCATCCTCATCTCGCCAGTCCTCACCTATCTGTGCGCCGCTCTCCAGGTCCCATAATCGGAGCGAGCCGTCATCAGAACATGTGATTATGCGTCGTTCGCTGGGCAGGTGTACAACACCTGCTACCACGTCGGTATGGCCTCGCATCGTCTGGTGTGGTGTGGGCGCTGGCGTCTGTTGCTTCTTGCTGGTGGATGAAGACATAGTCGGTGCTGGGGAGGGCTATATATGCGAGAAGTTTGCTGAGATCTATGAACCAGAGCGGGTTTTCAGGCGGCAACGGTTGCTGGTAAGTCCAGGGGCTTCTCTTCTTTCGCTGCAACGCTTGTTAGAACACACAAGCCATTGTTCACGAGCTAACATACTTGCAGGAATTCAGCCCTCACCTAGAAGACAGCTTCAGGATTGTGTATGCGGTACTTGTCGTACCGTTATTCGAGAATGCGCTAGGGATCTTGATGGGTATTCCAAGCCGCTGGTAAGCAAGTTGTCAGCTTTAACCTGCAGAAGAGTTTACAGTGCCACTCACGAGAAGCACCGTTCAGACACAGTACTCAGTCACCAGCAATCAATGGATGTATAGTTGGGAGAAGGGGGAGTTCGGCGCTCATTCGTTCAAGCCGTCTTTTCTCAATTAGGTGCGCCTCATGCGTCAACCTCGTGTTCGATTCACAGCTTCATTGCTGTGCAAATTAAGCGCTCTAGAGAACCAATAATACTCGGCAACAGAATCAGCACTGAGCGCTGAGCGCTCGTGGCGTATTAATAACTCAGAGACTGAGCCGCTGAGCATGCTGGAACAATTTATTTCATGAGACGTTATGATTCTTCAGTACCGCGTCGTACGCGACCTAGCCAGTCGCAGCACAGACAGCGGGCCGAGACGTCTTGGTTGTAAACCACGCAAAGGTCGCATGCCTGACATTGACATCATGCCAGTGCTCATGCATTCAGGGCAAATTATACGGCGGGAAACCGCCGCGAGACCAGAATAGCGTGTTGAAATTATAGTCTGCCGGATAAACAACATGCAGACAGCTAGCGCAAAAGTCGATATTTCCCCGTTTTCAGATATCATCGGTGCAACTGCAAAACATCACAATGTCGTCGAGTTTTATAGTCACTCATGTGACAGCGTCTGATAATAATAATATCTCCTTTCAGCTTGCACGTTATTATTATCACTGATGTCGCGTTATTGAAGATGACCAGATTCCGAAACTTGAAACTCCAAACCCCATTTTCCCCAATACCGACCACTCTACCGTCGAGCTCGAGGGCCAGAGCGTTCTCGATATCACCGCCAAGCGCCAGCGACAGTTAGATGCAGTTCTCACGAGATCTTAGGCCTGGAGCCATGATGATGGTGTAAAAAATCTTAATCAGCAACTCGTTGAAAGGAAGGACAAGATCACCCAGTTGATGAATTTGCACAAGGGAGTCGTATCGGCTCTAAGGTGCTTTTCTCTTTCCCAATTTTTTTCTTTTTCACGACTGTCTCCCGGACGCTGGTCCAGAGGATTGTTCCATGATGCTCCCCACGCTGTGGGGGGTCAATGACGCTCTCGCGAAACACGTTGTGGAAACCTTCTACAAGAAGATGTTTGAGGATCTGGAGGATGGTGTGATAGATTATACGAAGGCGGCCTGGGCACTCAACCGTGCTACAAACGCCGTGATGATGAAAGTGCCGCCTATGCTAGCACAAACTTCGGGGCTTAATCATTAATGATGCGGCATTCGCCAATGAGCGCCAAAACCCTTCGTTTGACGCGCGGACGCAAGTGGGAAAGAATGTCGACGGGTATTGATCAGAAACGTTGGTAAAGCCTCACATCCTTTTCGCGGTGTCGATGGGATGGTCCGGCTAGTACTGGAATATTCGTGTCTATATTCCAGAGACACTGTTTTATCATTCGATGGACGAGTCGCAAGGTGTTGTAAAAAAAACAAGGAGAGGGCACTGCATATTACATAATTAATAGCGATCTGGGGCTGTGTCGAAAATGAGATGTGAGCGCTTGAGCTTTCTTTCCATCCGAGTATGTAGATCACCGCTAACAGGCTGTGACATATGTGCCCATCAATGCATTTGCCAATCTCCATGCGATCGCATACGCTTACTATCTTGTTCTACGATCCACTCTCACCGTATACACTCCAGCACACTGTCTGCACCCAATTGCCACTGGTGTGCGCTATCAATTGGATGATGACCTCCACATCCCACAACCTCACTTTCCCACCACGGCTCCCGCATGCAATGCTCATGTCATTTGGCAATATTTTGGGACCATCTGCCTATTCGGCCAATCATCGCCAAGTTGTGCATCGCTCTCTTTGTTCTATAGTTGGAGCGGGTCGTTGTTCAAACACGTCGTTCAGCAGTCACAGTGCAGAACATGTCTTGTACATCGCATCGTCTTGCATGGCGTGATTTCTGGAATCTCTTCCGTCTCTGTGGAGGAAGGCGTAGTCGGCGCCCGTGTCTCATTCTCAACTCAGATGCACTCCAAACCGTAAACTGGAATGTGGATGTTTTGTTTGAAGGGCACCTAATCGTCTCATTCGTTCTTTGGCATTTGCGGAATGTGGCATGCTTCTCCACTTGCTGTGTTGGAGTCATCCTCACGGTATGGCTAGCAGCCAGCCGTTCAAATCAGTCGGAAACTTCAACCGAAAATGTGCGGTTACAAGGTTTGAAGTCTTTGCGGGGGCATACTTTACCGGGGTCGATGAGTCATTGAACATCTTTCTTTCCGTTAATACCCCAGTTGAACAGACTACTCAGAGTCCTGCCGATGCTGCTTTCCGATGATGGCCAAGCAGGGATATCGAAATGCGCTGCCTTTGTTGTTTATTTCTGACTAGTATCCTTTGACTTTCGTGTGTTTCTTGTTCTGCAGGTGGCACTTGGTCAAGTCGGCGGGTGGAAATCATTATGGAAGCCATGATGGCACGTTTGGCCATCTCTCGACCAAGTCATCCTTTCGGCCACAGAAATGCGATAGTCCTCTTGTATTTTTCTATCCTTCACGCGTACTCGGCAGGGAATATTGATACTCATGTCCGACACGCTCAGTTGAAGGCGGAGGCCACTGGAAATGGGCGTACATTTGATGTTCATGCTTTTGTTTACCAACTGACAACATGTTCACCGTCCAGGCGCTGGCACCTCGCCAGCCCACCAGGCTGGAGTCCCTACCAACTGGGATTCAGGCAGCTGGAACGATGGCCCTCCTGGAAAGCTCGTTCAGTATATATACCTCTCTGAAGCTTTGACAGGATTCATCGCACTACCTCAAATACTCCAAGTCTGCACAAAACATCACTACCATTATGAGCTTTGTGCACTACAACGGAGTACCTAATTCCTCTGCATCAGCATCGGTGAGTTGAAATTTTCTGCCTGCATCCCTACGACTAAATCGGCGCTTGCAGGGGAACTCGGGCCATTATCTCGGAGAAACGTTCTTTTGTATGTGGGATCATATCCAAGGATTGCATTGCAATCACTTTTTTTATGGTTACAATCTCAACACTCACCTACGCGACGTTCACGGCATTCACGGGCCTGACAAATATCGCGTTCTGTGCAAATGGAATGGTTGTGGTCTGGAAGTCAATAAGGAGAGTCTCGGGAGGCACGTCGAGGAAAAGCATATGCGCATCATACACTCGTGCGAGTGCGGAAAAACGTTCTCGCGTAGAGATACTCTCAGCAGACACAGAACAACTTGCCCTCATCACAACTAGATAGATATCCTTTTGACGTGGGTAGACGCTGGCGTGTACCCAGCCTGGTCGGAGGGTTCCTACATAGTCGGCGGATCTTATGGTATTTATCTTCTATGTCATGATTCAGCAGTGCTTCTATTGGTCTACGTAGCTTATGATACGATGCACTTACTATGTCCTCTGTTTTACTACCCTGGTAGTAATATTTATGTTCAGTCCAAACCAAATACCAACTTGGTTGGTAGTGGTGTCGTCAAATTTACAAGCTATACTTGATGCCTACCCTCAAATGCAGTAATTCGGTACAAGGCTTCTCTTACTGTATGCTCTTGTGAAATCATGTCTGACAGCTCCCTGATCACCTAACAGCCTCACCTCTATGTAACGGTAAAGCGCAGGACTCGCTAATGGCATAGATGAGCCGTCCGGTCAGAATGACAGATTGCGGCAATGTTCACATCTTGATCGTTGAATAGTCGACTCTTGTTGGTAGGTCATCGTCTCATGTCTGGCATGGTAATATCAGACGATGTTCCAGAGCCCGGGGATGCCATACGAGTTGTTGGTCTGTACCAAGTCTGCACGCTATCGCGACAGTGCTGCAGACACAGGCGGTTGTCGTAAAATTAGGTGTTCCCGGCATTTGATCTCATCACCAGCCAAATAGTCTGAGTGGTAGCGACTCGTTAGGATGATGACGCGTTGTGGGTTTCGAGGTCAGAATAAGCACAGGTGAATTGACATGATGATGACACACATGAACACTATCCGGGGTGTCATTAAGCATACCCCTGTAGTGGTGAATGGGTGTCCTAAAGCCGAACTGGACCTTGCGTATCATCCGGTACACTCCCAAGGAGAGAGTCGTTTGAAGACAGGCGTGCGTTGACCCCGTATGTAGCTGTGTCGAATATCCAAAGCTCGCCCGTCTTGGCATCCTAGATTTTTACTACACATATGGTGAAAGTGCTTGGGAGGGTGAAACATCATCCGAAGAAAGTACTCTCAAATTCTTCCACTATTCCCATTTTGAGCGAAGGAATAAGGGTAGTGTATCCTGCTCGCTGCTCGTCTGTCATCTCCACCTCACTGCCGAAGATCAGGCTCTCCAGGGGACATCCTGACCGAGCCAAGAATGCCTTCAACTTCCGATGAGGCCATTTTACACGAGGGTAACTGATGTGACCTTCAAGCGTGCGCAAATTCGGGAGTGATAGAGCATCCAATAGGTCAGCTAAAGGGTGACTACGATTCAGAGGGTTCCGAGAGGGTGTATAAATGATTCGTAAGGATTGAATTGTGGGGTGCGTGAGTTGCTCATAGGTTTGTGATTGTTGGATCATGATCATGACCTTCATTGTTAACGAGGATAGGTTTGGACATAGCTGGAGCACTTTGAGGCCTGAAACCGGGCTGGACATAAGGGCAATATCGACATCCGTTACGTGGGCCCATAGGGAACCTAAAGAAGGAAGTCTATCAACCACGTTTGCCGTGAACCTGCGCATCGATGACGGCAGCTGCGGCACGGACGTAGAAGCTAGCGTAGTGCTAGCATCGAAGGATATGATCAGCTCCTCAAGTGCGGAGAGGTCCGTTAACAAAAGTTCATGTTTGTCAGCGCTGGGCCCAAAAGAGATGCGGAGAGATGAGATCTTATTCATGTAAGGATGAAGAAGGGTTCGTAGTGTGGTCGATTGACCGCCCTTGAAACAACAGAATTCTAACGAGAGCGGGAGTCCCTGCGACCACTTGAGCCATGAGTCGTAACAGGAAGCTGCCCGTTCCCAATCTGTGACGTCGACGTCGATTCGCAACATGCACCACAGACTGGGTGTGCTCGTGGCAACGTCCCTCCATCTTCGGCATATTCCGATCAACAACATGGGAGCTTTCAGCCTTGACGGGCGCAACAAGTAGCTAGATTTCGAACCAGTATCTGGGAGACAGTGGTGAAAAATTTGGGAAAGAACTTCATTTGGAAAGCGCCAGAGAGCTGATACGAGTCCCCTGTGCAAATTCATTGACTGGGTGATCTTGTCCTTCTTTTCGACGAGTTGCTGATGAAGATGTTTAACATCAGTCATCACGGCTTCCAGGCCTGAGATCTCGCGCAAAACTGCATCTAACTGCTGCTGGCGCTCGGCGATGACACCGAGAACGCTCTGACCCTCGAGCTCGACGGTAGAGTGGTCGGTATTGGGGAATATGTGGGATGGGGTTTCAAGGTTCGGAATCTAGTCGTATTCAATAACGCTACATCAGTGACATTGGAATAGACATACTATCACTTGTGCACGTGCAAGCTGAAAGGAGTTATTGTTATTAAACAACAAATACCTATAACATTGGGCACTTACGATGTTTCGCAGTGCACCGATAATATCTGAGAACGGAGAGGTATCGACTTTTGCGTGAGCTGTCTGCATGTTGATTGTTGACAAGTTGACACGTTCAAGAAAGACGTCGATGATGAAGATGGGGTGATCAAGATAAATTATATAGGACTAAGGTAGCTTCCCACGAGGTGGCGACGAGGTCGGTGCGGAGTCACCGATAGTCCTGCCAAATTCCGATGAGAAGCCAGGAGGATCCTACCAACTTGCAAATGGATATTCAGATACCCAAACACGAAGGAACGTTGGCAAAGAGGGGAAGAGATGCCGCAACACGCAAGTTCTTCCTTTGGACTCGGTATTGACGCGGAGTTACGGGCGACTTGGTATCGGGGGATGTTTCAGCTGAATATACTACAGCATCGAAGTTTACGTAGATCAGTTCTGACCTCTGTTCTCTTGGTCCTCCGCAAGCCGCGTTATCTATCACCGTCAACTTCGTCTACACCCCGCCGCCGCCGCGCTCTTGTACCTTCTTTGGGGAGTCCATGCCTCTATGAATCATGGTATCGAGCGGATACGCAGCAGATAAACAACAAGAAACGAGTCCACTGTGTGGGATTATCGATGGTGATAGAACGTGACTGCATGCCTGCTGCACCCTGCGTGGTAGTAGCATGAGGCGGCTTAGATGTTGAGGATACATGAGTGTGCTGCGGCCGTGCCAGTGCTCATTTAGGTCGCGGAGCAACATATAATGCCTGCAGAGAAATTATCTGACCTAAGCGATTGGACACGTAAGAAAAACGTACCCCTTTGTCCTTTACTGCAGCAACTCCTACGAGACTACGGCCAAGATAAGAAATGGAATTTTGTCTTGAGCATTGCTCGAATGGTAGTTTCTCATCGGTGCTGAGATGTTGACGCATTGCAGAGGACTAAGAGTTTCGAGGTCAGAATAGGAAGTGGTGAGTTGATATGATGGCGACAAACTTGAATAATGTCTGGGGTGTCATCAATGCACCCTTGCAGCAGCGGACGGGCGTCCTCAAGCTGAGCTGGACCCTGTGTATCATCGCGGCCGAGATGAGAAATGGAATTTTGCCTTGAGCGTTGCTGGAGTGGCGGTGTATCATCGGTGTTGGGATGATGATACATTGCGGAGGACTATGAGTTTCGATGTTAGAATAGGAAGTCATGAGTTGACATGATGGGAACATACATGAACACTATCTGGGGTATCATCAATTCGGAACCCCTGCAACGGTGGACGGGTGTCCTCAAGCTGAGCTGGACCTCGTGTATCTTCGGCCTAGAACATTCAATACTAATTGTCATGGGAAAAGTGGAGAACATACATCCGTTAGCGACTTTTCAGCTGTGACCTGCGAATGGGAAATTCGGTCAAAGTGGTCTTGATTGAAGAGTTAAACTCACATTAGAAACGGACAATAGGTATTCAAGGCCGATGTCTTTGAGGATGGTGTAAACATTCCACACGTACAAATTGTTGTCCTTACAACCAGTGACTAGCAGCTTTCCATCAGCAGAAAAAGCTGCACAGATCACCTCTTTTTCGTGTTGGAGGATTGGTCCGACTGGGAGGTTTGTGTTGAGATCCCATAAACGCGCTGTTTTATCATCCGATGCGCTCGCAAGGAGGCGGTCGTTTGGAGATAAGGAGAGGGCGTTGACATTGTCTGTGTGACCCTTGAGAACGGAGAGCTGTTGCGGCCATGGAACTGTATCCAATATCCTAATCAAGGAATGTGATCCGGAGATAAGCTTCTTTCCATCCGACGTCCACGCCAAGCTCAAAACTATCCCATGTTCGAGTGTAGTGAGCAGCTCGCCTGTGTTTGCGTTCCAGATTTTTATTCCATTCTGGCCATGGCCTAACCGATCCTGTCCACCTGTCGCAAATTTTGTGTTGTCGGCCGAGTATACCACTGCGAACATATGGTGGTCGGTCTCGATTGGCCCAAGGACTGTTTTGCCGGTCTCGACATCCCATTCTCTTGCCGTCCCGCTCTCGGATCCGCTCAGCACTCGCTGGCCATCTGCACTCCAGCTCACTGACGGCAACCAGTTAGTATCTTCTACCCATTTGGTTATCACCTTCCCCGTCTCAACGTCCCACAACCTCACTGTCCCATCACCACTTCCGCTTGCAACAGTTGTGCCGTTTGGAGACAATGCTATGCTTGACACCGATACTGCTGCCCCATTCCCCTCATCCCTCCAGTCGTCGCCTATCTGTACGCCGCTCACTAGGTCCCATAGTCGGAGTGAGCCATCATCCGAACATGTGATGATGCGTCGTCCGTCAGGGAGGTGCACGGCACCCCGTATCAAGTCGGTATGACCCCGCATCATCTGGCATGGCGTGGTTGCTGGAAGATCTTGCATTGCAGCAGCGGGGGAAGATATGGTCGATCCTCGGGGTCTTAACGTCAACTACGGCAGATCGTGGACTACGTATGCAACAGAAGTCTCGGGATTTTTGGATTTGAACGGGTTATTTGGCGATTCTTGGTAAGTTGATGGGCCTGCTTCATTCTTGTTGATACAGGAGCACGGGGCATTACTCATGAGACAGCATACTTACAGGTATTCAATTCTGACCTAGAGGTTTGCAATTATGAGATTCGCAGGAGATCCTTGTTGCGATCACAGTCTCTGGGAAGCAGATGGTTAATATCTCCTGGAGAAAAGCCTAAAACATTACTCACGCAGACTCGGATGCACTTCAGTCGCCAATGAGAGGGACAGCATGTACACTGGGATGGTGGGTGTTTGGAAACGAGGAAGTTGGGAACCTGTCGTCTCAAACGTCCACTTAGGTGCTCATTCCAACCCTCATCCTCATGTTAAATACACGTGTTAACTATGCAGTGTAGATAAAGCGCTCAGCCAGCGCTATGTCCATCTTCCTACATTTTTCCCGGGATGATTTTCATGATCGTGACACATTCTGCGCTTCCATATGCGACTTTGAGCATGTCTATCTTCGAGCCCGACGTCTACAAGCTTCTCACGTCTTGAATTCTTTAGCATTTGAGCAAGGCGGTATCAGAGTCATCCTCACAGTATGGCTAGCGGCCGCCTACTTTCGCGCCATATGTCCTTTCATAGCATCAAGGCAGAGCCGAGTAACGCAAAATCAGGTCACCGAGATCCGAGAACGTCCCGGAAATAGACTCCCTCGGGGCGTATGGGTCCCAGCCGCTCGGCTGACTTCAGTTGGGGGTTCATTATATCGTAGCGTGGATGCGGCTGTACTGTGCATAGCATAATTACAATGAAACAGGGTAGCAACGGTATAGATGGTAGGACGGGGGGGACGGCAGTTGTTGACTATGATGTAATGCATTACAGCAGCAAAGGGTATTTATCGCGGAATGCACGAAAAAGTAGGCAAAGGCGCTGAGGCATTAGAGAATGCATCACGAACGAGGCCGCACGGGTGGGAGCAGACCACTGGAGAGTATGATGCATCATAAATAGTACTATGGCAGGGGAGACTGCGGTCTCGATGGATTTCGTTCTAGTCGCGGTCGTGTTGGTTGAAGCTAACGGTATTGAGGATGGGTGAACTGACAAGGGCGGGAGGGGCGGGAGGGCATGACAATTGAGAAGAAGGTTCATCTGGCACAATGAAGCGTGATATGAAGGCGAACATCATCCAAAAGTACGTGTAAAGTTTGTTTCTTCTACTAGTCCTATTTTGAGGGAAGGAATAAGGGTAACGTATTCTGCTCGCTGCTCATCTGTTGCCTCCACCCGACTGCCGAAGATCAGGCTCTCCAGGGGACACTTTGACCGTGCCAAGGATGCCTTCAACTCCCAATGAGGCCATCTTACACCGTCAGGGCTTCCGCTGAGAGCTTCAAGGGCACGCAAATTCGGGAGTGATAGAGCATCGAACAAGTCAGATAAGGACCTGCGACTCGAGGAGCGTGAAGAGGGCGAATAATGAATTCGTAAGGATTGAAGCCTGGGGTGCGTGAGTGGCTCCAAGGTTTGGATTTGTTTGAAGGAGCCGCGTATTGTCAACGAGGAGAGGTTGGGACATAGCTGGAGCAGTTCGAGGACTGAACCCGGTTGAGATACATCGCCAATCCCGACACCTGTTAGGTGGGCCCATAGGGAACCTAAACAATGGCGTTGGTGCTCGAACGACAGCAGCAATGCCGTGAAATTGCGCATAGTTGACGGCAGTTGGGACACAGAAGCTAACACAATACGAGTGGTATTCAAGTATATGGTCAGCTGCTGGAGTGTTGGGAGGCCTGTTAACAAAAGTTCAGGTTTTTCGGCACCGGAGAAAAAAGAGATAGAGAGAGATAAAATCTGATTCATGTAAGGATGAAGAAGGGTTCGTAATTTAATCGAATGATTGTCCTTGGAGCACTTGAGTGCTAACGCGAGCGGGAGTCCCCGTGACCGCTTGAGCCATGAGTCGTACCCAGAAGCTGCCCGCTCCCAATCCGTGTCGTCGACTTCCATGGCCAATCTGCACCACAGACTGGGTGTGCTCGTGGCAATGTCCCTCCATCGTCGGCATATTCCGGTCAATAACATGGGAGCTTTCAGCCTTGACGAGGGCAACAAGTAGCTAGATTTCGAACCAGTATCCGGCGATGGAAGAGAGTGGTGAAAAATTTGGGAAAAAAGTTCATTTGGAAACCGCCAGAGAGCCGATACGAGTCCCCTGTGCAAATTCATTGACTGGGTGATCTTGTCCTTCTTTTCGACGAGTTGCTGATGAAGATGTTTAACATCAGTCATCACGGCTTCCAGACCTGAGATCTCGCACAAAACTGTATCTAACTGCTGCTGGCGCTCGGCGATGATATCGAGAACGCTCTGACCCTCGAGCTCGACGGTAGAGTAGTCGGTATTGGGGAATATGGGGTATGGGGTTTCAAGGTTCGGAATCTAGTCGTATTCAATAACGCTACATCAGTGACATTGGAATAGACTTACTATCACTTGTGAACGTGCAAGCTAAAAGGGAGGAGTTATTGTTATTAGACAGAGCGCCTATAACATTGGGCACTTACGATGTTTCGCAATGCTCCGATGATATCTGAGAACGGGGAAATATCGACATCTGCGTTAGCTGTCTGCATGTTGTTCGTTGACAAGTTCAAGGAATATATGGAAGATAAGCCAAGGCAATGCCGACGTGATGACTTGAATGTGGTGCTAATGCGGCATTCGCCGGTGAGCGCCAGACCTTTGTTTCACGGCAGGTCAGAATTACCGACTGATATCGATTTCTAATCAGAAACGTTGGCAACTTGAAAGTGCCACATCCGTGTTGAAGAGACGGTCCGACTGGAAAGATTCGCGTCGATATTCCCGAGACACACTGTGTTATCATTTGATCATGATGGACGAGTCGCAAGGAGGCGGGCATCGACATGATAGCGAATCGGCGATCGTTGTTTTTGAACAAAGCAAAATTTCGGCCGTCTCCGTCTCCGCGTCCTAAATTGTAAGTTACTGTACCCTCTAAGAATCCCACGGGCCACGTCCCAATGGCTGTTCTGGTCCAAGGACGCATTCGCCAATTTGCGCATTATAATGTCCTTCATCAACAAAAGTGCGCGCACGGTGCATGCCCATGCAGCGCTTACAAATCACTGCAAGACTTGCACAAGGTATGTATGGGTTTGCAGCGTGTATGTATCACATGGGAGGGATGTATGCACCAAATGCATGATAAAATGAATGTACAGAGATTGAAAGGTAAATATTTGTCATTGTAACGACAAGCCGGTCATGAAGCAAACGAGTGCCATTAATAATATTCAGCGGTGAAAAACATGTATCTAGAGTCAGAACTCATCAAATCCTTCTAACTCCTCGTCACCATCCTCGCCTTCCTCCGCACCTAGGTCAAAAACATAGGGCAGTGAAAAATAATATTTTTGATGTTGTCCGCATTCAATGCGGACAGATGGAGTTCAACATTGAAGCAGCGCCGTATGTGATACAGTGCCTTGCATATAAAACTGCATAGTCGCATTTCCACAAACCCTATTTGTACCTATTTGCTCGGGCCAAAACATACCGAAAATACCTTTGTTGGTGTGACCAGTCACAGCCTCACTAATGTCCTTGACTTTGCAGACTGGTGCCCTCGCTAGAAAGATTTCTGGAATATGCGAGCCAGTCATTGCATGCTCATAGCGCCAGGTGATGATGCACTCTCGAAGCTGTTGAGACAGGTGAGGAGGCATAATTTGATGTGACTGGTCACAGCGACAGGATATTTTCGGTATGATTTGGCCCGAGCAAATAGGTACAAATAGGGTTTGTGGAAATGCGACTACGCAGTTTTATATGCAAGGCACTGTAGACTTTAGAAAAAAATGAGCGAGATAAGTTTGAACTCCGACACATTCATAGTCCGACCTGTATCTGAGCGCATCACATCATAGCCCCTTAAATGCATCTCCCACCATGCCTGAATCATCTTCTGCTGAACCGTCAACTCATTTTCATGACCTGCTTGATGAGCTAAATTCAGGAGTGCAAGCTGGTCGTAAAAGAAAAATTATGTACGTCAAAGTCATGCATCTTCGTGTCATCAAACCCACTAACCTTGTTTGAGTGGACCACTCGGGCCCAACTTACACGCTGCCCGGTGGTTTCCCCTCAGAATTGCGAGACGAGGATCATATCCAACCTGAAGATGATGAAAATGGGTGAGTTTTCTGAATAAGTACTAAGTAGCACAAAGGCTAATGATCTTTTTGCAGTCGTGAAACGGAGCGGCATGTCCAGCATTACAAGAACTGGGTCAAACTTGTGCCAACATTCAGCGACACCATTTCTGGATTCGAAAAGGACCCGGCGGCAATGGATAATTTTATGCACGCGGTAAGTGCATATATGCGTCACGATTTCATACTAACGTACTTGTACAGTTAGTTTAACGAAGGACCTGCTCAACATTCGGACTTGCAACCCACTGGCAGTCGTGCGCGAAAAGCACCAACACACAAGGCAAGAGCTCCAAAGCCTTGCCGCCGTTGATTTTCAATACTCAAGCTCGCCTCAAGTTTCAACATTCGATGTTCATATCACATTGCCCGATTTCTGACCGCTTACCAGGACTTTCGCTCACAAACTTTCCTCGATCATGACCTCACATTGATCTCGGAACCGCTAATTTTCCTGTCCGGCATGCATTCAAATATTCACGTTCTGTCCTCGTTACTTACATTTTCCATTCACATTCCATTCAGACTTACTTGTAGTCGCCGAGCAGTGTACTGTACTAATTTAATTGATGTGGTTTTATTGCAATGAACACGGAATGCATGCAAGTCAACGAAATGCTTACAATCATTGAGCTCTCATACAATAGCTGCAAGCCATACATTAGTCTACAAGAAGGTACAAACATAGCAATCTTTGTAGCAATATGCATCGGACCTCGCTGCATGCACGGGTGTGTATCACGCCTCACAAGTCTTGCGGTAGTTTGTACGAATTGTTGCACTTGCACACCTTGTGCTGCCTGTCAGCGGCCTTGTATGTATCCGGATGTTTTGCTGATGTTGGAGGTCCTTGGGCTATAGTTGAAGTAAGCCGTTTTCCGAACACCTCTTCAATGACTGGTCAAGATGACACACTCACGGAAAATGCCGCGATACCACTACGAGTCGACTACCATGACATCACGATCGGTGAAAGCCTTCTACGCCCCGCCGCCAAACACGTTCTCGCACATTGACAACTCTAACAGTTCGAACCACGAGCCAATAGGGTACACTAACTTGCATTATCTATCTGCGCAGTCTCTATCTCAGGCTGCGGTAAATACTTCAAAGGCAATGGAAGTCCGGATTACCTCGAGTTTGTTTTCACGTGTCGTGTTGATCCTACAAACCATAGACCCCATCACCGAAAACGTATGCAGACTGGTCAGGGTACGAACAATCTTGTCACAGGCATGAAAGACTGTGCTGCGCGGCGTGGTGTCTCATCTGGGTCTGATGCCACCGGCACACAACAAACTATTACTGGATCAGTTTCGAAATATACAGCGGAGGCTCACCGTGCTTTGATAGCGATGCATTGTGCAGTGAATAAACGCCCATTTCAATCAGTGGCAGATCCTCTCTATATTGAAGAAATAAAGCTCTTGCGCCCAGATGTTAAGGTCCCTTCTCCACGCACAGTCTCGCGCGACATCAATACCATCTATACTGAAGCATCTCACAATGTCAAGACTTACTTTGAGGTGAGATTTTTAACAAAGATGCAGCTGTTCGCTCCTGACTCTCATAGTAGAAACACGTCGGCTCGATTCACCTTGTCATCAACGGCTGGTTGGCACCATTTGCTTATTCATACCTCGGTATTGTCATTGTCTGGTTTGACCAAGGCAAAATCTGGCGATCAACACTCGAGTTTATCCGGTATGTGATTACTCATTCCACGGCAATGTGTAATTGTAGTTTATTCATTTTCTAGTCTCACACAAAGCCACACTGGACAGCACCTTGCAAAGGTTACTGTCGATTGTCTCCGCCGTTTCAGCATCGAAAAGAAGGTATGTCATCGGAAGTATCTGTGGCTCGTATTCAATGGACTAACACTACGTCTAGTTTCACACTATCACCATGGATAATGCCAGTAACTGCGACTCTGCTGCTGACTACATGCAGGAACTTATCCCGAGCTTTCGTGGAAGGGCATCACGTTCATGCTGCTTTCCCCACACTATCAACCTCATCGCAAAGGCTTTCCTTTCATTTTTTTATCGACAACCAAAACGTAAACGGCAAGTCAAGGTAACGAAGCGAGGCTGCAAACGTAACGTGAACTCAAATGTGGATGAAGACCACATCGTGATTCTTGAAGACGGCCAAGAAAATGCTGAGCTGACCCTGTTACGACTTGGATAGTTCTTGCGTAACTAATCCAATAAAGGATTTCTTCGTGTTACGACATTTGGTTCAGACACTTGAGGGGCTCTCCCTCTAAGTGAAGTTCAAGTATAGACTAGTCTCTATAAGAGCTAGATCAGAATCGAGTATCTTCCTTAGAAGATGATCAAGTATCAGAGAGAACCAAGTAGATTCAAGTTGGAGAATACAAGCGTAACTACTGCGGTATTTATAATGGGCAGGGGAGGCACGGACCAAGCCGACTATGGAAGTGAAAGGAGTCAAGAAGAATGTCAAAGAACTATCTGGAATGTTCATGCTGTGCATGTTGATAAGCAGTCAGAGATAACAAGAATAGACGGAAGTATCTAGAATGTTCATGCTGTGCATGTTGATAAGCAGTCTGAGATAGCAGGAATAGATCGGAGAAGCATGATGATGAGAAAAATGATGGGGCCGCTGTAACATTACCCCCCTGTGCGTTTGTTGGCGAGCTCCTCTGCTTCACGCTCAATTCGTTCGATAAGTTCGTCTTGGTCTGCTTCCCATTTAGCAAGTGCATCATAGAAGCCTTCTTCGTTGTGCTCCATGGGAAGGACTCTTTCGCCATTGAGTTGGCGACAGAAGACGGATAGGTGTCCAGGTTTGAACACGAGGCACGCTCTGCAGTAATATTCTGGGCAGTTCTTGTGACGATGTCCCATTTCTTTGCAGTGGCGGCAAATGATGTTGTCATCGAAGGAAAGAGGAGGAGGTAGCGATCCGGATGATTTTGGAGGGGTTACAATATCTGGCTGCGAGCAGCGGTCTTTGTTTCTTGGAGGGGAATGTGATTTGGGTTTGTAGGGTGTTTTCTTTGCGGAGCTTTTACGATGCTCTGAACGCCTGAGCGTGTTCTGTGGTGGGAGGACGGGTCGTGCGATTGTCGGTTCGGGAGAAGAGGGGATAGCAGTAGGGGGAGGTGGAGGTGGAACGGCGACCTCAGTTGCGACTCATTCTGCGATGGTTTGTATGGCTTGCGTTACATCTTCCTTGAAATACAAGGGAAGGAGATGGAGAGCAAAGGTCTGTATTTTTCTTTGAAGATAGAGGATGCTGTGCTGAGCGTCGGCATTGTCTACATTTTCAGCGATGGTTTCCAAGAGACTGGTGGTGCGGATGATATTGACAGTGGTAAAAGTGGTGTCATCTTCTCTTTCGGTGAGGATGCGTTCTATTTCAAGGGCATGTTGTGGGGATAACAGGGCGGATTCTACGAGGGAGGCAGCGTCGATCTCGTTAACGAGGTCGAAGTATTCAGCAAGTTGGAAAGACGAAGACATGGTTTGTTTGTAGAA